AGTGCTCACCTCCATCCGATATTTGCCAATGCTGTGGGCGCACTGTCCAGGATGATTACCAATGCGATGAAGTATCCTGCCACTGAGATTGACATTCCCTTGCCACGCACGTTATTGGGGAATATTTCCGAGGTATAGACACTTTGTGACTTATTAGCATATACTTACATTGTATCGAAGCCTGGGCCAACTTACTAGGTTGTCACGTCCACGAAACCAGCGTACATGGCGATGTGGAGATACAGGAATGCGATCGCAGAGATTGCGGCAGCTCGAGATCCTGTCTTTTCGAACTGCGCTAGAGATACCACCATACCGATCATTGCACAGGCGTCTCCAATCCATCCAATTTTCAGGGCAAGCACTCTGCCCATGCGATCAACAGTGAAGGCATTGATGGTGTTGCCTATGATGGTGATGTTGGCCCAGATACCCGTGAAAAGGAGTTGCATAACGGTGCCATAGCCGAGACTAGCGTAGAGGATTGGGTTGTATACTTTCATGGCTTGTCAACAAAAGAAGGGGCTAAACAGCCTGGTTGGCGGGACTTACCTGAGACAAGTAATGTCGCAGTCAATTGACTTGCAAACATGATAAAGAATCCAACTGCTGAACGCCGACGGTAAGATGGCACAGTCCACATTTGGGACCAGGTGACTTGGTTTCGCTCATCCTCGTCATGCTGCTCCTTGATCTGGAGGTACTCTCGATGGGCAAAGACATTGTCCGGGTCAGCTTTACTACGATGCAGTCTGACCAGAGACTTGAGTGCATCGTCATGTCGGTCTTTGTTAATCACTGATGGAATGGTCAGCCAGTGGTCTTACTTGGTCAAAGATTTCTTACACCAGCGAGGAGATTCAGGCAAAAAATATACGCCGGCTGCCAAAAGCACTGTCGGGACACACTGGATCGCCAAAGGGACACGCCATTGCGAGCCACTTGCGTTGACAAAATAAAAGCCGAACCCGATCCAGCTGAATGATGTTGTCAATACCTGTCCCGCCGTATGGAATTCTCATAGAACAGACTCACTTGCACAGTACAGTACCCAAAGATATGAAAATTCCATGGAATCCAACGATCAAACCGCGAGTCTTGGGAGGCGACACCTCGCTCTGGAACAGTGGCACTGCGGCAAATAATGATCCTGATACAGTTTTAGTCCTGTGCGATATCGCAGCCAGCTTAGGAAGCCAGGGCTCTCTTACCAATACCAAGGCCTGCCAAAAGCCTCGCGACAATGAACATGGCAATGTGTACAGATCCAGCTTGTAGCGCACCCCCAACAACGCCAAATACCGCGGCCACAAGGATTGACATTCGTCGACCCAGGACGTCAGACGATTGGGACGAGAGCAAGGATCCGATCAGGGCACCAGCGATGTAGACTCCGTTGGTCGCACCAGTGAGTTGAGTGGCATTTGCTGCCTTATCCAGGCCCATATAGACACTGAAAATTCCTCGGTCAGTCTTCATGGCTTCCAAGGAGCCCAAACTCTACTTACATAAACGAGGGCTGGGCCAAGGTGGTTGCGGTAATGACAGTCACGTAGGCGCATGCCACTGAACCTAGAGAAAGGAACAGAGCAACCCAGGTGCTATACAGGCTTTTAGAATGGCCACTCATCTTTGCGTGTTGTTGGATTCGAGAGGTAGGAATGGCCCGGGTCTTTCACTAGAGTACTGAGATGCTTGGGGACCATTGCTAGATATATAACCCCCGGGTCACTACACTATGCCACGTTTTCAGATCTAGGTTGGTCGAGTATGGAGGAGGTCCGGGGTTTGCGGAGGACTACCAAATTTCTTGGAGAGGAGTGTTATTAGTTTGAATACACTGTAATTACACACTACACAGAATGTCCCAGGAGAATTCAATACTGCCCACTGCTCCAATCCCACTCTGGAAGAGCATACGTTGTACTAGAACTATACGCCAGGGCCAAGAAAGTCGTACTTGTCACCGATCGTGGGTTTCAGTGGAATGACTTAAGGCCTGTCAGACCATTTCTCAGGTATCTACTGAGGAAGGATTCTAGGGAGCTCGAGAAATCATCAGGTGTCGATTGACAACGTTCTTTTTGTCCGCGATCTCCGGACACGGCAATGAATGGATCAATCATACACCCCGGGGGCATGAAAGAATGGGCGCAAAGAGTGCTTCTCGGAGCGAAGAGACCATCAAGAAGTCCATTTGCACCTAGTTCTTGGTACAAGAGCGGTTGAAATCGCACAACCGGAAAACACGGGGTTCTGCGGATAATTTGTTGTAACAACCGTTAGGCATCATCAAGGTTTCGGAGAACGCGTCTGATAGTTTATGGCTGAACGTTGTACCGGTGGATAGAGGAGCATATGCCTCTGGTTCATTACTGGGACAATAATGGCGTACGAACAAAGTTGTTTCATGAACACGATAGAATGAAAAGTATCCTGGATTATACAACACAAAAACTCATAAAGTCCTGAGTACTCAAAGCTTTATGGGCAGTGGTAGTCACGTATCTTCCGACTTCAGGTCGAACATAGGTGCCCGTCATCAAACTCCTTCTCCTCGGGCAATTTCTAATTCATGTGAATGAGCAGCCAATGCGGCCTCCTCCATCATCTTGAGTCGACCCACTTTACGTTCTTCGACAACAAATTGAAAGTGTCGAGGTGTTGAGATCGCCACGCCCGTATAGTCATACCACGGAACATCAATTTCTTTGCCGGTACTGTCTCTTTTCCGTCTAACCGAACACGCCCAGTAAAGGCTCGAGACCTGTAAAAACAGAGCTTTCTCTGTCACCTCCAGTCCAGGACATATACGGCGTCCGTGACCAAAACCTGCGAATCGCTTGAGGTTCGGATACGTAGTGAGGGGCTCTTGAAAAGTAGGAAACTCCGGCTCCAGCCACCGTTCTGGTTTGAATGAATCTGGCTCTGGGTATAGGTCTGCATCGTGAAGGATGGCCCATTGATTAGGGATGATGACAGCACCCTTTGGAATGTGGTAGCCCTCATAGACATCATCTTTGGTCACAGCGTGAGGAAATCCTAGTTGTCGGTCAGTGAAAGATCCCAGAGTCTACGATTGTCATGTTGGGATATACAAACCTCCTGACAGGACTGGTCTCCAACGCATGGACTCTTTGATGATAGCCCGGACAGTGGGCAGACTACTAAAGTCACCAAAGTCAGGCAGTCGTCGATCTCCAACTACCTCTTCAATCTCATCCTGAATACGCTGCTGCCACTCTGGATACAATACCGTGTTCAGGATAATCGACTGCATGGCCGTGGCAGAAGTACCGGATGCACCACCATATATACTCGACAAAGCCCAGACAATCTCACGGTCTGTCAGTCCCCAGTCGTTCTTGGTCTTCAGATACCGCCGCGAGAAGCTCTCTGGACTCTCATGCTTCTCATTGTCATATTTTTCCGTCTGCTGTTGTAGCAACGGTGCAAGATAGTTCCAGTGCCGTTTCGCCAGAGCACTCGCTTCTCGTTTAAACGGGGCGAGCCAGGACGGAAGATACATGAGAGCGGGGATAAATTCTACCAGGTACATGCCCGGTACCGCAACTCTGTCAATTTGCTCCATGTAAGAAACAATTTCGTGGACATGATGCTCCTCCGCGTGGCCACGTTCCTCGCTTAGTCCATAGATCTGTTTCACCGAGGTCATCACACCGGCCCGCTCGAGCCAGTAGGCATACTTGGAGGGATCTTTGGCGAGATCGATGACCATCTGTCTGGCCTCAGTTGTTTGCTTTGGCACGGATTCCTGCACTATGGCCGTGCTCAGCATCGACTGTGCAAAGCGTCGGGCTCGACGCCAGTAGTCAGTCCAGCCAATTGCGCCGAGAAAGCCATTATCCGTAATCAGACGAGGCATGATCAACGAGGGTCGATCAGAGTAGAGGACTCCTCGTAGACTCAGCAGATCGTTGGCGATTGATTCTTTCGATATGACGACCATCGTAGTACCAAAAGCCTTGACTTGATAAATGGGGCCATACTCGTCTGCCCATTCCTTGAATTTGAACCAAGCATGAGATTTTGGGATATCAAAGGCATTTCCCGCCAATGGTAAACCTATTTGACAGATATCAGCTTCAATATCAAGACAGCCGGGATTACGAAAAGGTCGGTACCTTTGGGTCCTGGCAGTGGCTTTGTGCCCTCAGGAACTGCCTTGCTCTTGAACAGCAGATTGCGAATGATGGAGAGAATAATAGTAAAGACAAGGAGGACTAACGAAGCCCTGACAGCAGGAATTTCCATATTCGCAAGAAGAATAGCCAATGTCTCGTACAATCAAACTGTTATTCGTTCGAGAACAGAGAAAGATACCCTCGCAGCCAGATATAGGTCCCGTAAATCTACTTGAGTCTTCGCATAGGCCAAAAAGCTTTGATTGATCGATTTGGTTGACGCCAGGCTGTAGCGACCCACTCGCTGTTGCCCGTACGTCCCATGCCCTCCCCCAGGATCCCGGATTTTGTGATCTCGAAGAAATAGGATCAGCGTTGTGGGGTGATATGGGGTTTGTTGCGAAAGACACCCACGACGCAATCTCAGCACCCCATATGCAAAGTTAGATGGGCTACAGGAAGCAAAGGGGCCCGCTGAGTTGAGTGGTTCGAGTTTGAACACTCAAAAACTCCGGAGTACAGTCAAATAGTAGCCTCGGACATTCGGAGAAGCCGGACTTTTTTGGTGTAGGCCAGCGGAGCGGAGTCTTTGCAGTTGTGGACATATGACTCTCCAACCCAGCCACTCGATTCTGCGGAATTCTTTGTTCTCTGCAGCGGATAAGTGAGATACGTTCATACATTCATCAATTCGAACAAGTCTGGAGAAAGATACATGCTAGACTCTAGAAAGCAAGATCATGGCCAGCGGGAATGGTCTCAAGTACGAAAATCGTAGAAAGCCCTTCAATGCAAATTTCATTCACAGATGCAATACATAAGCCAGAGATTTTTAGTGTCCCTTAGTGCTTCGCCACCTATACCTTCATCACATCTGGATTTCCTTGAGTCCAGGCAGGCGTGATCTCCAACGTGTTGACCCTCCACAGTTCTCCTGCTCTCACCAAGGTTGTTTTGTACTGATTGCCAAAGAAGTAGTAATCCTGGAACTCTGGACTCGGGCCTTCGCCGCCACGAAAATGTTGTGCCAATACACAGGTCGTCAGCTCTGCTGAGTCGCCAGTGACGGTGCAGCGGATGTTGGTCGCGCTGTGAGTCGTATCGAGTGGTTTGCCGACCTGCTTCATCATGATGTTGACTACGTTGTCCCTGCCGACGACCGGATCGTAGTGCATGCCGACTTTGCTGAAGTTGAGTGTCACCACTACATCCTCAGTGAAGGCTGACGCGCAAAGCTCCGACTCGCCATTGTCGAGTGAGCACACAAATCGAATGATAGCATCGATTGCAGCCTCCCTGTCCGTCAGTCCTCCGGCGTTCGGCATAGTTGCGAAGTCTCTGGTATTGGCCTTGAACACTGAGTAGAAAAGGATGCAACTCTTGAAGACTCTTTTGAAGATCGATTGGGTCACTCGACAGAATAATAGCTTGGTGTCTGGGTGAGAAACAAGAAGGCAAAGGCAACTGCTGCACAATGAAGGGGATTTGTATGGTTTTGCCAGTGGGCAGTCCTAGTTGTACAACCGAAATGGGCCACGTATCTGACGGTCCGTCCAAGTGCCGCCAGGACAAATACCCCGACAGTTTCCACGAGTCTCTGTGAACCGATACTGATGTCCGTGAAGATAGATCCGCCGTGGAGGAACGGACTGCAGGTCAGCATTAGGACGACTCCTTCACTAAAGGGCGCTGTTTCAGTCGTAAACCAGGGTCCTCGGACTTTGCGGACATCTTGACCAGAGCCATTTATCCACTTTATGCACTGGTATTTCATTGGTGTCGATATAATTGGATGTGCCATATCAATTATTGCAAGGGTAGACTTGCTATTCATTCTCGTATTGAGGCTCCCATCTGGCCGAAGTCTTACGTGTAAGACAGAGGCTTGCCAAGGAGCACATTTTCGTGAGACGCAGCCAAAAATAATCGACCCTATGTAACACAGTTTCTAAGACATTTTGCTTTGTCGAGGCAATTGAGTTACCTGAGATGCTGGATATACCTGCATGGTCGCTCATTCTTCTAGGATTCTCAACTATTCGAGTTCAAATTCCAGAGAGCGGCGACCGGATCAGTCCAGGAAAGAACTGCAGGGTAGGACAGTGGATCAGTTGAGGATATCGATGTTGCACTTTCAGTCAGTGATTGCTATGAGAACCGATTAGTAGGTGAAAACTTTGTCACTATGTTAGAATCAGAACTTACCGGAGCTATGTCGCTATTCTCAGTAGCCATCCAATGGGCATTTGGATCGAATTCAGGGAAGGCCTGAGGGAAAAGTGGAGTTTGGGAGCCAAAATGGTTTTCCTGGGCATCAGACCATGCCTGAAAAACATCTGGTTCCGCCTGTTCGAATAGTCCGGGTCTTTCAAAGAATGGCCCTTCCATTTGTGCACTCTGGCGAATATGTCCTGGAATGCGTGGAACAGGCTGCGAAGATCTAGATGAAGCATTGTTACTTGGATTTGAACTTGGAAGGCTGCCAAAGGTACTCGAGAGTGGCCGGGGAGACCTTTGGCGGTCAACAGAGGCGGATGAAGAAAGGAAGCCATGCGAAGTTGGCAGTGAAGAGTGATTTGTTTGCGACAAGCCAGGTGAGTCTTTGGGATTGCGTATCACATTGTGATCGACTGCCTCAAGCTTGCCAATAAGCATCTCGAGAATATCAGCAGCTTTATATGCCTCCATGCTGCGATCCCTCATTTGCTTGAAAATCCGCGCACTAACACTCAGAGCCTTGATCATCTCACTTCGACTTGGGATGCCTTGGATGGCGGACTGATTGCTACTATTGCCAATCGATACCCTGGAGCACAGATCAGTACAGAGGATCGTGGCGGCAAGTAGATAATCGTGAATGGCAAGCGACGTTTGATAGCTTGTTAGACTTCGTAAGCCGCCATCAACTGGGATCTCTTGGTTTTGGATCGCCTGGTAACGTAGTAAGGACATAGCCGAGCTAAGGCACACTCGCCGTGAATATGAGTATCGATGGTCTGTCTTCGACAGCTCTAGAAATCTACTGTGCACTACGCACAGAGACTTGTGGTGAATGCTCGACAGGACAAAGCGGGCGGAAGTCAGGACGAGGGAATCTCGAATCGAAAGCTGACCTAACTTGTAGTGCTCAGGAATACCATCATAGATCCGTCTTAGCTCGCGGTCGATCTCTAACACACCCTCCCATCGAATGAGATCAACTCTGTGGCTGATCTTTTTCAGAGCTCGAGCAAATCCAAATGCCAGTCTTGCTTTTGCAATGAGGAAGGAGACTTCCGTTGGTTCCGAATTCGGGAGCCCAGGTGGCAACTCTTTGCAGGTTTCATCGAACGCTGCGTCGTCGTAGATATTTCGAGGCATTGTTTCTTCACAAGACTCTAGATCAATCATGGAGGGTTGGCCGGCCTGGAACGATATAAGGATATCGGCCTGGCGAATGAATGTCCAAACTCTACGGCGCATTTCACTCTATTCTTTGAATCAGCAGATTCCTCTCAATGACTCACATCTTTCTTACCTGAAACGGGGTCAAACCAGGCACCGTCACAATGTCGTAGCCCATCCTCATGGCCATCCGTGTGATCATCCCAGTGAGAACCCAGGTGACGGAGCGGGCATCCCTACTACAGACGTATTCGGCGTAGAGATGCAAACATAATGTTTCAATCAGGAATTCATGCGGCTGCATATAGTCCGCAAGAATTAAACAATCCGTGAGACGATTTCGGAAAGTGCTGGCAAGGTCCGGACACTTTCCTTTGAACTCAAGAGGCTCGTCGCCTTCCCGCACAAAGTCGAGCATTGCGATCCTCAAGACTGCGTACAAGAGGCCAACCCATACGATAGACGTCATGCTGTTGTCCTCCCAGAAGCGCTCATACTATTTCATGAGATGAGCAATGGACAATCGTAGATGATACGGACTGGCCTACCTGTCTGTGAAATGCTGGTCCATGAAGGATGTCTACTAGGGTCAGTCTCCCATACCCAAGGTTTACAGGATAAGAAACATACAGATAGCAGGGTACATGTGGGCGAAGAATCTTGTGATCATAATATCACAAGCAAATCGTGAAGGCAGGTGTGAGAGGACTTCACCCCTGCTTACGTTTGTTGAGGAACCAAACAAAAGAGTTGGGCCAGGTGCATGAGTCGATCGTTGGAGGAGCTGAGCTAGTTTTGTTGCCTGCTCTTCATACTTCTTCTCCTGGGCGCACAAATGCGACCGAACTTCGCCAATCTGAAAATCGATTCAGTATACACTGGAAAGAACAAATAGCCATACCAACCTCGTTGAGCAGGAGAGTCCAGTGAGCTTCGTCCACCACCGTGCTATGCTTGTGATTTCCCGCAGCCTGGGAGGCATTGCTGGCCTTCGCAAGTCTCCCTGTCACCCTCTGCTCCCCAGTCTTTAAAATCCCACTATCCGTGGCTATTCTGTCGTAAATAGAACTATCTTCGACCTCGCCGTTGCTTGAGATTGAATCAGGTGAATCTCGGGTCCGCTGTTGGGTTTTCAGCAGAGTGAGCACTAGCTGCTCTAAATGGTCAATCCGGCTTTGTGTCGCAGTAGAAGACAGCTCTTGAGATTCCTGAGGCTTTGCGCGCACTTCGTTTTTGCGTGCGACATAACAACAAGATGTGATCTCCCCCCGATTGACACAGTTTCCGCATGCTGGCACTGCGCGATCACACCGCAGCCTAGATTGGATGTTGATCAATACGAGACAAACCAGGTAATCTACCACGACGACTTACTTTCGAGTCCTGCAAGGCAAGCATGATATTGGCCTTCTGACCCTCGCGTTACGCCCTCCTGTGCCATCGTTGCGATCAGCCTGTCCACGCACAGGCGGCATCGTGTGTCGCTAGTGTCGCAGCTTCGTGGTTCACCGCATCATCCTCGCTTCGCTCTCGTGGAGAGATTAGCAACGACTCAATCCTCTGGGGTAGTGGCATCCGGGGAAGAGTCCAAGTTCTGAAGAAGACCATGGGGTCAATGAGCAAATTTCCTCCACGCCACCCGAGGTCCGGAGATGGTAGTACTTGGCGGGGTGACAACTCCTTGGCCCCGGAGAAGCCGGACAAATTTTCGGATTTTACACCAAGCATCAGTGAATGCGAACAACTCAAACGCTTCTGGCCTATGCTCCACTATTGCATTATGCCATGCAAGGCTGCTTCTCACGGGAGTAATATATCCCTCCACAAACAGAATGGAGGTCAATCCCGCGATGCATTTCGCAACTACAGTTGATCAAGATCTACGACATGGCTGCTTCCACGGATCAAGGCGCGAAGCAGCGTTCAGTTGAATTCCTTTCGGACGGAATAACCATTCGTGGCGTGCTGCGTCTACCCAGTGGTGAAGGACCATTTCCCATTGTCATCCTTGGTCATGGGCTGGGTGCTCTCAAGGAGTGGACTATTCCTGAGGTTGTCGATGCTTTGGTTGGAGTTGGTATTGCTGGGCTTTCCTTCGACTATCGCAACGTTGGAGACAGTGATGGCCTCCCACGAGACGAAGTATCTCATCATGGTCGCATCGAAGACTGGAGGAGCGCCATCAGTTATGCCTCTTCCCTGACCGATATCGATCCCGGCGAAATCGGAATCTGGGGTACCAGTCTAGGCGGGAGAGATGTACTGGCTTTGGCAGCATTGGACCGTAGAGTCAAAGCGGTGCTCGCACAGACGCCTGTCATCAAGTGGCACGCAGCTTTGGCTGCCCGAATGGCTGGATATGGGGACAACTTGGATCGATATCAACGTGAACTAGCTGATGACCACAAGAATAGGACATTGGGGAAAGAACCACGCTATGTTCCCTTTGTCAAACCGACAGGCGACGATGTCAAGGATGGCTACATCAAACAAATGACCAAAGAAGAGCTCCGAAACTACACAGGACGCTTGACCCTGCAGACCTACCAGCCCACCAGCATGATCGATGTGATCCCTCTTGTCAAAATGATTGCCCCGACACCACTACGGTTCGTCCTTGCTGAACAAGATTTCCTGCCTGGTCAGCGCGAAGCATACGACGCGGCAAATGAGCCCAAGTCTCTTATTATGATCGAGGGTCACCACTTCTCACCCTACATGACCTCAAAAGATAATGCCACATTTGCAGCCAAGGAGTTTTTTGCGCAATATCTCCTCCATAAATAGGAACAGATATCATATTTTGATGTCTTTTCCGAACAACATCTGTCGTCGGAGATCTTATTGAGGTCAAAGACAGCAAGGGGTACTACTTTCCTCAGAATTCATGATCAAGAAGAGAGATATCCTGTCTATTCCTAGTCCATGTTTATCCATGAATTTCAATCTATTGCTATACCATCACCTATTGACACAATGACTTGCTCCTATCTACAACCACTATTATCAAGCTCAAGACACCAGGGTCTTACGCGATGAAAAGGCATTACCTTTCCCATCCATGGATCATTCTAGCCTGATTACAGGTGCTGGATAACCTCTCTTGGTCTTCCCTCTCCACGTCTACTGCGAAACAATCATGTAGCGCAAAAATCATAGTCTGGCCTTGACTGTGCTCCCGATAGCCTTTGCGTCCCTCTTAGCCCATTCTTTAAGCACCTTTCTTACAATCTTGCCGCTGGCCAGCTTCGGCACCTCATCGATGAATTGAACTCCGCCAGATAGTTGTTTGTGTTTTGCAACCTTTCCTGCAACAAAATCTTGGATGTCTGCGGCTTTAATTTTGCCTTTTGACCTTTCAGAGAGAACAACGTAGGCTCGTGGCGACTCCTCGTCGTGAATCATCATACCTACTACCGCGGCATCCGTTACGTCTGGATGCTCCAACAAGACTGCCTCTAACTCGGCAGGCGCTACCTGAAGACCGTTTACTTTGATCAACTCCTTCTTCCGGTCTACTATCCACCACCTTCCTTCTCTCACCAGAGCGACATCGCCAGTCTTGAGCCAACCGTCGTGGAGACTGTCGCGTGTGGCTTCTTTGTTTCGCCAATACTCCGACATTATTTGCGGTCCTCTCAGACACAACTCGCCAGGCTGGTTGTCCTTGATGATTTCCTCGCCGTCCTCACCTATGAGCCTGGCTTCTGTGTTTGGCAAAAGACATCCGATGCTGCCAACGATGTTCTTCGCTCCACGTGGAGTCATGATCCCGGCACAAGTCGTTTCCGACATACCAAAGGCCTGACGCAGCTTTACTCCGAACCGGTTGATGAATTCATTTTGTAGATCACTTGAGAGAGGTGCAGCACCAGAGACCATGCTCTTGACACTTCTCAGGTTGTATCTGGCCGTTTCCGGGCGCTTTGCCATCATCACGACAATTGGTGGGACCAGCTGGATGGTGGTAATCTTGAATTTCTCGATATGCCTCAGGAAATCTTCAAAAACGAATTTCGGCATGATGTATACTTTAGCTTGAAGCTTACAGGCGATATTGATAGTGAAGAGCTGCGAATAAGCGTGGTAAAGCGGTAGGAATGCCAACCATTTTTCTTCTGTCTGATGTTGTTTGCCATGTGATTCATTGATGATTGCCTGGGCACTATTGGCGACCAGATTATAATGCGTGATGCAGACACCTTTTGGAAGGCCAGTCGTACCACTCGAAAAGTTGACAACCGCCGTCGTTTGAGCTGCCTCGTCTCCGTGAAGAGGATCCCACTGCCATGAATCTGCATCACCCTCAGACGCGAGGATCGATAGCCAGTCTCGAACGCCTTGACTTGCAGCCGTTCGGTCTTCGACGTTGGAAAAGGAGAAAATGCGGTCGGCGGGCACGTTGGCCAATTTGGCTGCGGCCATGCCGGTCTTGAGAAGCGCAGGGTGAACGAGAACCACGGCTGCTTGGATCGCTTTCATCTGATGGGCCACCTCGGAGACGGTGTAGATGGGATTGACTCCCGTGAAGCAGCGTTTGGACCCTGCCGCAGCCAAGTACACAATGCTGACCGGGATTTGGTTCGGGCTGAGCACCAGAATTACTTCTCTCTCTGCGACACCCAACCTATCCAAGCCGACAGCGAACCGCTTGATCCAGGACAGCATCTGTGCCGGCGAGAGGCTGTCGGAAGGGTTGGAAGCATTGATCCATACTGGCTGGTCCGAAGGCGTCACGGCTTGAGGAAAGAGATAGGACAAAATGTTGCATTTTGGAATGTCGAGATGCGGCCAGGGCGAGGTAAAGGTCATGATTGCGACTCTATTCTACTCAACTGCGCCAGTGTCAGCATCTACTGGGTTCTGACCAGATAAAACCACCCTTACTCAGCTATCGATCACAAAACTACCTCCCCGAGGCGCATACAACACTGCCATACCTCAGGCCGACCTATCCGCAGGAATAGGGATGATGACTAAGAATGAACGTTTCATGATGGAATACTCCGTGAATGCTTCTCGGATTTAGCGGTCAATTTGTCCATGGTTTCCGAACCGCCTCAACAAATCACAAAACGCCACATCCGGCCCCTAACTCGTTGAGTCCGTTCGAAGCTGAAGGACACGGACTGCAGCAAGGTGGGGGCATGACTCTAGATTGCTTCTACGTTCCCAGATGATGGAGGCTCTGGGCGAAACCCCGGACTTCAGGGACATGGATCGATGATCGAACAGAGTCACTGAGGCTGAGGTAGAACCAGTATTATTGATAAGCAACAGAATTTGACTTGGTCTATTGTCGATGTCAGTGGCCAAAAATATTTCCTCTGAGCTCTTCCTTCACTGAAGCCCACTACGAAACAATTTGAACACGCCGGGATGGACCCCAGTACAGGTAGGGAATAGAAATGCTGCCAATCAAGTGAAATACATGCGCGGTACTGACTCTTGCTCAGGCTATGGATTCGTTTCAACCGAACACAACGACACGTATCCAGCTGTCGACCCGTTGAAAGCCGATCTTAAGGGCAGATATGTAGTCATCACGGGCGCAGCCAGGGGGCTAGGCAAGGCCATGGCCATCTCGTACGCCAAAGGCGGCGCCTCTGGCATCGCCGTGCTAGACCTGCTGGACGCGGCCCCGGTGCAGAAGGATATTCTCGAAGCCGCAAAGGGAGCAGGGCGCACCGAGCCCCAACTGCTGGCGCTCAAAGTCGACGTGACTGATGAAGATTCAGTCGCGCAGGCAGCCGATGCCGTGCAGGCCGCGTTTCCCAGAGTGGACATCCTCATCAACAACGCTGGCTGGATGGCTCCCTACACGCCCATAGGGGAGTCTGATCCGGTCAAGTGGTGGCGCTGCTGGGAGGTCAACGTCAAGGGTCCGTATCTCGTATCGCGCGCCTTCTTACCACTGCTGCTCAAGAGCCAGGAGAAGACATTGATCGTTCTCTCGAGCGTGTCAGCACACTTCACGCTCCCCGGAGGCTCGGCGTACGAAACGACGAAACAGGCCGTGTTGAAGCTCAACAACTACTTGATGGCCGAGTACGGGCCAGAGGGGCTTCTCGCCTACGCGATCGCACCGGGCGGCGTCATGACGGACATGGCTCCGGATTTCCCAGCCCAGTACCATGACCGATTGACAGACACGCCGCAGATGGTGGCAGACACTCTAGTATTCCTGACAAAGGAGAGGAGGGAGTGGTTGGCATGTAGATATGTCGATTCCAGATGGGATATGGAGGAGATGCTGGCCAAGAAGGAGGCCATCATACAAGGCGACCTCTTGAAGGTGAGAATGGCGTTGTGAGACAGGACTGGTTGGTAGTACACAAGAACAAAGACATGTTGGTTCAAAAGGTTCGAAAACAGTGCCATGTAGTCACCCTCGGGTGGACGAAAGTAGAAAAAGCCGAAACCAATGCGAGGATAAGCCACCATAGTTCCTGAGAGCCTCAGACCGGAAAAGAATGTCTCCGAATGAATCTACCCTAAATCATTTGCTCGCTTCCTCTGAAGTTATCCACCTAATTCAGAGCATGCCTCGTCCGTTCTTGCATCTCCGGCCTGATACCAACTGCTAAGCCACCATCGATAGCGATAGTGGCGCCATGAAACATTCCCTGCTTACCCCAGAGTGGGTCCGCTGGGCGCCGTTCCTTCGGCTCGCTGGGACTTACCCAAATAGGAGTCTTGATACAACGGACTTTTCAGCCTCAGGTTTCATTCCTCGTCGACAATATGCTTCCCCGAGTCCAGCGATTCTTAGTGCCCTCTCGCTTAGGCAGATCCCCCACAGGATAGCTCGCATCCGGAAGGGCAGGAGAGCCTGGAAGTGCTTGTCTATACTTTCCACGCATCACAACACCGCTGCCCTCTACCCAAAACACTATTAGTCTCATCCTATCCAGTCTTAGCTATCCCGATTGAGGTATCGCCCATGCGTCGAAACAGCACAAAGTTCAAGAAAAGAAACCCCCTGCATGGGTTTATCTTCGACCCGAAACAGCTATCGGCAATCACGATTCTACGAAACCACCAATAGGAAGCAAGTGAGCGATTACCGTTCCTCGGTCTATCAGTCGGGCACTGAGTATAGTCTTGAAAAAGAGCTATCATCCGTTGATGTATTGGTTCTATCTTCGCTTCAGTATAGTAGGTTTGTTCATTGGCATAGCCTCACAAAGTTGGGATTTCAAATAATTCAAAAGATGTCTCAGCGAACGAGGCGGCTGTAGCATGTGTCATATGAGCAGAGCAGTGAATGGTTGGAAGCTAAATGGAAGTATTCAGTCGCTGCAGTGGAAAGGTATAAGTAGAATGTACGCACTCGGCAACTCATCCCTCTCATCACATCAATCATTTCGTTTGCATCACCACCTGTCTTTCTTTATCTACATCATTATCTTCACCCAAGGCTGGTCCTGTATTGCGCTTCTGGACTTTCACAATGGTTGCGTATAAACCCTTGTTTGTGTTTGGACTTCTCTCCATTGTCGAACTAGTCGCTGGACATGGGTGTATCATTGCTGCAACTGGTGATGCTGGTGGCAATGGCACTGCTCTCGGCATCGACTCGTCGACTCCACGTGATGGCACCAGACGACGTCCCTTTCAACAAGACACCACTCGTTTCAAGGGCGATCAGGCCGATACCTTCGGCGAGACTCTCGAAGGTGGTGATAACGACCCCGAAAGTGGGACTGCTGCTATTCTTGCTGAGAGCGGGGGTACGCTTCCTCAGATCACACCGGGTGGCGAGGTTCAGATGACTCTTCACCAAGTGAACGCCGACGGTGCTGGTCCTTACACTTGTATGATCAATGCCGATGGAGCAGGGACCACGTGGACACAAGTAAGCAAACGGTGATGCTGAGACAAGTCTCTCTCTCTGACAAAGGCAGATGGCCGTAACTCAGCAAGTGCCAGGCAAACGCGGCAGGAATCAAAAAGGCTCCGAGACTGACCATGTAAGTATTGATTCGGGAGATCCTGGCGTCTTGATGTTTGCTAATTGTTGCCAGGCTCTCGCTGCCGCCGTTCCTGCAGGTCAGACCTGCACAGGCGCTGTTGCGGGCCAACAGAATGTCTGCATGGTCAGATGCCAGAATCCAGCATTGGCAGGTCCCTTTGGCGGAGTGGTTCCGGTGCAAATGTCTCAAGGTGCCACGGCTGGCTCTGCTGCCTCAAACAGCACAGTTGCAGCCACCACCAACACGGCCAACAACACAGCCACTGGCTCGGCCTCAGACATCGCTGCGGACAACAATGGCGATGATAATGTCAGCCCGGCTGAAAAGCTCGCGGAGCTGCGTGAAGACGCGCAGAGGAAGCGCCAGGTCCGCCGACAAGTGTCTCGTATCGAACGTGACACAGCCGCCGCAATTGCATACAGACATGGAACACGGTACTGAGGGCAGCTTGTCCAATCCGGGATCAAAGAGAATCTCTCTCGATATCCAAAAGACACACACCCTCCAGTGAGCAACAACTTCAACCCTTTCGAAGATGGATTCATTCCTTCACCTCTTCCTTCTCGGCAAACAACAATGCAACAATGCCGTACACACACTCTCTCTCTCACACATTCTCTTGGCTCTGCATTTGATTGAAGCACGGGTTTCGTACGCTCGACACTCCTTTCGCCAGGCCTGTCATGACAGTTCTGGCAGGAAAAATGATGAGGCTCAGATTGCGGAGGGGTCGACTCAAGCAGCCACCATAGACAGCGCGGCGTCATGGATGTGACCCAACCAAAAATGGGGGTACTCTATCAATATATCACCTCTCTGCAAAATGTGACATGTCAAAATCAGATGGTAATATGTAAAATAAATGAGACAGTACGAACAAACTTCATTGTGATTTTGTATCAGACATGTGTGAACTGCATTCACAACGAGTATGTATGCCATTGAGATATCTTGCTGAGAGACGAGCATAAACTCACAACTTTATACTGCCAGTAGGCGGATGTACACCGTCTCCCTCAGATGTGTCTCTGCCTTCTTTCCCAATCTCCCAACCGCGACCTCGGTACCGAGCAGGCCATATACCGCACCTTCCTGGGGCCATGATGCCGTTCGGGTCCAGGGCGTCCTTCAACTTCTCATTGAATTTCATCAATGCGCCATCGTTCCAATTATAGGTTGCGGCAACCTGATCCTGGAAAAGAATGTGAGTCCGATACTCTCCGTAGCCGTTTTTGGCACAATCGTCAATCATTTCCCGCATGCACATGTCCACGGCCTTTCTTCTTTCTGGGTCATCTCGATCCCAAATTACCAGGACAATCATGTGCAGCTCCCTGAGTCCGACAACAAATGCCAAGAACATGTCGATGCCATGTTGATGATGACGGTCTTTGGCAATCTTCCACAACTTCAACGCATCAGGCCCTCGGGTCGGTGATATTGGGCTGAACCCCATATGGGCTCCGTTCGGAACCCAATTGAGATAGGACAATTCCTCAAAGTCGGGTTCTCCTGAAGAGATTCGATCTCGAGACCAGAAGTAATGGTCTTTCGACAGGGAATTCGGATCGATTCGGCAGGCGCCAGGCACTTTCATAAACTCCTTGTGGATGATGTCGAGCTTGTATTGTCGGATTTGCTTGGGTCCGTAGTTCGTGCCATAGTAAATCCAAGTGCAACGACCTAGTGGCGTAGACTCGAGATGCTTCTGCAGAACATCGTCCGGGATAGCTCCTTCCCCTTCATAAAACTCTTTGCGAGATCCACCACCGACAGCAACTTCGATAATGCTATGACGAATCTGTGCGACGTTTTCGAGGATGTTGGCGATCCGGAGGGGCCGAATGATGTCGATCTGCTAGCGTCAGTAAGTTCACCTCGGCACGTGAGTAACATACAAGCAGCTGGAGGTCATCCTCTTCTTGAAATGTGTACATCTGGAGATAGTAAGCAAAATGTCCCGAGCTCCTCGCTTATATGATGGACTCACAAAACTCTCGTGCTCACCAGGATCAGGCATAAGAGCCATACCAATCTTGGTCACAACCCCAAAGTTGGATTGCGAAAAAAGTCCACTGTGACCTGTAAGCGGAGTGTCAAGTTTGGCTACTTTCGGCCACCCTTACTCTGACATAGGGCCAAAGCCGTAGGGGAAAGTCTGCCAGGTGTTGTTTCCTGGCAAAGCCCCCATTCCAGTTCTGAAGACTTCTCCTGTCGGAAGAACGACCTCCAGTCCAGAGTGAACTCCCCAGTGGTCGCCATATGGAGTGTAGCCAACACCACGGTCTAGGGTATTGCCCAAAATTGACCCGCCACCGAGATCGGGACAGTCGATCCAGACCTTGTAACCTCGCTTGCGAATTTCTTCGTACAGCGCGTAGAACGAAACTCCTGGCTCGACGAGACAAGTACAATCATCAGGGTTGATGTCAAGGATCTTGTTCATTCGCCTTCCGAGGTCGACGACGACGGAGCCACGCACTCTTGGTGCAGCACCACCATATCCCACTGCCATTGTCAACATGGTGTGATGTGCTTTACGGGCTGACGTACAGTTTCTACCCATTGAGATTGGATATATGGGAATCAAATGTTTGTTGGCCCATTTGACCACGGTTTGTACTTCTTCGACACTTCCTGGATACACCGCTGCAGAGGAGACGGTCTCCTCGCCGTCGAGTATCATGAAAGCATCGTGGGTGTTTGGATCTGCGCATAACTTCAGCAATCAGAAACAAGTATTGGAAGGTGCTTTCTAACGCTCCATGTACCTGACTTTCGTTAGTTGCATTACCATATATTCCGGGAGACTGAATGCTTACCATCCATCTTCCAGTGGCTGATCATTGATCTTCACATGAGCTTCTCCCAGAAGTCCAGAGAGCTCGTCGATGGCTTTGAAAAACTGGTCTTTGCTGACACCTTGAGGTATTGCAACTCCCCTTTTCCTCTCGCTTGTTCGCCCCTTGGTCTGATTTTTGGACAGGCGGTCCCTCTCGCGCACTACCTTGTTGACAAGACGCTCAGGGATCCCCGCGTAGTCTGAGGGATATACCGGGACATCTTTAGATAGCGAGATATTGGAGGTATCCATCTTGATATTGGAAGTATCAGGAACGGATCTTCAACACCTTCTCGGTAGATCAAAGCAATGAGACTCCCTGGGGAATTGCAAGATGTATTTCAATCTCCGACGCCCACATAAGGTCAAGTGCTGAACAGGCGGGTGATCGATCCCGCCAGATTCACCCCGTTCTACGGAGTCACCCCCGCAATGTTTGGAGATGGTGTGGGCAAAGCCAAGGTTCCCCACGGGCTGAAGGCACGCAGAGGCTTGGACTGCTGGGAGAAGAGAGGTGAATACGGGAAGCACTCGACCCCATGTTTCCTAAGCAGGTGTGGGTGAAGCGATGTGGGCATTACAGACGAAGACTTTGGGGATGTAGGTGCCATCACCCTTGAAAAAAGAGACTTGCTTCCGACACAGTCAATGCAATTAGGCAACGAATACGGAGTACCCATCGTATTGTCGGTGTGCAATGGGATCCCTTAATCGAAGCTATTAGGCATGGTAGTAAAAACGACATCGTTTTGGTACTTTAATTCAAGACGCGTTGTATTGTAGGAAAGGAATCAAAGTTGATGAGCTCACCGTGTCAACGCGACCAAAATCGACTTGTCCGGAGGTACATTATTCCGTCTCCGTACGAGGCTGTGAGGGAGACTTGATGACTCATCGATGAGAGCTTCGCTGCAGTGGTCGAAGACTCGTCTATCAAAAACATTATACATACATTCAATTTATTCATACTCCATGATCACAATTACGTACAGTCATTATCCGTTCACCAACACGATAAGAGAGACTGCCAAAGAGCAGCCAATCAGCACCTACTTTGTACCTACGGAGCATGGACGCCTTACTGTGTTTGGCTGTTATCAGCCTTATCGAATTTAACCGCTGTTAATTGCGAAAACAAAGAAAATAGCAGTTGATGATGGTGCAAGCTATCATCCACATACAAGACACAATAGTCCAACTGATAAATTGCCCCAATCAACCCCGTACTCCTCCTTTCTCGCTGAGAAGTGGATAGTGTCGCAGTAGGACGCCCTCGATCTCGACATGCACCCTCCTAAGCAGGACGAGGCCAGGCAACGCGCATCACGGGCCTGCGATTTCTGCCACACAAGGGGTCTCAAATGCCGTCGTCGGGCGCCAGATGGAACAAGTCTCGGCCCTGAGGCTGGCTGTCTCACTTGCACCGACTACGGGGCTCAGTGCACCTTGAACCGACCTGTTCGTCGAAGAGGCAGGAAGCCAAAGAAGATAGCAGTCCAGCAACAACAATCACCTGACGACGACGGCGGCGGCGGCGACGACAACCGCGCAAACCACAGCGAGGGGGATCGAAACACCGAACTCGAATCATTGGATGCCATACAACGGCTGATACGAATCTACTGTAACACTACGTACCAGTGCTAGTCAGTAATTGACTCTCTCGCCCTTATCCTGTCTTTGCTTGCTTGGGTGCTGGTGCTGGCGGTGTGCGATAAACGCTGACAAGTTTTCCCGCAGTTTCCCATTTCTGCCGGAGAACGACCTGTTGACGCGCTGGCAGGATGACATCCCGGACCCAGACAGTCCATCATACATGCTGCTGATGGCGCTCTGTGCAGTCAGCTCCCAGGCCGTCGCGCTCAACGCCGTCTTTGACTCCACGTTACTCGAAGGCCTGCCCGACCACGACAGCGGCAGGTACTACTCGGAAGCCGTGTCCAAGATACCGGTCCAGATCGGTCAACCGCAGGACCTTGATTCCTTGCGCTCTTTCGGTCTCTTGGCGGTGTACTCGTTGCTGTACGGCAACCACAGCGAGCTCCACCAGTACCTCGGCCTGTACCATGCTTTGGTCGCTCAGTGCGCCTTCCACGACGAGAGCCGCTGGCCCCGAGACCTCTCGTTGGGTGACATAGACGACCGGAGACGGCTGTTCTGGTGCGTGTACCGCCTCGAGATCCACTCCGCGTGCGTGCTGGGTCACACGGTGCGCATGCCCGAGGCCCAGGTGTCGGTCCTGTACCCTCGCCTGACGCCCGCCATGGCACCCGAGACCTACGCCTGGACCGCGGGCTGGGACTACATCACCGACCTTTTTCGGCTGTTGGAGTACGCCATCTTCAGCCTCAGGGGCTGCAGGAGTCGCAACGCGGTGTTTGCAGCCCTCTGCGAACGACCTTCGCCCGCGACGCTGCTCGACAGTCTGGCTCGACTCAAACAGAACAAACCTCGGATACTATCTTCTCTGTCCGAGCAGCCAGGGTCTGGACCAGAAGATGACGGTAGTAACCAACTCCAAAGTAACAGGTGCAAGTACATGGCCGTCCAGATCGCCTGCACCGAGACTCTGGTCAACATCATGGTCTTGCTCTACTGCCAAGCTCCCGCCCGGGAGGTCATGTCCATCGCGGAGAGCTTCCTCGAAGAAGTGACCAAAGCACCACTCATCATGTTCAAGGTCGCCAGTAGCCAGATTGTACACCAACTGCTCGGCGTTGGACAAATCATCTACAACGCCTCTCTGTACGACAGTGGACTGTATCGATCCGAGGCAAAGCGGCTACTGACGTTCTTGGGAGACTTGGTACAAAATCTGGAGAACGATATCCCCTCAGCAGCTAGAGCAAGGGAACGATTACTGAACTTGGCCGAAGGCTGCGTCATTACGGTTGTACAATGAACTACTTCTTTCTCTAGATGATAAAAACGAAATCTATGTGTGAAATACTTGGTGTTTCTCGTCCAGTGCTGCTTCCTCAAGTATTACAGTGATTGAAGCGAACTACCTACCCACCGCTCGCCAGAACCCCACTGCGACCCTCTTCAACCCTGCGAGACTACCGTCGTAGCCATGTACTTGCGGTAAGCCGGGATGGACCAACGACGGATCCGTTTCCCATACTTGATCATGATCAAAAAGGTCGATGTGCAAGCGATTGATATCATGGCGGCTGTGATGAAGCAGTTCTGGAGGCCCTGGGTGGTCCACCAAGGCGTAATGGCGTAACTAAAGCCAAAACCGATGGTGTTCCGGATCAACATGATCGACACGGTGGTCTCGCCGGCGATTTCTTTGAAGCAGTCCACGTTGTAGCTCACTGCCATCGACCCGCCAGTGACACAGCCAAATGTCAGCATCCCCAAGCCGAAGACCAAGCCGACCCAGTGGATGTTGTGGGCAGCACCAACGCCCCAAACGATGAGCCCGGCCGCAGATATGACACCAGACACCGTCAAAACCCAGAGACGTTGCTCGGGCTCGCGGATACCTTTGTTGCGTCGTGCGAGACGAAGCGCGACCCAGTCCGCCACGTTTCCGGACCACAGGGAAGCGATCGCAGCGCCGATGATGGGACCAGTGTAGACACAGCCCACCAGAGCGGCCGTCCAGTTGTACGGTGCTGAGGTAAGGACGGGACTTGCGGTGCCATTGAGGACATTGTACCATGCTAGATTAATGCCGTAGAGGAAACCAGCCCATGCCACAGTGGGGAAGCGAAAGACCATAATGACGGGACGGTAGACCATCCTGAGCATGTCCATGTTGCTGGGTCGTCCAGGAATAGCCTTGAAAAATGAGTACTTCCTCCATCCCGAGTTGATGCTTTGGTTTATAGTAGAGGCGTCACGCACTGATGTCTCCATTGACGAGGCCTTTGTTGTTGGCGTATCCTTTTCCGAATTGTTGGTGTTATCCTTATCTTGGAGAGAAGCGTTCCCACTCACGTTGAAGTCGATCTCCCTGCTCTCCACGGGACTCTGTCGGAAATAGATTGTCTCCTCCATGAAGAAGAACATGATCACAAAGCAGACCGCGCAGATCATGGCCCCGAAGTGCATGGTCCATCGCCACCCATACGCATCGTTGAACCATCCAGCGACGAGCGGAGCCAGGAAATTCGACCCGAACAAGATGAAGACGTAGAGACCCATGTAAGTCCCGCGGTTGTGGGCGAAGAAGAGGTCAAAGACCGTGACCTCACAAAGAGATTCGATAGGTGAGACGATGATCCCAATTAAAACGCGATGTCCAAACCATTCGCTCGCTGATGTAGAGTACGCGGTCCATACCATCATGGGGACAGTGAGTAACATGCTGGTAAGGTAGACGCCACGTCGTCCGTATGTAAGGGCTAGTGGCTGCCACAGCAAGCATGCGTATCCAAAGAACAAGAACATGACCCCAGTTCCTTGTACCAGATCTGCGGTTGAGATACCCGTGTCTTTTGTGATGTCCGCCAGGACCGAGTACTGGAGGGAAGTAGCAATGCCGGTGCCGAGGACGTACAAGTACGCCATACTCACGGCCAGGTGTTTGCGGCGGTCGGTCCAGTTGAGAGGGTCATTGGGGTCCGTACTTGGCTGGGGGACGAGGATGATATCTCTGTGAGAGGCATCATGGAGGGCGGAGGTTGCTTGACTCGCAATGTCCACAAGTCGTACCGTGCCAGGAACATCGTCTTCTGCGTAGATATTCTCTGCCATTGCAACAATTTGCCAAGTTAATTGCTTTTGCAGATTATGAGACATCTCGAAGCATATGAGCGAGGAGGGCAGACTTATATGTACCATTTTATCGACGTAGAGTCTCCTGGCCACGACGACAAGCTCTGCCATGAATCTGGATTGTGGAGATTCCAGCAATCGTAGTGCATGATTGGCTCGTATGATTTAAAAACTGTTAAATAAAAACCTCGCTTATCAGTAAGACAAAGTTGTTCGGAGTAGTTTGCAACTGTTAAAAGGGTAAAATACTGGCTCATACCCATTGGAAAAACTGATAATTTATTTCGCCGTTCAAAATAGGTATTAACAGTTTGTAATATAAAACCCTGTATTGATAGGGGATAGACAACATACCAGTAGATATTACCAGACATAAATTGCTCGAAGATATCGTTTCTGCCCTTCATCTCTTTTTACATTTCATCGAAGTGAACCTTTCGTGCCAAATACTTGCCAGAGAAAATGGGTTCCATCAGCAACCAACAGGACTTCTCTGGTCCGAAAGCCACAAGGGCTCTATCCATAGTGGAAGCAACCATTGCGGAACTTGCCTCTGCACTCTCAGGAGGTCACACTAACAGCGTTGAGCTCACTGCAAAGCATCTGCTGCGGATTGCAAAGTATGACCGACGTGGTACACTGTTGAACGCGATACCTATTATCAATGAGAATGTTTTCGACGCTGCTCAAGCCTCAGACCAGCGCCGAGCTTCAGGCGGAACATTGGGCCCGTTGGATGGTATTCCATGCACCATCAAGGACTCTTACAAAATCCAAGGCATGACCGTGGCTTCGGGATCTCCCGCATTCCAAAACTTGATCGCCAACGAAGATGCATTCACCGTCAAGAGACTCAGAGAAGCCGGGTCAGTCATCTTGGGTCGAACAAATATGCCTCCAATGGCTGCGGGTGGCATGCAACGCGGCGTTTATGGCAGAGCTGAATCTCCTTACAATGCGGAATACCTCACAGCCGCCTTCGCTTCTGGGTCGTCAAACGGATCGGCCACTGCCACTGCAGCGAGCTTTGGTGTCTTTGGCATGGGCGAGGAGACCATCTCGTCCGGTCGTTCGCCTGCTTCCAACAATGGACTCGTCGCATACACTCCGTCGAGAGGTTTGATCTCCATCAGAGGAAACTGGCCTTTGTTCCCTACGTGCGACACCGTCGTTCCCCATACGAGGACTGTCGAAGACATGTTTTCCTTGCTCGATGTCATCGTCGCAAGGGACGACAAGGTTACTTGTGACTTCTGGAGAGAGCAGCCTTTTGTCAATCTTCCAGATGTCGAGACTGTTCGTCCCAAGTCATACCACGATCTGTCTTCATCGACAGCACTAGCTGGAAAGAAAATCGGCGTTCCGAAAATGTACATTGGTGGTGTCGATTCTGACCCTACGGCAAGAAAAGTTCATACCCGCCAGTCCGTGATCGATCTCTGGAAAAGAGCCAGGGAGATATTGGAGGGTCTCGGTGCTTCGGTTCAAGAGGTTGACTTTCCCATCGTCACCAAATTAGAGGCACCGCGCCCTAGTCAGCAGGATGTGGACCCGATAACACCACCTCACCACAGTGAAATTGATATGTGCCAGCTCATGGCCTACGCCTGGGACGACTTTCTCGTCAACAACGGTGACAAGAATGTCGCAACAAGCCTGTCACAAGTAGATTCGGCAACAATTTTCCCTCAGCCACCTGGAACGATTCCAGACAAATACGACTCCAGTGATCCGCTGGTTCGCCACACTGATGTTGTAGCGCATGTTACTGGAGGTCGCATTCCCACATACGACATCCCTGGTATGGGCCAAGCTCTGAAAAACCTCGAAGCTATACGTAAAGCGGACTTCGAGGACTGGCTTGACTCCCAGGGTCTCGACACAGTAGTCTGGCCATGCAATGCCGATGTGGGAAAAGCAGATGCCGATGTCAACGAGGATTCCGCTGCAGAGGCATGGCGCAATGGTGTTCTTTACTCCAACGGAAACTGTGCCATACGCCAATTCGGTATACCAACGGTCAGCGTGCCAATGGGCGTAATGGCCGACACAAAAATGCCTGTCAGTCTCACCTTTGCTTCCAAAGCGTACGATGACAGTAATCTGTTCCGATACGCCTACGCCTTTGAAAAGGGGAGCAACCTGCGGCAGGCACCCATGAGGACGCCGACATTGATCACGGATTCCGTTGCTCTTAGCGCGCAAGAGAGCAAACTTGGATCAACCCCACCCGAATTGGGCTTGGAAGCAGAAATCCTTAACACGTCAGAAGGAAAGAAGCTGCGGATTCTGGCGACTGTCCACGAAGATGACATCTCTGCTCTGAAAGTCTACGTCGACGGCGAGGAAATAAAAAACGTGCATGTTGTGGATGGCAAGTGGCGAGTGAACTCGAAGGTTCTGAGCGTTTGGAATGGTCGAGTCCATGAGAAAGGAGTTCCATCACCGGAAAAGACAATGGTCATTGCGTTGGCAAAGGGAAAGAATGGAAGGTCTTCCGCCAGAATGCTGTTTCTGTAGACTAACATTGACAACATGTTGCCTCATATATGATTGAAGGTATCTGTTCGACGACATGTGGTAGTTCGCATTCAAGAAAACAAAAATCAGAGAAACATCAGTTACTGAAGATCCTGCTCCGCGGTGCCGACCATACAGGACTATTTTTCTTGACAAGACATCGGCTCTGCGAGTGATTATTTCCGTCTGATATTGACAAGAGCATCCGCAGGAAAGACAGTAAGTTTCATCATGCTGCCAACTTTGTATGAGGCGCTGCAATCGGAATTTCTGTCACCATGACTCCTTTTTGCATCGCGACAGGTTTTCGTTTCAATGAATCATTAACACCATACTTGGCAATCTTCTCCAGACCTTCTCCAGCAATCGTGACTGCCGCAAGACGCTCAACAACAGGGGCGAATTGCGCTCCAGCAGTCTCACCCGACAGGTATTGGTAACTAGTGTCGGAAATAGGCTGTTCAAGGTTGCTATTGAGCGCATGCTGGACCATGGTTTCATGGACATTGACTAGGCCATTCAGCTCCGAGGCCTGGGTATGAACCCCGTGCATCATGCCTTGCATGAAATCTCCTGGATTGGTAACAAATGCATGGGCCTCGCCCGTCAGGGTTGGATCAACCAGGTTTGCCGAACCCTGCAGCCCGTACTCAGCAGTCTCATTTGCTGCGATGACGCCAGCCTCTTCCAGACCAAACATGATACCCAATGTCAGTGAGTAGATCATGATGTTGACGGCAAGAGGAATAAGCTTGTCACGCTTCTTCTTTTCAGGCAGAGGAAACCCTTGAGCTTTCATCGCCTCGACGACAAGATGGTACTTCTTCTTGGCGATATGACGTTGTCGAAGTCCGATGAAGAGACCAAATCCAGTACCACCGCAGGTAGGGAAGAGTAGTAGGCTGCAGATGGTGATCTTGACTCCAGTTGAATAGATGCGGCGACGTTTGAAGGTCTCTCGCTTGGCAAGCTCAGCATACAACTTGCCGTCGGCATATGTCTGGACTCGTTGCTTATACGCGTTTTCGTCAAAATAGAAAATCTCCTTGAAGGCCATTTTCGCGATGATCAATTTGATAGTCAATCGTAGGACAGAAGTAGGCTAGGGCCAGATGATCAGATAGATCCGCAAGAGCAGCCGTCCTTTGGCTCAACACTTGGTATGATCTTTGTCGTACGGTAGCGGCGCAGGCATGGCCATGGTCTCCTTTTGTACCTCTTTCTGTGAGCGAGCACTGAACCCTGCCGTCCCCATGCTGCCCGATTTGTTAAGCGACCCTCCATCACTGACACTGACATGTCAGCCGCATAAGGCTGAGAAGTCCTTCGGTTTGTGTGCAAAGGACCATATGATTTGTCAAACTCTGGCTGTAGTCTTGCAGAGTAGAACCTCTCAAAGTAGTTCAACTAACAGTATGCATTCTAGGCTATCCTTGAATCATGGACACGGACGCCTTTCTTCTTGAGATTTCGTTCAAGAGACAGGAAGGTTTGCAGCTTCACGGAGTAGAAGGCGAGACCTACCTGCCGTTCGATAAGGCTGAACAATATTTCGAAAGCTTTGTGGCGCCTGTCGGATATGCAGCTTAGCGAGTTGAGCGATGTTTGTTCGCTAAGTCTGAAACCGTGGCGCGATCTAGACGAAATGACAATGCGTGAACTCGTCTCGTCCCATCAAAATTTGGTTTTCGCATCGTGCGCCGTATTGATTTCGTTGGCGCTTGCCAGGAGCATTTTAGCAGTATTGCCAGGGGCTACCAGTTGCTGGCATGATGACAGGGTCAGCGATAACTTAGGGTCTCGATGTATAGTAGGCTTAGCGAAGCTTTACTCGCAATGTGTCAAGGGAGCAGGGTTTGTAGCCTTCCTGAGGTCCAGCCTGGTCCCGGCGGAGGCGCTGAGGAGTTGTGGTCCGTGGTCGTTGCTTCGACTCTGGCGTGCCATCTGTAGTGGACATGTGGCCTAGTGGACAATCCATCGTTAAGGAGATTGGTGCACTCCTTCCAAGGGTCACTGGGCTCAATTGGGGTTTGCAATCGTGCGTGTCGAAACATCGTAGCGAGGGACACCGGGTCAAGTTTTGTGTGTGTGAGATGATGGCAATCATCACAATCCCAGTCTAAGGCTAGCGAGAAGCCAGCTGCAAGTACGCAGTAGGGGCCTGATAAAACAGGGCGAAAAGAGCCGATCGAATATTGGCGGACCAGAATTCCGGCAGTTTAGCGCTTCCAGTGCCGTCACATCACTTTAGCAAAAGAACCTTTGCAGGCGCGTTTAGCAAGATAGATACCCCTAGGAGTACTGGACATGCTTTGGCCTTCGTGTTGACAATATTCAACAGTCTGTCGAATTCACCGAGGAATTCTTCTTCACCAGTATCGTGGTTACTTGTTCGAGCACAGAAATCGATTCGTCGTTACATTCGCAGATCTCGGGGATGGTAGATTGCATCACCAAGCACATGTTCCCCGCGGGGCGATGGCTTCAATGTAACCCCTCGTTAAATAGTCCAGGGTCTGCAGAGCTTGTGGCACCAAACGAGGCCTGGGCCCATGCCCATATAATCATCGACGTTTCGCTGATCGCCAAAAATGCGCATGCTTCCAATGCTTGATCAAAGCTTGGCTGCCAACTCAATCGTCGACTTTGCTATTCATCATCTTCCATCTCTCCGGTCTTGAACTCCAATCTGGGACTCGTCAGGCAATTGAGCTGGCTGGGTCCGATGGCGAATTGGAGCAGTAGTGTGCCTGCGGGCATCCTGGGCGGACTCGTACGTTGTGCCTTCTCATTGTCGTCGAAGAAGCAGATTTCTAGTACCGTGTAGCAATGGTATACTTCCGATGCTGACCATCAACTCCTGCAGGCCGGACTCATGATCATCTTCATCTGGTGGTGGTTCCCTCGCACCTGGAGAAAGGGCGTGAAGCAGGAAAACGCCCAACTCGATGACGTGGAGATTCAGGCGGAAAGAGAAATGGTGATTCAAAATGCGCGAAACATAGTCGACAATTACCGCGAAACACTCAAGTTGCGAGAATTAGCCAAGAATGCAAAGACACAATCAACAGAGATTGCCGTGGAGGAACAACCCGGGATGCTTGAACCTGCTGCCGAAGAAGAAGAATCAGCACCGGACCAAGCAGGGAATGTCAGGACCAGTTCGAACCCACCACGTCCTGGTGCCAGATCTGGCAGCCCAACCTCTTGAGACAAACTCTCTCTTGCTATATGATGTATCTTGCCGGCATGGGGCGAGGAACTTATCGCATTGATTTAGTTGGGATCTTCGGCAACACTCTGGTTTCTGAAGCAAGGCACGAGAGAGGCAACAAAGGAGTCCGGCGTTGGTCTGTGAGACTTGAAACGGCAATGAAGTGTGAAGCAATGCGTACGAGTTGAAATGAGCATCTCTTTTTAAATTGACGCAGTCGGTCTTGTATGTATTTGAAGATCTCGCCAGAAATGCAAAGAACCTCAAGCCTTGGCAAACGTGACTACGGTTTTTATTTTCTTTCCTCAGCATCCTCGTATAACTTGAACAAAATACGGAAATTGATGATTATTGTCCTGTCTTACTCCGTACTATCTTACATTTTTCCACGTTGATTTCGGTACTTTGCAGGCCAGATGCCCTGTTTTCCAGGCGACAAAATTCCTTGGGGGTCCAGAGTATCCTGGAGAACTGTTAGCAACCCATGGAATATATGGACCTTGAGGACTTTACCTTCAGTCTCTCGACAAATCTCCGGTATGCGTGATCATTAAAGTCGTAGCAATCGGCCACAAGATCTGCAGCAGAATCAGCGGCTGTACCAATTTTTGGAGACGAGGATTTGGCTTACCCATATAATTGACATGTGACCGGTACTTGCTGAAACCACGCTTTCGGCCCTCCTGCAACAGGGTTCGGAAGATGATATCAACCGATTTCCTATGGTCGGGATTGGTCTTGTCGAAAACCATCATGTTGACAAAAATGACATGTCGTTCATGCATGAAAAAGTCACAGAACAGGTCGAAGCCTTGTGATTCACAAACCTTCCGTGCTGTCTTCACCCATTCGAGCACTGTTTTGCCGGAGGATGGAATGATTGGTGAGTAGTCTGCGTGGGCACCGATGCCGACTCGATCGGTGGGCAACCGATATTTGACCATGGGCAAACTCCACAAGCTCGGCACTCCGACGAAGAAGCCACCATGAGGGTCAGGAATCGAGGTCGCTTCGAGGAGCTCATCATTCTCGCCTGAGAAAATATGTCCCTGGAGCCGATCCACCGAGCCTGGCGCGGCTTTGCCAATGATCCTCTTTAGCTCGTTGAAATGTGCCTGGACAACTTCTTTCGCTCCGTACAGACCAAACTTGACATTCCAGTATCCGAATCCGAGCTCTTTTTGAAGCTCCTTCAATCTCCAGTTGGGGATTGGTCCTTCCTTGGGATACAGCTCGGCGCGTTTTCCAGTCATTCCCAACCACTCCACGATGTTAGAAACATAAACGGTGTTCGGCAGTAGCCCGTCTCGTCGTAACGCGCCAAAGATCTCAACAATGGTCTCAACATCTTCGAAGTTGGGCATATCAAAGGAGCACGACATATATGCCTGTGGTTGCGGATGAAGCCATATTCCAAGCTTTGTGACAATGGCAAGATTGCTCTGAAGGAAAAGGCCTTCTATCGAGGGGCCGAATGTGAATTTCGACAAGTGGGAAGATGGTGAGTTTGAAATAGCAAATTGGCCGGTTCGCACGACGTCTCCATCAGCAAGCATGACTTCCAGTCCACAGATGTGTTGATGATGTGTTGCTGTTGGTGTGAAGCCTGTTCCACGATCGACCGTCTGTTCCACATGTCAGCCAAACCCCTCAGAGACCAGATACGGCACACATACATTGCCAACGACACTTCCCCACCCCAACGACGGGACACTGGGCCACACTCGGAGCTTGTGTTTAGTGCAGTAATCGTGAAGATCGGTGAATGTGACGCCGGGCTCGACGACCGCGTAAGAGAACTTGTCGTTGACTTCAATGATCTTGTTCATCCGATGCAGGTCCAAGGCGAGAGAACCGTTGAGCCTGGGAGCAGGCCCACCATACCTGGAAATTCAATCAGCGGTGGAACCGTGTGCAGCAGCACAGACATACCCGAGATTCTTGCCGCGTGAAAAGGTCCATACGGGGACCCCGTACTTGTTGGCGACGCTCAGGACACCTCGCAGCTCCTCTTCTGAGGCAGGGCTAGAGTATTGTCAACGGATGTTCAGGTTTCCCTCATGCAGCTACATACCATACGGCACCACTTGGCATACGTCTTTTGCCTTCATTCTCCCACAGTTCGTAAGGATCAACGTATTCCTCCAGCGAGGCGCCTGTGAAGACATAGTCTTTGCCAACAACCTTTTCAAACTCTGCAATGGCAGAATTGAAGTCCTGCTGGCTGACTCCGGGAGGAAGGACACTCTCCAGAGGTTTCAGAAGCTTTCCAAGAAACAAGGCACGGTGATTTTCTTGGTAGTCGGGATCTTGATATCGAACGGGGAATTTAACATCGGCGGAACCCATTTCTGCCTCCAGAGACAAGACACCCTCGGCCAGAGAAAAGTTTCAAACTGCCTGTTATATGGATTGACGACCTCTGCGATACGGAGTTGCCAAAGAAAGGGACAAGGTTATAATGAAGACTTCTATCAATCATCAAATGAATCCCGACTTGGCCAGAAGCAAGGAGATGGAGTGTTCCACGCACTCTCCAGCCTCCAGCTCCAATTGGGGCAGTGGCATCTACCCCAATACGAGTACATGCCTCACCAGCCTGGACCCAACCCCACATTTACCGTATACATCCCAGTTTCTTCTGACCGGGGACGGAAGCCCCGCCAACTCGTTGCTCCAGCGAGGCTGTTTGTGCCTAGCCCTATGCTACACTACCAAGCCACACCGAGCCCGTGGGCACCGGACTTGTATTTCTGGGGGGGTTTTGCGATACCCAAGGACCAACTAATCTGCCGACCTACGCCTTCAACACAACCCCCTCAAATAGCTCACTCTGGGGTCCAGTAATTCTCCTCGGTCACTTTGGCCGTATCAAAGACGTATTTCCCAGTTTGGCGACCAATGGGGTCTTGAAATCCGTTTTCGGTCTGGAGTAGGTACTGTGACGGATCCTGTGTCATATTCAGATAGAATGGCACGTCCAGGCTGTTCAGGTCTCCCTCAACCCACTCCACTCCTTCGGTCGATATACCTTTCCATTCTTGTTCGATTTTGGCTTTCATTGACAATGGCAATTTTGTCGTCATGGGGCACTGATACCAATGTGCGAAATAATCGACGGCCAACATGATGCGGTGACGATCACTCTTGTTCGGCATCCCAGCATGCCACAGCCGAAGATCCCGGAAACAGATGCTGCCCTTTTTGACTTTTGGTTGCACAGGTGGTTTTACCTTTGCTTGCCTCTGGAGATACTCCTTTTTGATCCATCCTTTGGCCGGCGTGACCTGCTGCTCACTTTGAGGATACGCATTGTGTGTCCCACACCAGACTTCTGTCACTCCGTTTTCGGCATCTGAATCTTGGAGATAAATGTTCATGACGATTCCAAAAGGAATTTCAGGATAGGCGTGATTGACGTCGCTGTGGACAGCTTGACGACCGGTGCCTCCTGGACAAGCGACGTTGCTATTAATGAAACGAAGCTCAGGTTTTGGTCCGAGAAGATTTTCCACCACGCGGATCATATGCGGATTGGCGTAAAAGTCTCGATCAAGCCATTCTGGTGTCAAGGGAGGGATCTGGCTGACGTTCCCAGTCGAAGCACCCTGGTTCCAGTGCATGTGCTTTCTCTTCAGGAATTCTTCGTTATCCCGGACCATCCGCTGGTACAGTCGATCAACCAGGTTTCCATCGATCGCATTTTCCATGACCACAAAGCCGTCTCTGTGAAAGTACCGGAGGCATTCCTGTATCGTGTCGGACTTTGTTTCTCCTGAGTGAAGCTCTTCGTCGCTCAGGCGAATGATGACCGGGTTGTCACCATGTTTCTCGACGTCGGGGATCAATGCTCCATGAGCATATCTCGACCTCCCTGCAGGCTGCTCACCCGTAGCTGAAGGTGCCATGGTCGAGCGTTATGTCAAACGAGATAACGGAATGAGAAAAGCTTGTTGTGAGAGAGAAAAATCAGGGGTTTATGGGATGCACGAGCGATTGTGATACAAGTCTCTCAAACCGAGTCACACGCCGAGTACGAAGTTCGGCAGAGACGGCAACTTCTGGTGTCTTCATAGCTCCAGTCTATGAACACAATGTACGTGTAATGTCTTCCAGGCAGGCTAACAAATGTCTTGGTACATGCATGCGTGACGTTCTAACCGACGGTAATAGGTATTCAAAACCCAGTAACCTGGGCCCCATTGACCAACTAATTTAGCCTAATGACCGTCCCATGGGGTAATTGTTTGCCGGGGACACAGTCGATATACTCGCCCAACCTATCACCATCTCTCCTCATTCAACAGACCCTCCTTACCCGACCACAGGACTCAATTACATTGTCTGCCAAATGCATAGGCTATGGCAATATGGATCCCAGACATGGCATTGCTTTGCCCGTGACTTGCGAAAAGATGCAAATCTTTCCCAACGGAGAAGTTCAACAGAGAAGCTATCTCATCCTTTCAGACATTTGACTAGCAATAGCATCGGCCACTCGCCGCTGCGCCGCCACAACTCTACCAAGGCGGGATCCGATACCGTCGACTCACGAACTTCAGACGACGCCCATTGGAGCCATGGAGGAGGACACAAGCTGGAGCAATATGATGAGATACCAAGTCGTCAATCGAGCATACCATGCACATCACGCGCTCCAATAAGGACTCGTCAAAGGCTTTGGTACCGGTCCACAGTGCGACTACAACGACAAAATCCAATGCTGCTCTCTTCGGTGTTGGTGCCTTTGTCAGATTTCTCGCGTACAGATCTCGCATATCTCCAAGTTTTCGAGTCCAAAAGTGTGGAGGTCGCAGCTGACCTAGTTTGTGGTTTCCCGACAGCCGACCCGGGGCAATGAGAGTACAAAGGAGCCTGGATCCCTGACCTTTCCCTTGACCGATACACACACAGCACTCCTACAGGCCGTGGACAGCAAGTTGAGATGGTGCGCCTGTTTTCTGGAAGCTCGACGCCCGAGCACGTCGTCGTCGGTGGTAGACAGTATCCTCAAGTGACGTGGTACAAGAATGGTGCCTTGATCCACCTCCATTTCTTGTGCGCGATACTGCTACTCTCCTCGGCGACAAACGGCTACGATGGATCGATGAGTGTGTACCCGTCCTCGAATTTCGGACATCTGCCCCAGCTAGCTGACTGACTGACGATACGTTACTTCAGTGAACGGTCTGCAAACCTTGAGCTATTGGCGAGATGCATTCGACCGCCCATCGGCGTCGACGCTGGGCCTGCTTAATGCCATCTTCTCAGTTGGCCAGGTCGTGGGATTACCCTTGGTGCCCTTCCTCGCCGACCACATCGGACGCAAATGGACCATTCTCCTGGGCAGCTCACTGATCTTTCTCGGGGTCATCCTGCAGACCGTGTCGATCAACATCGGCATGTTCATCGCGGCCCGGTTCATCATCGGCCTCGGCATAGTCTACACGCAGAGCTGTTCGCCCATGCTCATCACCGAGCTCTCGCACCCTCAGTACCGGGCCCGGCTGACGACCATCTACAACACGCTGTGGTACCTCGGGTCCATCATCGCCAGTTGGACGACGTACGGCACGCTGAAGATGAAGAGCGACTGGTCGTGGAAGACCCCCAGCATCCTGCAGGCCTTCCCGTCGGTCATCCAACTGTTCCTGATTTGGTTGGTGCCCGAGAGTCCCCGGTACCACATCGTCAAGGGGAGGCACGAGACGGCGAAGAAGATCTTCCAGCGCTTCCACGGCCCCGCCTCGGGCCAGGAGTTCGTCGAGAGCGAGTACCAAGAAGTCCTCGAGACCATGGAGCTGGAAAAGGAGTTTGCCAGCCACGGCATCTCGGAGATGTGGTCCACCAGGGGCAACCGACACCGACTCCTCATCGTCGTCACCGCCGGGATATTCTCTCAGACGGCGGGCGCGAGCATCGTCAGCTACTACATATTCTTGGTCCTGAACCAGATCGGCATCACGGACTCGGACACGCAGCTCATCATCAACGGGTGCATCACCATCTTCAACATGACCGTCGCGACGGGCATGGCCTTCACGGTCGACAGGTTCGGCCGCCGCCCCCTGTTCCTGACCGCCACGTTCGGCATGTGCCTCGCCATGACCGGGTGGACCGTGGCCAGCCAGCAGTCCCAGACCACGGGGACGGCCGCGGCGGGCCGGGCGGTCATCGCCCTCATTTTTGTCTTCAACCTGTTCTACAACTTTGCCTGGTCGGGCTTGTTGATCGGCTACGTGGTCGAGATCAGTCCGTTCTATCTGCGCTCTCGCTACCTCACCATCATGTTGCTGAGTGTCGCCGCCGGGTCCTTCTTCTCGAATTACGTCAACCCGGTGGCCCTGTCCAACATCGAGTGGAAATGGTACCTCTGTTACATCTTTTGGTTGGTCATCCAATCCGTAGTCGTGTACTTCTTCTACATCGAAACGAAGGGGCACACCCTGGAGACCATCGCCGTCTGCTTCGACGGGGAAAGTGCCAAGGTCGGCGGCGAGGCCGCCACGGCCAAGGGGAGAGAATTGTTGAATAATCTGGACTCTCCTACCAAAGTGGCCACCGGTGTACACGTGGAACACACAAGTGGAGGAACAGAAACAACGACGTCTCCTCGACCGGACTCGTACCCGCGGTCGCAGTCTCCGTCTCAGTCTAACGAGGTGGACGTAGAAGAAGTCAAGACAACCTAGGGTAGATGTATAGATCCTAGATGTCTAGATGTCTAGATGCTTTTTAATCGTCCATACAATCTATTTTGGGGGTTCGAGGGGAGCATTTGGTTTTTATGCAGACAAATTCAGCCTCGTCAACCCTCATTTCATGATAATATACCTACCTAAATAGGGTGAATTTCTGCGTTGAAACTTCATGCGTGAGTTATGCGAGTAACAGGCCTAAAAAGATTTGCAGAGACCGGCACAGAAAAACAAACTCGACAGCCTGATAAACCACTCCAATGCCACCCGGCCATGTATCGTTCTAAGGCTCTGTCCGACACGACCGACAAGTAATCCAAACCACCAGGCTTTCGTGATATATGTGCTTGCTTCGCTCCATTCTCAACACCATCTCAACGACGACAGCACGGTACTTTGTTGTTATAGGATCCTCCTACATTCTGTAGGCATCATCCAAACCAAAAGAAAGGCCAGGTATTCTCCACCAATTGATCCAAGAAAGTGGTTATTGTATGCTCGTCACCTCTCTAATCAAGAGGTAACCATCCCCAAAGTCTTTTGACAACCCTCAGACTATCTTAAACACCTTTTTACAATAAAAGAAGCAAAACAGTCCAAACACGGCCAAAGCCGCAGTGGTGCCCCAGAACCAATTGAGATTGTCCACTTCTTGACCTGGAACCTTGAAATTGCCTCCAAACATGCCTGAGACGATTCGAGTCAGCAAAGAACAACACTTCGTCCTGCTAGGGCCTGCATGATCCACCACTACTCACCTGTCACTATATTCATCGGCAAAACAATGGTACCCAGTACTGTCAGCTTGCCTAGCACGTCCGAGGTCTAATCGAAGGCAAAATTGTCAGCATATTGTTCCAGAAAAACACAAACCGACAGAGGCATACCTTTTCTTGTCTTTCGTTCATATGAATGCTGACTTGGGCAAGATAATTGCCATGCGCTCTCGACAAAAGGGTTTCGTAGTGCGACAAGTTGCCAGTCATGGTCAAAATGTGATCTTGGATATCGCCTAAGTACAGGCCAATCTCGGACTTGGGCGCAACCTCCCATTGTTCATTGCAGCGCTTCGCGAAACCCTTGATGACATCGGCCTTGGTGCCCAGCAGTCGGTAGAGTGTCATGACCTTCTTGCGGCATTCACCGATTCTCAACAGCATGTCGATACCACTGATCTCCGGCTCGTCTCTCTCCTTGTCCTTCTCATGATGCTTTTTGGCACCATGGTCGCCGGCGAGCTCGTTCGTATTTTGGAACGACTTGAGAATCTGGTCGTCAATGACATCGACTTCTTGCTCGATGCCCGTGATCAAAGGTTGATACACGTCGGTGATATCGTCGATGATGGCATACGAAATCCAGTCGGCACTGAGGATCAAGTAGTCCGACAGCTGCCGAATCCTCCGCCGGACGTTAGCTGGATGAGGGATCTGAGAGAAGTGAAAGGTCAGGATGCCATGGCGGAACACACACATGTACATGTTGATGGGTTCGAGATAATCTTCGCTCTGAGGGTCCTGCTCAAAAGTCCTGTAGTTGATGAAGTAGTAGTTGCGGAACAGCTCGACCTTTTCGCGTGCTTCTTGCATCATGATATCTTCCGAGGTGAGTGCATGAATCCCGAAAGTCTTACAAAGCACTCGCATTTCCTGTTCGGTTGGGGAAGTGACGTCGAGCCAAAATGTAGGTCGGGGCCCGTACTTCTTTGGCTTCGGGGCGCGCGTTGGTGGTGTCTTCTTTTGCGGTGATGGTGAATTTGAAGCTCTCCTGGGCCCCTTGTCGACATCAAGTCTCGACCTCACGGCCTCGGAGAGATTCGACATGCCAGCGGGTCCCGCCGTGCCGTTTGCACTTTTGGGACTGTGTATCGTGCTCGAATTGTCCAGCGTCTGGCTCGCGGCCGTATGATCTTCATCCTCACTGCTGCTCGAGTCAATGAGCTCTGGCGGGTCGGGGATGAACAATTCGCGGAAAGAGCCTCCAGGCTGTACCAACTCGGAGATCGTTTCGGCGTGGATGGTGCTCTCAAACTCCTCGTTGAAGTAGGTGTATCGATACTGGCGGTCTTCTTCGATGCGGTGCCAGGCATTCTTGACCGGACGCAACCGTCCTTCCACAAATACAGGTTCGCTGATTTTCTTCGCCCTTCGTTCCCCAGCATCTCTTGCCTCCTTCTCAATGCGGCTCCATTCGTCAAGCACCCAGAGTTGAGGCCACTCCCGCTCTCGGCGTTTCCTCCGTCCGCCACCAGCAGGAGGACCAGTTGCCTGGGTGTGGTTATAGTAGTCACCCGCCTCTGAAACCTCGTCTCCGGGAAAACAAACGTCGCCTTCGACGCTGAGATGACGCGAAATGCCCTCAGGCCGCAGCCTTGGGCTCGGAGGGGCTGAATTAGGATCCTGGTTCCGATCATCCTCAATATCAATCAAAACATCCTTGTTCATATCCAGTGCCGGCCTTCGACTATCGGGAGATCGAGTGAGGAAGCTGCCGTCGTGGACCATCACGTCACCATAGTGTGGCTCGAGTGTAGGACTCGGAGGCACGGATGGAGGGTTGTTGACATCGTAGTCCTGATCGCCCTTGGGATAAGAAGCGCCGTTGACATTGAGACGCTTCTTCTGTTTTCGCGACGACGACGAGATGGTAGAAGTGTGTGACTTTCTCCGAAACAGACCGTAACCTGCCTCAGCCGGACTCTTCTTCTGCGACTCGCTGGCGATCAACGGCGTCCGATCAGTAGCGGCTTCGATGTCCGAGTCAGGAAGGCTGGTGGTGTCTTGCTGGCTGCGATGTCGCCTCCGCGTGAGAGCTTCAGGTCTGGGAAAGGCACTGCTGCGGTATGAGGTTGCAAAGAGGTTGGTGGTCAATCTGCTGTCTCTCCTGGGCCGCAGAATTGGCTGCGCTCGGTGGTCAAGAAGGGCCTCACTATCCACGCTCGCACCGCTCAGGTTTCCCTGTGGATTCTGGTAAAAGGGTCGTCTGGCGGAGGCGGATGTGGCAACAAGCTGAGACTCTTCAATCAAGGGATCGTCGTGAGGTCCATCACCGACGCTCTGAATAGCTGATGTTTCTGACGGGGCAATAAAAGACTGTCGTCGAGTCCTCCTCTTCTTGCCACCCCTGTGTTTCTTCTTCTTTTTGCCATCTGGATTGGTGGTGGACTGGTCCTGGGCGGCAGAGGAAGGATTTGGTCTCGAGGGGGTAGGATCACGTGATCTATTTGTAGGATGCTGGGAGGGTTGGCCTCTGTTGGGAGGAGGGAGAGGGTGCATTGATATGGGGTGGGTGGGTGGATGATGCGCAGGTGAGAGATAGCCAGATACTGTGCTGGGTAAATGTCTGAAGATACCTCCTCCAGGTTGAAGGGTAAGTAATAGCCAAAGGTAAAGAGGTGATGATTTCACAACCCAACAAAAGTCTAAGAAAGGTATCAAGATATATCCCCAGAGTTATTCATTGTTTTGTGTCTTTGGTTTGAGAGAATGTCAATCGAGGTAATTGATAGTAAAAAACGCCTATGACGTGAGTGACTCTTCAACGACTTTTGCTAGTACAAATATAGACAAGACAATAACATTAACATCTCTAGAGACCACATTCATAATTAATCACCATCGTCGTCTTCGTAGCTTCAAGGTGGCCGATGAGAGAAGATATTTCGAAGAATTTGGCTCAGATACAACTTGGCTAACTGCTCAACACTTTTATCATCTACAGTCAACAGACGCTAAATAACCGAGTACCAACGGTACAGTTCAAAGATGCTGTATGAACATCTCGTATCGCCCGAACATTCCCTGGAGTCTCGGTGGAACACAAATTTGCTGTACACTGTCTAATGTGCCCTGTAGAAGTAGATGCAAAGGAAATTCGTAACTCATGAGAACCTCGCCCAACGTGGTAAACGGACAGCCATATCCACGTACGTCCCTTGCCATGCCCATATTAGAATATACAGCAGAACATCACAAACAACCCTCCCCTAAAACATGTTATCGTTGGTCTCAATCCCGCTCATGGCACCCAGGCTATGAGTGCTGATGGCTCCAAGACTTCGTGCATCTTGCTGTACCATCATTCGATCGCCCACGCTGCCTCCACTGGCCACTCGTGAGCTCTTGGCCCTCTTTCCCTTGTCTGGCCGGGCGATCAGGACCTGTGCTGGACAGACAACGATTTCGTCATCACCAACCCCATTGTCATCGCCCTTCTTCACCACAAGCGGAAACAGTACCATACGAACCACAGCCTTGTTTCGCTCCAGCTCTTCATTACTCGTGGTTTCGCCGCTTCTCTCATTCATCAGGCTCGCATTGAAATACACTTTGCGGGCAAGGTCGCCGTTGGTGTCATACTCCGGCTGCAGTGGTGGCAGCATGATATACTCCGCCCTTTGCGTACGCATTTCGATCGAGAGATCTACCGCCGTGTGCATGACGTTCCGCAGCGAGCCGATGATCTGTTCTTCCAGATGTTGTGGTGGAGGGAGGAATCTCGACAGGGTGCTGAAAATCTCAATGGCGACGGCCTCCGTGTCATTCTCCCGTAATGCTTTAAAGCTCTCACGTTTCGAGAGCAAAGTGAGCGTCAGAGCTCTCCACTGGTGCACCGCACTCGCAGGCCCAACTTCGGCGAGATTCTTTTCCAGCTGCTTCAACTTTTGGCGTTGCTCACGGTCCATGCCAAAGAGATACCGGGTGAAGACATATTCCCAGATCATGGTCATCACGACCGACATGAAAACATCGCGACGTTTGACACGGTCGGCTAAATAAACGTCCACCTCTGACCCATCGAGGATGGCATTGTCGAATCGGTCCACCACTTTCTCATCGCGCACTTCGTTGGTGGTCCGGCACATCTTGAGATCGTTATACTTGGAGAACCTGAGCACCCAGCCTTGCACCTGTTGACACAGGTTCTGGCAAGCCCCGTCAAAGTAGTCTTCATCGTGGAAATCAATCACGTTGTCGGCACCCTTTTTTAGGATTTCGGACTGCAATTCTCGGATCTTTTCCCGTGCCTCCTCGAGGTCTTGCCGCAGTTGTTGGACTTGGGCATCCTTTTCCGCAAGCGCCGTATCGATCTCGTGTCTCACAATTGACTCCATACCATTCGACAGTTCGGCATGACGAGAACGCAGTGCTTCGAGCTCCCGAGATGATTCCTGCCATTGATTCTGCGCATACTCGTGATCTTGCTGCAGAGTAGCCAGGCTTTGTTCGTGCTCTCGTCTCAGGTTCTCGTGGGTGGCAACCAAGTCAGCTATCTGTTCCTTCAGCCGCGCGATTTCCGCGTCCCTCTCTTGTAATTGACCCGTTGTATCATCCGGGACATTCATTGATCGCTCCGCCTGGTTACGCTCAAAGTGGGCATGCTCCAGGGACTGCTCGGCCATCATCTTGGCTTCCGCTAGAGCGCGGTTTTCAGAGGCGAGTTGATCCAGCCTTGCCTCGAGGTCCTTGATCTGTTGCATACTTTGTCGGCGGCGGATGCTAGGTGGTCGTGTCGGCGACTTGGGGCTGCCTGGGTAGGAGCCATAGCCATCCTGTGCAGATGATGGTCAGCAACTTGAAACGCGTCATTGGGGGCGGCGTGTCGTTTGGATACTCACATAGACGTCTGCCATGTCCCTATCGCGGGAGACAGCCTTGCCTGGATCCTGATCATGCACGGACTTAGTGGGTGGAGGACTGTGCACGGAGCGGTCGAGTTGATCGGAAGAGCCGCGCAAACTGCGCAACGACGAAGTCCGCGATTTGCTGTTGCCAAGAGATTTGGCGGGTCCCAGATCACGTGCCATCATGCCCACCACCCCGGCCCCCATCAACCGGTTGTTCTCCGATCGAGACTGTGGCAGCAGTGAAATGGGCGGTCCTGCAAATGGGTGCGTCTGAGTAGCCCTCGGATGAACATCTGCCGTCTCCTCACGAATGGTGTTGAGCGAGTTACGTGGTGAGAATGAACGATCGCCATTTTGAGCTTCGAATGCCGTCGGTTTGACCTCCGTCGGGACGGACCTACCGAGGGGACTCGACGCTAACATGTCGTTTGGCCCTAGAGTATGCGGCGATTTGGCTTTGTGCCTCAGCTCCTCTCGACTGAGATGATGACCGTGAATGCTTGGGCTTCGACGGAGAGGGCTTGACATGGTTGCAGGGCTTCTCTCTCCAACCCTGGTGTCGATTGGCGTTGGCATCGCCGGAGAGGAGTTGAACAATGCCGATGAACGATCCTTTGAGGTGGACTCGACGGGTGAAGGCTTCCGCCTCGGTGTTTCCAGAATTGGTCTCTCTTCCTGGTGCCCTTGCCTTGATCCAATCAGTGACACATCTTCTGTCGAGCTCGTGGGAGAGTGTGGTCTGGGGGGTCGCAGTGACACGTCTATATCAGCATCAGCCTTCTCCGACACGCCTTGAACAAAGCCACTGTCCCTGGTCGACGAATTCTGACCCTGTGTGAGCATTGGCGAGTCGATTTGGATCCCACTATCACGATTCTCTTGCTCTTGCCCGAGTTGAGCAAAAGACCAGCCCGCGGAGGGCTGTTGTACCGGTGATGGCGCTTTGCGGGAGGCTACTGTGGAACTTGCGTGTTCAGTGTGGCCAATGCCCAGTCCAGCAGCAACGACAAGTGCAGTATCCATAATGTCGTCGTGGTCTGGAGGAGGCGTGAGAGCTCGACTTGTTGGCAGGTCTTCTGGTTCCTGTCCTGACCAGGCAGGAGGAGACCGTCTCCGCTTCCGTCTTTCTCGGGTGCTTGCACTCACATCAGACATTGCCTCTTCATCTTCCTGACGCTGAATGGTGTCTGCAGCCTGTAATTGTCGACCTTCGTCGGCGATAAAGTCTGCACCTCTTGATGGTTCTGCTTCATCGATCTGTGCCGGGCCAAGGCCTTCCAGAGAACGGGTAGCGTATACTTCGTCCCCTGTGTACTCGAATTGCCTGCGGTTCTTCTTGCCTTTCTTCTCTACTGTCTCCTGGAGTAATTCTGTCCCGTCAAACTCAAATTGCCGGTTCTTCTTTTTGTTTTTCTTGTCTTTGCTAGCACCATGTTCCTCGACCAGCTCCTGACCATCTGACCTTGGATCTTGGTGGATAAGATCTTCCCGGGCGAGCATATGGTTGCCAAAAGCTTCAGCAGCATCGAGGCTTCGAGCTTGTTCTACTGGCTCATCAACAGATGCTGCAGCAGACGCGATGCCAGCCAGCTCCAGGGCATTCCCAGTCCCAGCCATCATCAAGGTCGGATCCCGTACTGCTGTTTCAACGGTTGGCGGAAGAGGAAGAGCCTCTGTCTCAGGGATAGAAACCATCCGAGGTCCCTGGTTATCTTGATCCTGACGAGACTGTTCTGCTTCAGGCGTAGATTGTGTCGAAGTCTCTGTAATTTCATTGTCTCGTCCCTCCTCAGATTCAGCCCAGAAAGCGAGTGCTTTCTTCTTCTTGTCCTTCTTGGACTTTTTCCGGCTGACAGGAGCAAACGTCTCCATATCTGGAGCCTCCGACAAAGACTGAGGATTTATATCCGTTCCAGCTTCACCAATTTTACTCGGGTCCGACGCTTCCTTTGTGAAGATAGGCTCATTATTCATGTGTTCGGTCTCGTCATCAGGTGTAGCAAGGTCAGTGTTGGCGAATGGCCCTCGGCTCTTCTTGGCCTTCTTTCCTTTCTTGGTGGTGAAATTCCAGTCATCCTCAGGGGCAACATCAACTGTCTTGGAGTCTGTGGGTAGGGTTGTATCAGCAACAATGTTCGGCGCCAATGTTTCCTCAGGCTCTGTCAACGCCACAGGCTCTTCGGTAAAGCTATCTGCAAGAATTGACTGCTTCTTCTTTTTCTTGTCCTTCTTGGACTTTTTGGACGAAAAACTCCAATCCATTTCAGGTCGCGGAGGTTCTGCTTGATCGCTGGAATCCTGGACAGAATCACCAGCTATAGCCTGTTGTGATTCTTGTCGAGAGTCGTGATCGGAGGTATCAGCTGAAGGCTGAGGCATTTCGGGCGACTCAGGTAATGATTCCCCATGTGTATCGCGCACGTTTTCTGCCACTGCTTCTACGTCGTCATCTCCGCCTCTCTCGCTCTTAGGAGGGCTCGTACTAGGCGCCAAGTCCAGAGGCACCGGTGCAATCGGATTTGGTTGCTGCCGCTCTTCCCACATCTCTTGCATCTTGGCCTGTTTACTCTTTCTTTTCTCCTTTTTGGATTTCTTTGTGGACAAGGCCCACTCGTCATCAATGCCGGCTTCAGGTTTCAGCTCTTTGGTCGAGGCTGTGGCCGGCAGCGATGTACCAGGATTTGCGTTCTCGGCATCTGCTTCAGGCTGAGTCAGTGGTGCAACAGACGACTCATCGGGCTCGAAAGTGTCCAGCGAAGACTTTCTCTTTTTCTTCTTGTCCTTCTTGGTCTTCGCCGTATCGAGGCCCCAGTCCTCTTCACGTGGTTCTTCAATAGAGACAGCATCTTTCGATGATTCGAATGGTTCTGACTTTGGCATATCTTGTGCTTCGGTCACTTCGGAATTTGGAGTAACAGTAGGCTGGAAAGGGTACACTGCATCTGCAGCAGTCTGTCGAGGCACAGTGTCCAAGTCAGTTGTCTCAGAAGATTTGGTGACCGTATCGGCGTTGTCAAGTGACCTCTCCTGCTTTGACTCTTCTCCATCGTTCTGGTCGCTGATGTGGTGCGAAGAAGATTGACCTTCAAGATGTTCCAGCGGCGTGGCCACGTCTTCGATTTCTGCTTCGATTGCGGGCTCGCCAGGCTCTTGGTGCCGGCCCTGTTCTGTCGGATGTGACTGAACAAACGAATTTTCGGCAGTTTGAACGACGGGGAGCGAGGTTAAGGAATCCTCTGTCGCATTGCTCTCTGGATGTGGGTCTTTCTCGAGCTGTGGTGGCCGGACATCGCTTGGAGTTGCATCATTCTGCTCCTCGATCAGGATTGAAGATGGCCCGAGTTGATTCGGCTCGGGAATTGTATCATTTCCCGCATCATTTTGTCGTTTCTTCTTCTTCTTTTTGTCCTGTTTTGATGACTTCTTAACAGCCCATGTGTCCTCAGAGGCTTGGTCGAAGGGAGTCGTTGATTCTGGCTCTTCTGTCACGTGGGGGGTGCTCTCATATGGCAATTCAGGTTCAGCTTGAGGTGTGAGGGAATCCCGAGCTTGCTCCAATGCAGGTTCTTCTTCTTCCTTGGGAAGGAAACCCTCATCAAGAGTGGACTGGCGTTTCTTCTTTTTCTTTTTGTCCTTCTTTGACAGCTTACTGACGCCCCATTCGTCCTCAATTGCGGGCTCTGCTGCCCGACCCATTGACGTTGCTGGAAGCTCGGAAGAAGCTCCAGTATCATTAATCTCTTTGACAGCTGAAACGGGCACATGTTCCATGTGCCCAGGCTCTTCGCTTATGATTGGTTCAGGGTCTAAGGACTCTTCGAGGATGTCATTGACAGACTCAAGTGTCCCTGGTAGCTGAGACGAAACTTGTGCAATCTCATTATGCATTAATGTTTCTGGCTTCTCTTGAGACGCATTCTGGACCTTGTCAGTTTCTGGGGTAACTTCATCCCAAATCGATTGGCGTTTCTTCTTCTTGTCTTTCTTGGACTTTTTGGTCGGAATTGTCCACTCGTCCGTGACCGGATCGCGTTGATCCTGGACAGCAGGGATTTCTGCACTCCCCGAGGCATTGTCTTGATCAGAAGGTGTCCTGGAAGTCATAATTGATTCCGCATCTGGGATCGTCACCGGAACAGCAGGCTGGGGGTCCTTGTCGTATGGGAATACGTGAGCGAAAGAAGATTCGGCCAAATCTTGAGGGGTTACATCAGGCTCTTCCATACCGAAGGTTTCAACCTGCTTCTGAGCTGGTGGGATGTTGTCCACTTGAGTTTGGAGTTCAGCTTTTTCGACCTCGGTGTCCTTGAAGTTGTCAACATCAGACAGCACAGATTCTTGACTTTGCAGTGATACTTGAGGCTCTAGATCTCTGGCTGCTGGCACTGGGTCACCGGTGGTCGTCGGTGTTTTGCCCGCGGCAACTTCTATAAAAGATGCCTTTGGCATTGGCAGATCCATTGAGGGCCAATCGATAGCAGATTCGTGTGGACCGACATGTTCAGCCAGACCTTCTCCTTCTATACGATCCACGTTCTCCGATACTGGAGGTGATTCATTAAAACTTGACTCACCGGTATGTTTCTTCTCCTTGACTGTTTCCAAAGGTGAGGCGACTATAGCCTCTACCGCTTCCGAGCCTGCAGCATGATCAACTGCCTTTTGAGGATCAGATGCAGTTGGTTGATTGTTCTGAGAAAGTGAATTTTCATCTGGCTTTGAGTCCTCGGATTGCTCTTGCTTTTGCTCTTGCTCTAAGGAAACGGGTTGGGGTTCGAGAAGATCCGATTGTTGCTTTTTCTTCTTTTTGTCCTTCTTTGACTTTTTTGATGTGAAATTCCAAATGCTGTCATCTTCAACGGCTTGAGCAGGACTTAGAATCTGCTCAACCTCATACCCTGTCGCTGAAACCTGAACGTCGTCAGAGGGTGTCACATTGGGTGCTTCCCGGGCAGCTTCCGACGTGACAGGAGCTGCTACTGTTGAGGAAATGCCTACCACGTCTGGAGGAAGGATGTCGGTCTCAGTCGGAGCTGTTCCGAGAGTAGATTGACGCTTCTTCTTTTTGTCCTTCTTGCCTTTCTTGGTAGTCAGATTCCATTCTTCTTCGGGCGAGGCTTGCTCAGGCACCCCAGATTGCGCTGTAACAGCAGGCTCTTCGGGTTCAGTCATCAAAGCACTCTCAACAGGCTGGAAGTCACTCCCAGTCGTGTCGCTCTTTGATTGTTCATTGCCCTCTACATAGCTGGACTGTTCCGGGGCAGATTGCAAGGCTGAGAGCCGCTTGTCCTTCTTTTTGTCCTTTTTCTTGTCTTTCTTAGACTTCTTCACTGGTATTTCCCAAGACACATCTTCAGTTGTCTTAGCATTCTCCTCTGTCGCCACTGTGGGCAAGATTTGTGCAGAGACGTCGGCTGATCCCACCTCCGGGCTGTAGAATGCTTCCGAAGGTGTCTGGTCTGTGATCGTCTCAGGACCGGTAGGCTCAGTTAGAGGTTCTCTTGAAAGATCTCCGGTACCCTCTGCTTCGGCGGAATGGACCCCTGTCATAGGGTTCTCGACTGCAGGAGTCTCAACTGAAGGAGTCTCAACTAAAGGAGTCTCAACTGCAGGAGTCTCGACCGCAGGAGTCTCAACCGCAAGAGTCTCAACCGCAGGAGTCTCAACCGCAGGAGTCTCAACCGCAGGAGTCTCAACCGCAGGAGTCTCAACCGCAGGAGTCTCAACCGCAGGAGTCTCGACTGAAGGCTCTTGAGCAAAGGAGGGCTCCCCGAGAGGGGTCGGCTCGGGTCGATTATCAGCTGAGGCAGTGCTTTCGAACGGCATCTGGCTTTCAGGATTGGCTGCGTCGTCCGCGATGGGAGTAGTACCGGAAGCCACATCTTTGTCTGACGGGTGTGGGCCAGAATCTTCTGCTTGGGCAACCCCTTCTTTGGGACCATCTTCAGCTGGATTGGCCAATGCCTCATCCTCCATCAAAGTCCAGTCCAATGTCGACTTCCGCTTTTTCCGTTTCTCGTTTTTCGACCTCTTCGGTTCCAACATTGAATATTCGGAGCTTGCACTATGGTCCGGGAGATTTTGCCGAGTTTCGGGCGCCTCGGTATCTGTCGTCGGCTGACCCGTTGATGATGCTTCCTTGGAGGGAGGCACGATTGTGTCGGGCTGTTGTATTGTCTCTTCTGGTGCCGGACCCTCCGTGGCGTCTTCGTCGAGCGTCAAGCGCTTCTTCTTGCCTTTCTTCTCCTTCTTCGATTTCGGTGCACTGATGCTGAAAAGGTCTTCGTCGGCGTCCTTCGCTGTTTGCAGGGCAGGATCTTGCTGGAGTGGCACTCTGTCATCAGATACTTCCGTTGCAGTGGCTCTTTCCAGGCCGTCATGAGAGACCGGCACAGCGGCGGACGTCATGTCTTGGACAATGGAGCCAGGTTCCATTAGGGTGCTCTTAGCAACCTGAATATCTTGGCCTGGTCCTTGGTCTGGTTCGGCAGCATGAGATGGCTTCACGAAACCCTCAGCAATTTCTTGCTGCCTGTTTGACTCTAGAGCTGCAGCGTTTTCGAAGATTGAAACATCAGAGACGTCGTGCTTGTCCACTGCAAAACCCGACTCTGGCGTAAGGGGAGTAGAGACCAGGTCTTTTGTAGAAGCTACCTCGGGTTTTTCATTCGTCCATGCGACGCTTTTCCGCTTGGACTTCTTCTTGCCTTTCTTCGTGGCAGGTGCCCAGATGTCGTCTGCCTCTGGCTGTACGGCCTGCGACGAATCTGGTTCTTGCTGAACTGCATCAGCCGAAGGTTCATAACTCGGCTCGCCCACATATTGTGTAGCTGGACTCGGTAGTGCATCGGGTGTGTCGGCAGTAACGGCATCTTGCGTAACTTGTGGTGTCTCAGCGTTTGTATCCTCGTCATCACAACTTGACCCCTTCTTTTTCTTGTTTTTCTTGTCCTTCTTGCCCTTTTTGCCTTTCTTGACCTCAACAGGCCATTCTTCATCACCACCCTGCTCTTCAACAGTAGGTTGAGCATTTCCCGAAGGTCCGGCGACACTTGGAACTTCTACAGGAGCAACATCTGAATCATGCAACACATCGTGATTCGAAGCAATCGCGTCCTCTTCTTGTATCTCGAAGTCGTTGCCGAAAGGATTAGGCTTACTCTTGTCTTGGAGGTTACCTTCAGGATTATCAAGGCTGATATGGGTCGGAATATCCGACACGTCTGGCTCCTTGCTTGTCAAGGCCTCCATTCGCTGGGTGGAGCTTTCTTCAATGCCTTCGACAGCATCAGAGAGGCCTTTGGAAGACTTCTTTGCTTTCCGCTTCTCCTTCTTGGACACCTTCCGTCCCAACTGAGGATATATCGGCTCGATTTCACTTGCAGACGGAGGCAATTCGTTAACCTCGTCAATCGTGGTCAGTAGAGCACCGTTGTGATCCTGCTGTTCGCTGTGATCTGCCTGCAATGATTCAAAAGCGTCTTCGGCTGTGGAACCAGCAGTTAGACCTCTTGCAGCGATTGCTGCATCGAATGCTTCCTCAAACGGGCTTGACTCTAACTGGCTGGACTCTGCAGCATCACGAGAGATCTCGTGGGCATCAGTGCTTCGGGTTAACTCTTGTACCGTACCAACATTGTCAGGCATTCCAGCTTTCATTTCTGGTGCTTCTTGACCTGATGGTGCTTCGGTTGAAGGTTCATGGACAGGACGCTCCAGCTCTCTGCCATCTTCGGCCTGCGCCGATGGGTCCTGATCCTTGACAAAGGAGATGTCTTTCAGCTGTCTGTCACCAGGGGCAACTTCGTTGTTGCCAGATTGGCCGTTGTTGGCAACAAGGTCATCGCCTAAAGCTGCGTCCGAGACTGCGATGTCAGCCTCGAGAGGCACGGAATTCCGTTTCTTCTTTTTGTCCTTCTTTGACTTTTTGATCTTGAAACCAACAAATGGCTGGTCATTCTCGAGGTTTTCGGCCGGTAATAATGTTGTGTCTGTACTCGCACCTCGAGAGGCTTCGGTAGCATCTGGTTCGCCTGGTTCTCTTTGCCGGCCTGCTGGATCAGAAAGTGCTTCCGCTGCCTCAGCCGGCAAGTCTTCCGTATTTGGAAGTGATGCTAGGGGTACATCTTTCTGAGTCACAAGATCCTCACTGAGTGTGATGTTGCCATCACGCAAAGCATCAGGCTTGGCTTTAGGGGTTCCTGGTGTACTCGATGTATCATGATTATCCTGCACTGAGGTCTCGGCCATCCGTACATCGTTCCCTGGACTTTTCAGCACTTCGTGTGCACCAGCCGCCAGCAAGGAACCAGCAACAACACCTGCGGCCGTTGTTGTCATTGCATCTTCCCACGCTGCAGAAGTCGATCTGGAGGTTGACTTGCTTCTTCCCCGACTAACACTCCTCGCTCTTATTGGGGACGCGCTTCTGCTGTGAGCACTCATGTAGTCTTGATCAGCATCGGTACTAACAACGCTGGGCAGGGGGCTCGCTGGCCTATCAGCCTCATCAAGGAAAGCGGCTTCCTCGTACGCAGCCGGATCCTGGAGCAATTCACTTGGGGAGTGAAATTCGTACTTGGGTTTTGGCTTCTTTTCGGAATCGCGTGCCCGTTGAGCCTCAGTTGGGACCGGAGTAGCCGATCGAGAGTCCAGATAATCTGGGGATTCCCGCCTCTTCTCGTCGTGCCAGTACGAATAGCTGTGTCTTCTACCACGGTCACGGAACATTTCAGCACTGACACGGGAAGGGGTGAATTGGTTGTATTCTTGCGTTTGGGCCTCCGCTCGAAGGTTCTCTGTCGAGGCATGCGCCGAACTCGTCCTGCTTGAAGGTAGGGATGGATATTCTTCGCCCGGCTCGGATTCCAAAGTTTTCGCGAAGTTCTGCCTCTCGACAAGGTAAAGAGGCCGGAATTCCTTACTCGAACGAAACTCCGTGGACTTTGGTCTTCCCTGCCTCGTGCGTGGTGTAGCTAGGGGAGATATAGGTGAAGCAATCGGTGAACTCATGGAAAACCGCGCAGTCGTTGGCGAAACAGGAGGCCGTCGAAAATGCAACGGCACTGCTGTCGGGGAACTAGTGGCCATTGGGCTAGACGGAAATTCGCCTGTCCTTAGAGCTGAAAGCCGCTGAGAAGAAGCGTGTTGGGGCGTAGAGGGATGGAGGGCTTCATGGGACGATTCTGCGTCTGTTGCACTTGGCACAGGAAGAGTAGTTGTCCCTTCAGTTAGTTCTTCTTGTCCGGATACATGAGGCTTATTCACTTCTACAGCAGTCTCTGGCTGGGAACCGGGAGAGACAACAGCATCGGTGTCAACCTTCCTCGATTGATGTTTCTCGGTTGCAAGCCCCGAGACACCATCAGTATCCATTGGCATAGTTGTGACCATTGGGGGTGGCATTTCGGGGCGCCTCACTAAAAAAGACGCTTCTTCGACAGGCGTCTGGGTGGGTTTGCTGGGGTCTTCTTCTGCTGAGACAAATCCATCATCAACGCTTTGATCTCTTGATTTCGAAGGTTGCGACTCATTGCGGCTCAGGGAAGTACGACGGCTCCTGCTCGGCTCAGAAGCAGTGGACTCGCCAGGATCAAAGGCAAAATCTTTTGAGGATCGTTTTCCTCGCGATGTGCGCCGATCCTCGCCATCCCGGCTCGTTCGGCTATCTGACTTAGATGACTTTGAACTCTTCTTGCTGGACGTACTGATGTCACTTTTATTGCTGGAAAAGAGGCCGCTGAAGAACCCTCCAGCCTTTGTGTCATCGGTCCTTTCAGAGGATAATGGCACACTCACTTTGGAACGATGGTTGTCATCATCGATGGGCTCAGGTTCACCAAAACCTGTACTGCTACGTTTGGATTTGCGTTTCGATCTCCCGGCTTCAGATTTGGTTTGCAAGTCAGAAACATCGTCTAGCGTGCGAGAGCGGCGAACTCGCTCGATCTCTGGTTCAGGCATTGGGATGTCTTTGTCAGTCCTCTTCGGTGATTTGCGCCCAGAACCGACGTCGCTCTTAGAACTTCGTTTCCCTTTTTTGGGATTTTTGGTGTCCTTTTGGCGCTCCCATTCTTCGGGATCTGACTGATAATGTGGTACGGAGTCGGTTATTGAGCCAGGTTGCGCTGCATCGTCAAGATTTGCCGGCATGTTAGTAGGCGCAGACTCTCCTTTGCTATCAGCAAGGTAGTCGAACACGCTATCGTTTCCAGGGATGTGCGGTATTTCGCCATTGTCCAATGAATCGAATTGCTCACGTGATGAGCTCGCACGCTCTTGACGACGCTTCTCACTCTTACTTGCCCTCACAGGTGTAGCAAATTCCTGACAGCTACCGTCTTGCAGTATACCTGCCACCCCTTGTGATCTATCCTCGGTACCCTGATGCAATGGATATTGACTCGTCACGTGCGAGGTGGCGGTAGAACCCAGCTGAGAATCATTGTCGATCTTGCCATTCACACCCAGATCACTCACGGTTTCGGAGAAGGGGCCTTGAGAGACTGTTCGAAGACTTGGGTCTTCAGTGGCCGAAATGGAAGTCGGATCGCGGCTGTCTCCAGTTGAGGCTGCTGGTTGGCGATTTGGGCCAGTCTCAATTTGATCGGCTTCAGTGTCATCCACAGTCCAGGCACGGCTTATATGAGGTCTGTCATCTACAACAGGCACCTCTTTCTCCAACTTTGCAGCGTCATCCCCTTCCAGAGTCCATACACGACTCATGGTAGGACGAGATTTTCCCTCTTCGTCCATTGACGTCGGACGATCTTGGTATGTCTCTGCAGTTTCGGCTTCATCCCTTGGCTTTCCTTCGGGCATGAAATCTGTGTGTTCGTACTCGGGGGTCTGCACTTCGTACACGTAAGTATCATGATCACCCCAGGTCACCTTAGACCCATTGCTAGTTTTCCGTTCCAGAGGCTCCCCAACAATGTTATTTCCGTCTTCCGCCTGCTTCGACAACTGCGGTTCAACAAGAGGACTTGTGTCACCCCGGACACTATGAGTCTGGCTACCGGGTGGAGTTGGCTCAATGAGTTCCAGCATGGGAACTGTCCAAGGATACGACGAAGGATCATCTTCGAGTGACAGGCCGAAAGGTCGATAAGTGAAAGGATCGAAAGGATGTCGAGGTTTCGAAAGCGCCGCTCCAGGAACAATTTCAACCACGTTTGCATCCATGTCATCCCGGTGTTCGGCTTGAGCATTGTGCTCTTTCAGGTGCTCTTGAAGCTCTTGCGGAACGAAAAAGGAGCCATAATCTTCGTGGACTGGTGACGGAGTTGATCTGACACGTTGCGCTGCCATTTTTGCGATCCGCTCTTGTTGAGTCTCCATGGGCGGAGAGGCCTTTCGTTCCTTCGACCTCTTCAAGCTCGATCTACGACGAGGAGCGCCCTCCTCTGGTGGATTGCTACTCTTGCTCTTTGATGCCAGAGCAACAGTGGCTGCTACTGCTGCCGCGGCGCCGGCGGCGACGGCGGCACTTGAACGTTCGTTGCGTCGCTTGTGCTCGCGTTCTTCTGCCTCATGTTGCTCTGCGTAGAGACGCTTCAGCTCACGTTCGATTTCTGCAACTCGTTCATCGGATGAATCTAACGAAGAGTGTCGAGAGTTGGATGAGCGTGTCGCTTCCGGGTGTGCCATCCTCTGCAAGGCACCCGGTTCGGCCACCAAATCATTTCTCGTATAGTTGACCTCAGCAGATCTGCGCCGTCTTTTGTCATCGCGTCCACTTCCCCACACGTTTCCTCCTTCTTCAGCACGGTGTTCGTTCTGTAACTGCGATTCAGTCAGGCTGAAACTAACGTTGCTCTTCTGATCCTGAGAACCCAGTTTGGCTGGACTTGAGTCACGCCTGGAGCGCCTCGACTGATGTCGTGAGTCCAGGTCACCTTGCCGACGACCATTGCGGTAATCGTCAGTCGTTGAAGAGAAGTCAGTTGATGCATGACGTCCTGTCTTGCGCGTTGGACCGAATTCGTTCTCATGGAAGAATGGTACCACAGGGACTACAGGCTGAGGTTGCTGTAAGGGTACGGACGTAGCAGAAACCTTTCTCGGTTCGGACACGATGTATTTTGGGGCACTGAAACCGTGATTCGAGATTGGCCTCGGTTCCACTTCTCGCATGGGAGGAAGATCACTGTGGCTGGCTGCAACCGGGGGTATCTCATCACGGCCATATGAGGCAGCCAAAACGCCAGCTGCAGTTGCACCTGCGGCTAGGACTCCAGCGGAGCCAATATTGAATGCTGAAGCATCGTGGCCATTCAAGCGTCTGGAGTCGTCGCCGTACTGTAGAGGTTGCCTTCCTGCTATAGTAGAGCCATGATAAGGTGATGTCTCCGTAGGCTTTGTCGGTCTCTTATTTGGGACGAGTGACTCCCGGCTCTGGATTGCTGAGACGCTTCCTCCATACGCGAGCGCGGAGTCTATACTTGAAGAACTTCGATTATCATCGTCATCGGTATCGTACCATTCATCATCATTTCCACCGCTTGAATCGTGACTTGTTTGCGTTGGAACACGACGTCCCCCATATTGTGTGTCATGTCGTCCTGTTGTTATATCAGCATCAAATCTCTGCTTACCTCTCTTATCTCGCCGAAGACTTTCAGCAGCCAATGCTTCGCCTGTTGCCACGAGGCCCATGATAGCTTCACTTGATTCTCGTCGAGTCGGCCTGCGCTTGCTGTTATGGAGGCGTTTATTGGAGTTCCTTCGACGCACAGTAGCCGCCCCGAAAGCAAGGTCGGCATCAGACGATGAGCTCGATGCATTGCCAAAATTGAAAAATCCTTTGCTTTTGTGGCCCTGTTTCTTGTTTGCTGAGGGGCTTGTGAAAAAGCCCATCAAGCCACCTGACCCTTCATTAGTTGTTGAGAGGTCGACATAAGAATGCCTAGGCGAGACCCGCTTTGAGTAATAGCGTTTTTGCTGCGGTGAACGACTCCGGTCCCGCCTTGATGTATCACTAGCAGCGGCGGCTCCCATTGCTAGTCCTGTAGCACCAGCAGCCGCGACACTGAATGCAGCACCCCTAGACAAGCCACGTGACGCTGATGAAGTACTGGAATCACGTCGGGTGTTGCGTCTTCTCTGGCTTTGCGAATGAATCTTACTCGAGCTGTAGGAGACATCGTGATCTCTTCGACTGATGTCTTCTGAGGCTGTATCTCGTTGGGTTCTGCGCTGATGGGAGCGCTGGTCATCCTGGAAACTGACTCGATTTTGGTTGACCGGCCTTCCAGACCTGACAGAATATGTATCGTCGAAATCGTGTTTGTTCTTGTACATTGCGTCTCCGATCTTGGCTGCTCCATAACCTGCCAGTCCGCCGGCGACCGCTTTCTTTACACCTGATCGACGCCGTCTCTCCTCATCAGAAGAGTACCGGTAAGTCTTGTCCACGCGAGAGGTACTACCGTTTGGACCACCAGAAGAACGACTTTTCGGGTGATAATGATGCCTACGAGGTGCATCTGCTGGCGAACTAGTGGGGTCAAAGCAGTATTTGCATACACCAATCGCTTCGGTGTACTGTTCATACTCCGCCACCGCATCTGGGTCGCGGAACCAGTCGACAAGTTTACCTAGAGGCCCACGACGTTTGTGACGATGGACTTGCTGTGTCTGACCTTGGGGAAGATGTGAATGTGGGCGGCCATGTGAGGATGTTTGCGCATTTGTACCAGAGCTGTAATGTTGACTCTGGAACTCCCCGTGATGTGAGTGAGCTGACATGTATGCTCCAGCGGCAGCCCCAGCCAAAGCTGAGCCGCCAAACATCGCTGCGCTGGAGTGCTGTTGAGGCCCACCAAAATTAGCAGGTGCTGAGAATGGTGCAGGAGAGACCTGAGCTCCTGGTGGTGGGCGAGATGGCGTCTGGTATGCAGGTCCATTCATAGGTTCCAAACTTCCACCTGCATAATACTCGGCAGCGAGACCCAAGGGCGGTGCTCCTGGAAGCGACTGGGTTCCTTGAGGACCAGGGCTCGACCTTGGGCTTGTTCCAGTCTGACCGTGCTTCGATGGTCTGCCTGGCTTCAGATTCGGCTTTTGGGTAGGCTTAGAAGGGGTCGACTGCACTCCAGAGTCCGACTCGAATTTAGCTGAACCGAAATAGCTTGCAGCTGCACCAACCTGACCCATACTACTTGGTTCGGGAGGCGGCTTTGCGTCCGGGGTTGGTTCCATAAGATGCGTCTGGTCAGCGCTGGTGATAATGCTAGGTTGGTTTGGCCGGACTCCAGGTTGCTGCGCGACAGACTCCCCGTTGTCGCCGTAGTAGTCGGCAGCCAGACCAGGCGGGCGGTAAGGCTCTGCATAGGTCGCAGGAAATTCTCCTGGGAACTGATTTTGGGACAACGACGCCTCATTGCCCTCGTATGTGCGAGTCCTGCTCTTTCTCTCCGTCTTGCTCGACTTGCGCGAGTCTCGGCGACCGCTCTGAGTGTCTCCTTTGCTTATACTTGTATACTCATCTCTTTCCAGATCTTCAGACCGCCCTCTGTCTTGGGCATATCTAGAACTCCTACGGCTTTTGCGCGAGAAATCCTGAGTTCTTTCCTCGCTACCGTTCTGTGCAGTATAATATGTGCCAGATATCTCCGATGGTTCAGCTGTGAGGACAGGCGTGAAGGACGTGGTCTCGGCCGATCGCGATGCGCGTGCATTTCCCTCGCTGTCCTCCTCTGCGTCTTGTCGACGGGACTTGCGGCGGGATGATGTCGATATTGAATCGGAATCATGCCGATCTTTGCGAATGCCATTCTCTTCAACAGTGCGGCGCAAAGATCTGGACGAGCCTTGTGAGCCACTTTGATGACGGCCGGAGCTGGATTTCCCCATGGCGCGGGCCGTGCGGGTTGATGGGTTCGTAAAGAGGTCAAGGCTTCCTGTGCATCAGGCAAGGATTCGCGGGGATTCGTGAGGCCTTGAGTACAACAATTCGTAAGAGCATAATTATTTCGTGTTGAGAATATTAGACGAGCGGTAGATAAGATCAGATGACCAGCGGCTGAAATTCCATCAGCGTATGCAAGACATCCTGAACTGCAAGACTGACACAGGGTTGCTTTGCTGGCGGTGATGATTCCCACTGTCGCGTCCTCCACTGATGGATTTGAGTGGCTGGGGATTTGGAGCCACACACACACACGAGTACGAGTACGAATACGAATAAGGTATCAAGCCTTGGGAAATTGCCACACAAACGACTCGTACCAACAACGAGATTTACGTACATCTTCGCGAGGTGGTCTGCATTGTATCCCGCAGTGTAATATCAATTCGAAAATGGAAGATATTTGCAAGGCAAGAAAAGTCAATCAATCTTCATTACACCATATCTTTCTCGTAGTTTATGGAGCTATGGAGGAGGACGAGCACATCTTTAGGGAGCTACATTCCTTGTAATAATCCAACACCAATGTGCATCTTGCATGGCTTGAAGGAACCCCATGAGCCAGACTGCGTGGCCAGTATGTTTGAGATATCTGACCTTGTCCCAATGGCCGACAGTATAAAAGGCTGTCTTCTGCCGTGACAAAAACACGTTCATGCGCTTCTTGTTGACAAGCCAGCCAACACGCCCTTCTGTCTTCGTCATGGAGAGGATAACTTCTTTTCCAGTCCTTGCGATGAATCCACAGTTTCCACAATCTCTGCAGGCCAACCCTCCCTACGAGCTAGTTGCTGTAGGAAGTTGACCTGGCCCCGAAAGCGGCTTAGGACAGCGATGTGCTGTGCCTTTGCGCCCAGCTACAGGAGGGTTCTGACCAATGCGCTGACTGCCTGAGCCTCATTCTCGTCCACTGTCGAGAATCGAAATGCCCTTGAGGGCCCTTGGAGAGAGTTTGACACGTTCAGAAAATGAGTCATTCCTGTTAGTCGGAACGTTCTTCTGTTGCTGTTTTCAAATTGAAGGGCCAGTCTGGTGAGGAGACTTTGAAGAAACTCCCCTGTTGGTTTTCAAGTCTGATGGAGGAAGTTGCAATCGACCATCATAGAAAGCATGTTGGTGTGTCTTCCAGGCTGATCGTGCACATGGAAGTTCAAGTCCATCATTGTTATCTGGTGGTTGCCCCAGATCTAGGCAGCGCTCGAGAAGTGACCTTCCCATCATCTCTCCTCCGATGTCTGTTAGATAGAAGGCGCCGGTTTGCGCAAGGTGTCCCACAAGGACGAGTCGTTGGACATCGTATGTTAGGCAGGGTAATAAACATATATATATTTAGAAAGGAGGCTTAGAATGAGACAGGCGAGAAGCCTGAGAGAGAAATCTGAAGAGAAAGAGGGAGAGGGAGAGGGAGAGAAATAAGCGGATAAAGGTCTCTTATATAGGATCTGAGGGAGTGGGTAGTGAGTCAGAGATTACCCTGGAAGAGTCTCTTCACGAAACTTTTGAACAGTGACATGGAATATAGTGAAACGAGCGAGACACAACGAAATAAGTGAATCAGCCAGCAGAATAGTGTATTAATCACTGGAGAGAATAGTACCTATTGAGACATCCAAGAGCCCTGGTAACAGTGACATCGAAATCGCGGCGGGTGACTTCGATAATGTATTGCTCTGCTCTGCTCACTGGTTTGTGAATTCCACAGTGAAGAAACTCGATCATAAGATCCATTCTTCTACACTGTTTCCCCACCAAGCAAGGTGACTTTTGTGAGACATTTGCCTTATGCTTCTGTACACAATCCTGTTGCAGCCTTCTCTCGTTGAATAGGTACTTTACGACCAAACCTCAAATGACTCACGCAGTATTGTACAAGGTCTCAAAGTTTCAGTCTTTATGGGTATAGTACTTCCGCCAGTCATGAACATCCTTGAAACCCAGAACATCTCGGATCTTCTTGTTGGACAGTGGGGCCTCCCATTCACCCATCTTTCGGGAGATTGGTGTGTTGGGGCACGTCTTTTTCAAAAACTCCGCCGTGGGGATCGATGTCGTGATGGTGTCGTTGGTCGCGTTGAACACCTGGAATCCCAATCCGGACTTTGCAACACACAGGTCACAAATTTGCCCAAGGTCTCGCGCGTCGATATAACTCCAAGCATTTCTCTTCCTGGTCTCTGGCTTACCCACGTGGCGCGGAAAGTCCCTCGCGTATTCGTGTGGCTCAATGACATTGCCGATGATCAAGGCATAGATATCAATGTCGAACCGCCGTGCAAAGCTCCGAGCGATGCGTTCCCCCGTCAATTTAGAACAGGCATAAGTGTCCATTGGGTTGCGGTCATAGCTATCTTCCTCGAGTGGGAAAGAATGGTAATCGTCGTCGCCTTGGCTGAAGCAGACACCATATGTGGTTTCACTGCTGGCAATGATGATTTTCTTGACGCCCAGTTTGCACGCAGCCTCGATCACATTATACGTGCTCATGACGTTGCCACGGAACGTTTCGCTATCGGGCACAATCATGTTGCGAGCATATGCTGCAAAGTGTATGACTGCGTCCGGTGGTCCAGGGTGCTTCGGCAGTTCGTATTCGTCCATGGAGAAAAGTGATGACAAGGCGTTGAATGTCTGGGCACCATCGGTGAGGTCGGTCTTCATGGTATAGACGCTTTTTCCAGCTGGAAGATGATCTTTCGGGAAGTCCAACAGGTCCAAGTTGAGAACTTGATGGCCTTTTTCGAGGAGGTATGGAATGCAGTGTCTCCCAGCCTTGCCGGACCCTCCGGTGAAGACAATACGTTTACCGAGTGATGCTGCCATGTCGAATTTTGGTATCACTATCATGTGTGAATTGTGAGTAAAGGTAAGAATCGAGAGCAGAAAAGGCGTGTAGAACTCGTGTAGAACTCGCACAAATGATGACATGGTTGACTCGGGCTTCGTCGGCCATTGACCGGTCATGATACGAACGTCAGGCAAAATCGTCGCCCAAACAGGAAGGTCGTTGATACCGGGTAAATAAAACCTCAAAATACGGCACTTCTCTTTCTCTGTAGCTTATTCGGGTCAGGGTCACTGCGACGTCGAAAATTGAAAATGCTCGACTTCTGCTTGAGATTTTGAGGCTGCGACGGCACAGGCGTGAGGAAACTCGACTGAGCAGCGGCGCCAGACATGTAAGGACCAGTACTACTAGAGCTTCCGCCTGAAGTGTAGCCACCCCATGCATTGGTGTACGGCGCGGCTGGTCGGAGGCCTTGCTGGGATTGTTGATACGCCGATTGCACAGATTCAGAGTGATGCCTCTGCTGTCGTGAGTCTCGAGGGGGCAGGTTTGGGCGTGCGTTGGCGTCCTCTTGGCCATATAGCTGCTTCAGACGCTCCGTCTCCAGATCAACTTCAGCCTGCTGGCGTCTACGTATCTCCCTCTCTTCGTTCTCAAGCAGAATTCTCGTTTTCCGTTCGGCTTCCTCTTCCTGCCGTCGCCTCGCCCGCTCTTCCTCTGCAAATTGTCGTTGCAGTCGAGCGGTTTCGGCGTCCAGCTCCCACTGGCTTCTCGGATCTGTAGGAGGCACTCGTGGGTCGCGAACAGGACCAGTGGTACTGGTTGGCGAGGCTGTTTGAGGACGAGGATCAGGAACCAAGGCGGCGTCGACAGCACTGGGGCTGGTCGGATTGGACTTTCTTCCTGCTGTAGATATATTGAATGTTTCTTTCAACGACCCGAAATATACATCTCGAATGACCACGGCTCCCAGTAAAAGAACAACTTCAAAGCCTTTGAGGTCCTCTATATCGACCCTCTGCAAATTGGGCTCATATAACGTCAACTCCTTCAGGCCTTTGAAGATTGATACAGTAATGTCCGGCTCCTTGCTCTTTGCCTTGCTTCCCACGATATCTGTGCTTTTCCCAGACAAGAAGCATGCCAGGTCTTTAGAAAATTTACTGTCCTTCTTCCACTTTAAACCAATCTTAGGTGTGACCTCGGACGCAGCAGGGTCGTGTTGTCCTCGATCCAACGCCGAAGCCGAGGGCTCTCGGAATGTTTGTTGTGGCATTTCGAACGCCCAAGATGCTGCTGTATTCCAACTGGCAGGCTTATGCCTGACTGTGATCTGCTGGTCTGGATTGTATAATTGGATCGAGAATTCGCTGGGCAGGACGGGTTCCGGAGGAGGTGGGATCGCGCCGTTAAGTCTTGCTTGTTCCGAGATAACTGGGTGTGTCCATTCTGGGATTAGAAGGACTTCTGCGTAGAGAACATCAGGAATGAAGGCATCATAGAGGGCGACGGCGTATCGATTCCTAGAGGCATGCTGCTCTGGGTCGAGATGCCGCAGGGTGTAAGCGGGCTCGAATTCGGCGCCATGCTGCGAGAACAGAAATGTCGAGTTTTGCTTTGGTTTATCATTTGATGGCTTTAGGACAAAGGCTGTAGAAAGTCAGCGTGAGTAGCTGGTACTCCGATGCCACGCACTTGGGAGATTCTCGTCCAGCATCTTCGTTCAGTGTAGTTGTTTGCCCGCATAAGGTGTTCCCGTCTGATCGGTCTTGGAGGAAAATGTTTAGGATCGACGCGAAATGGTCGTTGACTATTCGTACTCAACTAGATGTGTTCACACTCGAACAGTGTTCATTGCCAGACTTATATTGCTCTCGTTTGCATAGCCACACAACAAACGCTCACAGCCCTCCTTCAACGCTGTCCCGTTGCAAGCGGGCAAGGCTGCGGTCAAGGCTCGCTAGGCGTCCTCTTGGACTTGCGGTCGATGCCCGGAGCGAATGACGCGTTAACCTGACGTTGACTCTCTGGGCACAGCCTAGTGAGCCCGTACTACTTATCAAGGCCCAATTGGAGGCTGACTCCGGGCACCAGGCGGCTAAGCTAGACTACCCACAACGCCTAAGGCCAGCACCCCGGGAACATGTCGTACCCACCCCAACGGGGTGCGAGCAGATATCAGTCAGGAAGCCGTATATTCCATAGTCCTGTGCAACTTCAACGACATCTAGAGTCTCCGTACATAGTAGATACTCCGCATACAGCCGCGTGTTGGTGACTAGGCAGCCATCATTCAATTACCAAGGATGATATTTTCTTTATGAAATTTAGAATATGAAGATGGAGTTGCTTCGCCAGCTTACGAATACCGCGGTTAATCGGCTCGCCTAGGAAGTAGATGTAGCTAGCACTCAGTCAAGACGAAGAGCCTCTTCGTCCATAACACCAAAAAGCTCCCCAAGGTCCTCGAGCACATCCTGGATACCGAGGTTGAGCTGCCCTGTCACCAAAGCATACGTGAAAAACAAGCTATAATCCTCATCAGTACTTCTTTGCTCTTGAGCGTCATTGCGACGATATGCAAAGATCTTTGCCAACAGCCTGTCCCTCGTGTGTTCTATATTCGGCAACGCATCAGTCGCAATCGAATATTCAAGCTTCATGGAGCTTGCCAGGACACTGAACAAATGACTGATTCTGACGCAAAGCTGTGCTCGTTCATTGGCTGTCGCTGAGAGCAATGCCTCCTCTCCGGGTGAGGTGTTGAGATCTTTCAGAATGACTTGATTCATGGCGTGGAAGGCTCCGAGCATCTCTTCTGTCTTTCGCAGAATACGTGCATAGGTCGCGTGCGGAAAGGGCCTTCTGAACTCGAACTCGCTTTTGGAGGCTTCGATGAGACCTTGTAACTTGGCCAAGAATTTCTGTAGATACCATTCTTCGCGCAGGTTCATATAATGGTTAGGATGAACGCCGTCCGTGAAGGTAGCAAGCGGGTCTCTCTTCCAGATCATCCCCATTCGCAACCATAACAAAGATAGGCCGTCCTTCAACTTTTGTCGTGCAGATATTGGCCAGATCATGCGTGTGATGATCAGACCCCAGATGGTACCAGATATTACAGCCACCACACGATGTATCGCAATCTGGACGATCAGGGGATGCTTTCCAGTGTCTTCCTCGTCCCCGCCGTCGTCATCATCTTGGGTCGTCAGGCTATACGCGTACAGTGCAGTGAGGTTGTACGTCAAGAGTATGAACCTGCCAAAAGGGCCCTTGCCTTTTCCGACGATGATATATGAGGTCCAGGATGCCATACAGAACCCTAGAAAAGCCATAACGAATGGGTTGTCATCAGACACCTCCCACGCGACTATGGCCAATACAGCTCCAAGGCACGTTCCAAGTATACGGGAATAGCCTGTCGTATTGCTGGCACCTATAGTCATGCTACAGACCAACATGTAAGACAGCAGACCCCATTCGCCTCTCCAGTGGGAATAGATTGGTCGAGTTGAAGGCAGAAAGCTCGGTAACGCGTACAAGACTGCTCCCACGGCGACCTTCACAGAAAACTTGACGTCTTCACGACGAAAATAGGCGGATGCGTCATATATCTTGTGGAATAGCCTGCGCTTAATTCGTGGGCGGTCTTGCCATGCTGCCTCGTTGTAGGGTCGAGGTAGATTGAAAGGCTGTTCTGTGTATTGAAGGTCAAGATCGTCTGCCTTCTTCACAACCTCGACGAGATCAGGATCGGCGTCATGGAACTCGTGGTGGTCCACACCCTGCCGCCAGAATTTCAACCAGTTCCAGGTCTTGCCAGCGGGATTTTCATCTACTTCAAGTTGGAGCTCATCGAGTATGGCCAAGTACTTTTTGACTGATTCAGCGACCTCGACAAGAGAGAATGAAAAATATCCACACGCAGCAGCAGCGTCCTCCCAATCAGCTTGCACGGTAAGAGGTCGGAAACGATCCATATCTTTTTGGCCATATACAATTGCAAGAGACTTTTGGCGACTGTCTTTGTAAAGGTCGATGGCTCGGTCAAGGCTGATTTTGAACTTGGGGTTTGTGCTGACCACATAGTTTCGGTCAGGATCAAAAGGGAAATGATCCATGATCTCCTTAAGAGTGAAAGCTAGAGATCGCATGGACGGACCCAAGTTCTCAATGAACATTTCGAATATTTGGGCGGGGGAGCGAAAGGGTGGTTGATTGGGTGGCTGCAGACGATCCTGGGAGTCAGCGGATAAAGAATTGATGCCGTTGAACAAGCCTCTGTTATCATCATTGGATTTGGAGCTTTCGAGAGAATCCATCCAAGTACCAGCAGCGCGAGCTATACCTTCGTTGCGCATCGGTGACCCAAAAGGAGGTTCTTTTACAACAACAAACTGCATCGCTGCGGCACTCCGAAGGCCACCAATGCTCTGGGAGATACGCTGGATGCAGTGGGCAAGCCTCGCCTCGATCAGGACTTGTCTCTCGGTACCAAGTAGATAATGCTCATATTTTGCTTCCTTCAGCTTCTGGGCGACCGTGGCAGAGGCTTTCTTGTGTTTTTCGGTGACGCGAGAAAGGATGCTATTCTCTAGTTCTGCTTCATCGCCAGAAATGAAACTGCTTGTGATGAGAGCAAGCATGTCTGATTGCATATCAGTCACATCAAGAAGATTTTGCCTCAGCTTGCGGCGCCCGGAGATTGGGAATATCAAAACAGATACCAGCACAGTTGCGATGACACCAGCTACAATCATCTTCAGGATTGATATGATTGTCCTCAGGGAGTAGTCTCCAGCCTGAATGGCGCCTTCTTTAGTGAGGATTGTTATAAGCCCAAGCGAAGTGAGGGAGCAAGCAATGTTCACAAGAGGGTCATTCTTGCGGAGCTTGACCCATGCAACAAGTCCCAGACCACCTCCTACAAAAAGAACCAACACAATGGCATGGCCAAGCTCGATCAAATGGACAGTGTCGGCAAAGAAGGCGGCTACAGTCATGCTGAGTAAGGACACAACTGCTGTGTACAAGAAAGCAATTGATGCAAGAAGAAGAGCATCAAGCATACTTCCAAACGACCGGTAAGGGTGAAAATACACAGTTATCGTGGCCACCATGTGCTTCGAACTCTGCTGGCCAAGTAATTGACTCAACGGAGGCACGAATGTCGCAAGGCTGCCGAGAAAATATGCCAGTGCACATTTGAAGACTCCTCTGCCAGTTTCAGACAGTATGAACTGCTTCACTCGGATAGCATAATCCTTGCTCTTGTCTGCCAGAAACCCACATCTTGTCCGATGCGGATTCCTCTCATCCGATGATGCTCGAGGAAGGAGGAGAGTTGACTCATCAGTCGCTTCAGACGGAGGGCCATCACCAATGTCGTGAAAACGCAGGGTAAATGCTGTACTCAACCTAGCTCCAGTTGAGGGATCGATGTAAGAAGAGTTCCGAAGCTACAAATGCAACCCGTCAGCCATAGGTATTGTTGAGATATAACAAGAATCTCTACTTACGCTGGCTCTGGGATTCAATTTATGCTGGTCTTGCTCCGATGCTGCCATAATTGTGGCAAAGGAGGATGTTGATGGCAAACGTGCCAGCGATGGTAGGGTATCATAATGAGCATGTCGACATAATGAAACTGTGCCCTTGTGCCGGCAAAGACGTGTGTAGTGAATCGTTTCGAATCAAGTGAGATCCAGATAATCCCGTATTGTTTGGTGACATCTTGAATACAGAAGTTGATGTTGACGTTCTTACCTGCGCAATCCGGGCCGACATTGTTCCGAGCTACGAAGATTAAGTACTGACTCTATCCCATGCCAAATCATCAGCTGGAAATACAGTGGTCTCGGATGGAAATCATTGTAAGAGCAGCTGCTGTGTTGTACTCTCTTCGGCGTAAATGGACACTGACTGAGACAAAACGTAAAGGTGTCGCAAACCCGTGCCATGGGCCATGGGGTTCGCAAACAAACGAATATAAAAGTATTCCACCAGCATTTCAATTGTTCAACAACAGCCATTGACTAGGTACCTATATCGCCACCACAAACACCAAAAGTTTGGGTCTCCAGAAAAATCTCTTATAATATAGAACCAATGGCTCCGATTCTCGATGCTCATGCGCGACCGCCAGAGTCGATGCGAGACCTTTTTAAGATTCGGCGGAAACAGTCACTCGCATCAATCGATGCTGATCTTGAGATAGTCGACCCTCACAACCCAAGAGCCACCGCTGTATCGTTTTTGCAGGCATCAGATCAATGCGAAAAGAGCGAGCTCGCTATGTTGGAGCGAGAATTTGCCAAAGGCATTGCACTCCCACATATATCGACACCAATCAATGATTGCTGGCCTTTGCCCGCATTCGAAATCAACACCTTGCCCGGTATGATCACAAGACCCTTGTGCTGATTCTTTCAGAAATACTAATTTGTAGGTAGGCCTGTTTGTATTCCCTTCGCTGCTGACTCCTAGTCTGCAAATTACGTTACTGGAAAAGCTCCTACATCGTGACCTGAGCAATCCTGAGCACAAGACCAATTTGCATCTGCACTACAACATCGAGTATCCTCCTGTGACAGAAGTTGACATGCAAAATACTGGCTATGGCTCCTTTTCTTTCTTTAGCTCTGACCAAACAACATCACTAAATCCTCGAGACCCCTCGGTCCACCGTCCTCTCACAACTGCCCAAATGCTTGGTTCGAAGCTGCGATGGGTGACCTTGGGAGGCCAGTACGATTGGACCAACAAGGTCTATCCCAATGAGGCGCCGCCAAACTTTCCACCAGACATTGCGTCCCTGCTCAAATCCTTTTTTCCTTCCGTTGATGCGCAAGCTGCCATTTTGAATTTCTACAGTCCCGGAGATACCTTGAGTGTACACCGAGATGTTAGTGAGGAATGTGATCGAGGTCTCATTAGCATAAGTATTGGATGTGACGGTCTCTTCATTGCCGGAAATGCAGATGGGAGCGAGGTCGTTACTCTCCGCCTGAGGTCTGGAGACGCCATCTTGATGTCAGGAGAAGCCAGATATGCCTGGCACGCTGTTCCGAAGATTGTGTCTAATACGTGTCCTTCCTGGCTGCAATCATGGCCGGATGTCGATGGTACACACAAATACAAAGCGTGGCATGGCTGGATGAAGAATAAACGCATCAACCTCAATGTTCGACAGATGAAGGACTAATGATTGAGTCTACTCTACGAAACCACTTATGCCAGACACAGACAAGTTCCCTCTCACAGTTCGTGGTATTGGCAGTACTAGATGCTCGACCTTGCCCAAAGAGGCAGGCAAGTTCGTCCGTCTCTCGCAAAGCGCCGCACGATATGCATGGAGATGTGCGTTTCTTAGCCACCCCACTCATCTCTGGCTGGTAACGAAGAGGGGACTCATTAAGATTGCTCTCGACTTTCAGCATCTCGAGACTCAACAACAATTCCTTCGGACAGCGTAGTCTACCTTTCGAAACAATATACCATTTGCACCGCAAACATGGTCGTCGACTGGCAATCACGTGCGGCCGCGAAACGCGAAGCCATCTTGAAGTCGATCCCGGAAAAATGGCGGCTAGCAAAGATTCCCTCGGCTGGAGAACAGAAGGATATCACTGGTCCTTATATTCGTCAATTCCTGACTGACAAAGAAGTTGAAATCACTGAAACCGATGCTGTTGGAATCGCCGAGAAAGTCGCAGCAGGAACATGGTCTGCAGTTGCCGTGACGGAAGCGTTCTGCCATCGAGCATCTCTGGCCCATCAACTAGTCAATTGTCTACATGAGACATTCTTCGACGCTGCGTTGGCCTCGGCCAAGGAGCTCGACCAGTACTACGCTCAACATAAAAGGACAATCGGGCCATTGCACGGCGTACCCGTATCCTTGAAAGATCAATTCCACGTTAAGGATGTCGAGACCACCATGGGCTATGTCGGCTGGATCGACACCTTCGAAGGGGCGACAGGCGATCCACGCGCAAAGACGTTTGAGAGTGAAATGGTCAGAGAACTAAGGGCTCTCGGGGCGGTCCTGTACTGCAAGACCAGTGTGCCGCACACACTAATGTCTGGCGAGACGATCAACAACATCATCGGCTACACCTGGAACCCCAAGGACCGCTATCTCTGTTCCGGCGGCAGCTCGGGCGGCGAAGGAGCATTGATAGGGCTCAGGGGTTCCCCCGGAGGATTCGGCACCGATATTGGTGGATCGATTCGCATCCCAGCAGCATTCAACGGACTTTACGCCATCCGACCGAGCTCAGGGAGACTTCCGTACGAAGGCATGGCCAACAGCATGGACGGTCAGGTAGGTTGTTTTTCCTCATCCTTGACGCCCAAGCACGTATTGTGCGGAACGGCCTGGGGTCGTCTATAATGCTGACTTGGAGCAGAACAGCGTCTTGTCGGTCGTCGGGCCACTTGCCACGACTGCGCGGTCTACGAAGCTCTTGACCAAGGCCATACTGTCAACGAATCCCTGGCTTCACGACCCTCTGGTCGTCGACATGCCTTGGCGCGACGATCAAGAACAAACCATTGTCGACCTTCTCAAGTCGGCCTCCTCTTCGGCTCAGGGCGGCCAACTCAGCTTCGGCGTGTTGAAGTCGGACGGCAACGTCAACCCCCAACCGCCCGTCGCGCGAGCCGTGTCCATGGTCGCCGAAGCACTGAGCAAGGCAGGGCACAAGGTGATCGAGTGGAAGCCCCCGTCGCACGCGAGGCTGTTGGACATTGTCTTTCACACGTGGATCTACGACGGCGGCAAGGACGTCCACGAGGCCTTTGGGCTGTCCGGCGAGCCCATGGCGCAGCAAGTCAAAATGTCCTACGGCGAGAAGCCGGTGCAGGAATATACGGCGTCACAGATCGCCGCCAACAACGTCGCGAAGCGCAAGTTCCTGAAGGAGTACATGGACTATTGGAACGGCACGGCGCGAGAGTCCGGGACCGGCAGGCCCGTCGACGGCTTCATCTGCCCCGTGGCCCCGTACGCCGCAGCTCGACCCGAGAAGTACCTGTATTACGGGTATTCCTCGTTCGTGAACGGCCTGGACTACACGAGCGTGGTGGTGCCCGTGACGACCGCGGACAAGACCGAGGACCACTACCCGCAGGGGTACTCGCCAATCTCGGACCTCGACAAAACGACGTTCGACGATTACGACGCGGAGATATATGACGGTGCCCACGTCAGTGTACAAATAGTGGGGAGGAGGTTTACCGAAGAGAAAATGCTCGCCATTGCCGAATATGTGGGTGGGCTTCTTGGAAAATAGGACCGCGAAGCTACTATATAGGGCTTTATTCCTTTGCAAGAATGTGTACCTGGAGGTAGCAGATGTTCTCGTATGATATGATGTGATATGATTTTCCCGGGTACAATTGTGAGTCTAGGTATGAACAGGTAGTCCAAGGGAGGTCATTTAGTGACGAAACAACATCGTCTGAGTCCGTAGATCAACACCATTCCACGTCACATTCTGACTCGGTTGACTCAATCGACTTTGGTCTTTTCAAGATCAACATCTTCCAACGTACTCCACAAATCCATGCCGACCATCTCTCGCAGCCTTGCTGCCTCCCTGCTCATTTCCTCTTCGAGCGAGGATGACTGTACGAGTCCTTTCTGCGACTGTGACGTCGTCTTTCTCCCATTCCCCTTCTTCATTCGCGACGTTTTGCCAGCGTGGTTCTGATCTAGACATGACGAACCTTTAGTCTGCCCATACTCCAGCTCCTCCTCCTTCTCTTCTTTCTGGACGAGAATATTGTTCAAGATCTGGTCGAAATCAACGCTGCCGTCGGATGTGGCTGTTGTAGCGGCGGCCGCCGCGGTGGTGACCGACTTCTTTTGGTTTTCTTTCTTCTCTTCGCGTGTTGCCTTTTTGGACTCTCTCGCGTACTCTTCGTCCACTTTGCTACCCGTGCCGGTCTGAGGGGGGGAAGGTGGGTATCGACATTGGCTCGGGAACTCGCAGTTCTCGCAGCCTCGCAACGTCCGTGGTGGATTGTTGTGGTTATGGTGGGGGGCGATTTGAAACACTTTTCGACGCCACGTCGCCCAGGCCTTCCACGCGACGTAGTCGAACTCGCTGGAGCAGCTCTTGTTCTTCTTCTTTCTCCGCAGGCTTGGACGGTCGGTCTCGCCGGCACAGTAGTAATGGCCATCGACCAGGCACCGTCGCGTCACACCCAACGGATACCTCGAGTGGCACAGATGGCACATCCAGACCCAAGCCATGGGCTCGTCCGGTGGCGGTGGAGGGGGAGGCTTAGGGATCGCGTTGTTGTTCTCACTGCCCAGCGGCTTTTGGACGGAATCGACGGCCATCTTGGTGTGGTCGAATGGCACAATGTATTCGAGCGATGGGGTGTCTGGGACGTAGGTAGGAGTCCGGGGTGATCTCATGTCCTCGTCGAAAGAGAAGCTAAAGTATGATGATGATGTGCGCGTATCAAGCCTCGCGGCGTTCGGGCCCATTGTCAACTGGCGTTGAAGTGATTTGCAGGGCTCATCTCATCTATCCCATCCGAACGCTGAATCGTTGGAACAAGTACGGATATGTAGTTGGAGCAGTAACGGTTTCACCCATTTGAAAGAGTTATAAAATCATCATTGAATTGGGAGTTTTCTTTGTTCACGCTGACATGACAGTCTCGGCGTGAGCGCATGCATTCGGAGGAGAAAGGGAAGAACCCCAGGAGAGCCTTTTTCTTTGTCGGCAGGATGCGAGTTTGCGCACAAAGGTGAGATCTGTGTGTGTGCTGCCCACAACACATGGACAACAACGGGAGGCGCATTGTTGAATGATTGCTGTGTGAAGTTGAAGACCCAAGAGCCAGACGACATTCAAGAAGCCTGACGACTACAGTTACTTACAGTTGAGATGGACCCTTCTTTGTTTACCTTGCAGGATGCACCCAGCGCTTGACATACCATCATGCTTGAATACGCTTACCATGACTGTTGTTGATGAAGCTCCTGCACGCTTGTGAGGTGAGGGTCAGTGGCGAGGAGTCCTTGAAAGACATGTCTCTCTTTGAAAGTTGAAGCCGGGGTGTGACCAGAGGGATGCTGTTTATTCATACCCCTTGCTCTGTACTCGGAAGAGGTAATGTTGGTCGGTCTTCGTAGCGCATGGGAAGACAGCCTCAGGGATTTGTAAATTGTTTTACTCCGTATTCTGTAAGATGTGAGCGCGACTGTGGTGATGTTGACGGCAGTATTGAGGGCGTAGGTGTGTTGGGTGACTGTGGCCAGCACTAACCTGCCAGCCTTGCAGACAACCACCGGCGTCATACTGGACTCCTGTCTGACAGCAATTTACCAGGCTTACTAACAAATTCTAGGCCACAAATCCACGCCAAGGCGCCATAATATCAGTCAGACAGAAATCCCCAGCCTCGTCGTTCCCTGCCACCATCTTCAGCTTCCTCTTTACTCCGTATTTACCCAACCATCACACTACCAGCCATCGCAATGTCTCACACAGGCTCTAGCAAACGAGAGGCTGGACCTCCAATTTGCGCATTCCTACATGTGCCCTTATATGCTGCTCACTCGTTTTTTCCTTTGGATTGCTAACATTCCAGTAACTTCATCTCATCTCAAGCCACGCAAATCATTGACCACCACGAAATACTTCCGTGCCTGCAAACAACTAACCTGACCTTTACCCTCTGACCTTGTGCATACGCCTGTGTATCACATTGACCACTACCGCTATCGTCCACACATACGGAGTACATACTCCCATCCCTTAACACTTTTTCGTTTTCTCTTTATACGAAACAAAAAATCATTCAAAATTGCTCCACCGACTGTCGCCGGCGTTTGTGCTTTTGTCGTTTCACCCAGCAGCAGCAGCACATCACCACCTCCGTCCTCACCCACCAGTCTTCGACCGCTGTCACCTCGAAGCTATCAGTCTCACCCTATAGCCATCAAGGACCTTCCCGACAGCTCCTACCTTCTCTCGGGCCCGGGACTCAGTCCACCGCCACCGATCCGTTTCCGAGTTTTGGGATCTCCGCCGTCCATCTCATCCTCGGCCCACCAACACAAAAGAGCCCGAAGCGCACCCAAATCGCTAGGGTCATCTGTCCTAGGGTCATCGTCGAACCCCTACTACTACTGCTCCTCTGGTGGTGCCAACCGCAAATCCAGCAACAGCAGCAACCATAACCGAACCAAGTCAGCCCCGGAACTGACTACTACACCCCCAAACCCAAACCCAAAAACATCCCCTCAAGAAGATGCAATCCAACTATGTGATCGCGATCATTGTGATCATCCTGTTCGTGGTGCTGGCGATAGTGGGTTATGCCATCTATGCGGTCCAGAACCGAGTCAGTCTCTTCGCCAAGAGGGAAAAGGAACTGGACGAAGAAGAGGAATGAACAATACGCGCACCCTACGACAGCAAAAAGTGCGGTTCAAACTTGACGACGACGACGACGACGTCGAGAACGACCCTAATCCTCCCCCTCCGCCCCAGGCCGAAGCGGAAGAGGAAGAAGAAGGCGAAAGAAGCATATCTGGTTTATTGCGGTTTGAAGATGAGCGAGACTCTTGGTTTTGATAAACGACAATACGACCGACATGAGAAAGACGAGAATGTGAATGGGCCGCAATTGGCATGGAATCATCCGTTACCTTGTACAGAGATATACACCTAGGTATTTTACATACGGGGGATATCTTGAAGGGTGAAAACAGAATGTAAGGCGCAGTGTGATGGATTTTATGGATCGGGGAAATGGTATACCTCTCTATACGGACACGGGAATCCTGGGTACAAATACTCTCGTAATACGAATACATTATTTGACAGACACATATCCGTACATGCATCATATCCACCTAATAGGACGCTGTATCTGTAATGTATCCATCTGGCCAAAATTGGGAAACAGGCTACTAAATTAAATACACAAAGATATATAGGTATACACGTACGGAGTGATCCACGTGGAGTTACCGAGGAGAACTCATGCTTCTCTCCTCGGTCCACTAGTACACTTTTCATGGCCTCTCTCAAAAATCAGACACCAAATTGATATTCCCTTTCTGACTCCTCGTATTCGTTCCTTTTCTCCGTTGCTCATCAGTCGTCGTGACAAGACTGGGTGACTGGCCGTTCGACAATCCATTCATCCCCGACGGCTCCGTCTGCGACCTTTTCAGCTCGGCCGTTCCTTTTGCGCCGTCCACCAGGGGCGTATGCGTTTGGGAGGAAGAAGGGGGTATTCTTCTGTTTCGGTCTTCCCGGATGTGCGTCTTCCACTTGTTGACCAGCTTGTCGAAATCCCACTTGTCCCCGCGCGTGTTGACGCTCTCGGGCAGCTGGATGTAGTCCTCGGCGCCCTCGGCCCCGGGGAGTTTGTTCAGGTTCATCAGCCGCAGCTCCTCCCGCATCGACGCGCCAAACGTCTTGCGCTCGGGGGGCCACAGGGCCATCTCCCTCGGCCACTGGCAGCGGGACAGGTACTCGACCTGCTGCTGCAACTGGTTCGTCTCCTGCTGCAGGGACTCGAGTTTCTCCTCGAGCTCCGACACCTTTTGCTGCTCGTTGTTGTACGAGCGCAGCAACTCGATCTGCCACAGCAGGCTGCGCACCTCGAGCGGGTGCACCATCCAGTTCTGGTAGCACGTCTCCAGGTGCGTGAGCGTCGACTCGTTCCACTGCGCGGCGCTGCGGCTGAGGAAGTCCGCCTCTTCCGCAATGTTGGACGTCGTCGGCTGCGCGAGCCGTAGAGCCTGCCACTTCCAGTAGTCGATGGCCGTGCTGAGTTTCTGCCTCAGCGGCTGCAGCTGGTCAGGCCCCGGCGGGGAGATCGGTATGGACTGCGGCGTGGCAAAGGGCGAAGCCTGGAATAACGTGGCCGGCGCGGGGAGCATCTTCAGGCACAGCGACGGGTACGTCTGTGACTGTATGTCGAATTTGAACGGCGACGGCGTTGGAGAGGCGTGTTTGGTGGCGGCACGTAAGGAATCCAGGACCTCGCGCAGCGCCAGTTCTAGCGCTCGCGCCGTGTCGGAATTGGTGTTGTTATTATTGGTAGTATTAATAGACCCAGACCCGAGATCTTGCGCGTAGGTCGAGAAACTACGCTTGACTCCAGAAGGACTGTTTGTCAACGCTGCGGGCGTCGGAGGCATCGCAGACATGGGCGAGTCCAGCGTGGTAGGATCCGTGATGACCCCGGTGGCCTGCCAATTCAGTCTGTTCAACCTCACATGTAGTCCACCAGGAGGCACTTTATTCAGGTCGTTTGTGTTGTTGGCTGACCCGGCGGCGGCGGCGAGGTCGGATGAGATCGCTCCTGGGCCCGGAGAGGCCTGTGAAGATATCGTTTCGCCCCGGTCTTTGTTGTTTTTGTCCTTTCGCGAGCCTCTGGCGGTGCGTCGCGTGATTCCACCGCGGAGCCTGCGGATCTCTTCGACATCGTGAATGCCGTCGGCCTTCTTCTTGGAGATGAACTGATCGAGGTGTCGACCGAGGGAGGACGAGGTAAAGTGCTGATGGCAGTATTGGCATTCTTTGTCCTTGACCGCAGGCGCTTTCGCGAGCGCCTGGGTGGTAGAATCGTCTACCGAGCCTTGCGAGCTATCGTCGGATGATGGTGAATCAGCCATCTTGGTTCGGCTGTATTGCAGGCAGAGACAGGTTCACACAACAAGAACTTCCTTCCCCTTCCGAGGGACGCTGACAAAGAGAACTCCATTTGAAAAAGGGAAAAAATAGAGGCTCTCAGCGCTGGGCTTGTAACCTGGGGGCACTGTCGACGCAGCTCGGATGCCCGGAGTTAATACCAACCGAACAATGGACGGATTCGGCCGTGTTAAAGACGCAGAGAAAAACCTTAATCCAGAGTACTCCTAATTACCTGATGTCATCATGGGGATTCGGGTACGAGAACGAGAACGAGAGCGGATACTCCGTGTAGAGTGCCAGGTATGGAATAGGCAGAGTATTCTATACACCAAAACTGGTAGAGAGCTACGTGAGTACATTAAATCAATCATTCATTTTCTTGCGTTAATCCGTACAGTCGTGGGTATCCCTATGTCGTTAACGCGCTAACAAAGCTATGTCCAAGTGTACAAACATCGATGGGCTCCAATGCCATCAAACAGCCTCATCTCATTCGGGCGTAGTTGGCTTCCAGCTTTGACGACGGCCGGTAGCTCTTAATCTCCTTTCCTCTCGCTCTCGTCTACTTTGTTCCTCAAACCTATTCCTACCAGAGTCGTGCTCGTCGCCGCCGTTGGCTGGCTTTCTTCCCCTCGCATTGGCTCCCATCGGACCTTCATCTCTTCTCAGGTCCTCTGAAGCTTGAGCTGGGTGAGGTGCGAAATCTCTCTCCTGATACCCAGGGGGTGGACTCTGAGTCGCCCGCTGCTGGCTCGTCGGTGAAATCGGGAAACGGTCTGACGCTGCTGGCGCCACTCTCGCCTGTATCCGCCCTCCGCCCGCCATGGTATCGGGAAGTGACGGGCTGGTCGGCATATTCATCGTGGCTGATTGTTGCTGATAACTCCTGGGTGGACTTGGTCTCTTTCGAGTGCTGGGGCTTTGGAGTACTGGAACCGCATTCGGCAGATTTATTGCTGGTATGTGGCTCCGCGGTTGAGTCGTCGAGTTCATCATCTGCCACCCGTCATCGTCGTCAGAATACGACTGAGAACTTTCAGAAGGAGAAGGGTATTGATAACGATAGTGATCATCAACACTACTGATGGAGCTGGTTTGGGAGTGAGGGCGAGAAATGGGCTGGCGTTCGGGAGAGTGGGACATTTGAGGTTGAAGTAAAGCAATGTGAGAATCACCCTTGACAAGACCTAATCTTTCCTCCTCTGTTCCACTCTTCATGGCTCGCTTTTGCCCGTGACTCGCGCTACTCGTGCGGCGTTGCATGGGAGGCCGTGGAATCGCTTGATCGGTGGTCGGTGTCCGGGAGCCGGGTCGGAGAAAGTTGGTGAAGGAGAATTGCCGTCTGGCTTCTTGAGGAGGTCTTAGCGATGGCGAAGGAACCGGGTTGGCTGGGAGAGGTTTCGATCGTGGAGAAGGCTGGATGATTCCTGCTTTGGTGTCTTGAAATTTGCGTTCCCCAGGTGCGAGTCCGTAGATACGCTCCTGTGCATCTTCGAGGCTACCAGGGCCGTACGGCCGGATAGGAGAATCAATTTGTGAGGGCTGGAATTTGATATCTGTCAATGCCACGGGATAGAGCGGGCTGTTAAGACCGCCAGCAGGCATGGTCTTGGGGTGAGGAGGAGGTGTTGGAGAGTGAATGAATGTCTGCGCGCGGTTACGCAGGTTTTCGAAAAAGTTAGGGCCATGGCCCTGGTTGTCCTCGTCATCGGGCTCAGGGAAATGTGACATGCCCAGTGGCGGATGTGTAGTCTTCCTGCGAGGCGCTGGTGATGAGCCAGGCTCGCCAATGACCGTTTTCCTTCGTCGAAGGCCATCCCATTCCACGATCTCATTTTCACGGACCGGCTCTAGCTGATCTTGCATCTTCTCATCGTGCAATCGTTTTGCCTCTTCCTGTTCCCATTTCCGTCGCGTCGTGGACATTCTCCTAATGAGGGCTGCTGTACCACGAATGGCATCGGCTTTTGGTTCGGTTTCTGGCTGCTCGACCTCGGCGATTTCGCGCACTTGATCGAGATCTCCCTTGAACACAGCTGCATCCGGAACATCCTTTGCAGACTTCGACATTTGGAGGAGGATGACGCCAGAGCATATTTGAAAGAATCCGAAAACGACAGTCATGATTGTAACAACTGTCCCTTTGAACCCTCGAAACAGAACGGCAGATGTGATGATGGTGGCACTCGTGAAGAATACATAGTACGTCGGTGTGACCAGTGCGGCTTGAAAAATGTCCAGGGCTTTCTTTTGGAAGGGTCAGGATAAAAATGTGCAGCGATAGGGCTTGTACTTACATTCAGATAAATGATTTCAGTCAGCAATGTCGCAATGACGAAGACCAAAAGAACATAGAGAAACCATTTGTTGAACTGAGGTTCGCCATTGGCTTGTGCGACGATTGCACTCCCTAATCCTTGAGTTGCGACGACACTGAGGCCTCCAATCAAGCTGCAAATGCTCAGATACACCAGCATACTCTTCTTGCCGTAGCGAGGCGCTACCCACAACGCCACAAACACGCAGCCTGCAATGATGACACCAGCGAAGCTCAAGAATCCGGGAGCGATGACAAAATGCTGCATCTCTTGAATGTCGGCAACCGCGCTTTGCTCGGGAGCATTCAGTGCAATGACGATGCTGCCAATTATGCAGTTGAAGCAGCCAACCTTGCCGACAAAACTCAGGCGCTCTTTTAGAAAGATGGCCGAAAGGATTGTGGTGACAACGACACTCAGAGCGCCCATCGGGGCCACGAGAATTGCATCGACAAAACAGTAGGCTCCAAAGTTTGCGATTTCGCCGATGATCATGAGGGTCATGCCCGTCCACCAGTACCAGTTCTTGAGATAGCCGTAGCCCTCACCCGCCTCCTCATTGTATTTCTGGGTTGACTTGAGCAGTCCAACCTTCTTCAACACAAAAGATGTACCAATGAAGAGGCCTGACGCGATGGCCAGACTGAGCCCAATGGCTTTGTAACTCCCTGGTCGAGTCTCGGTGGTCGCGGAGGAAGTCGAGTTGGTCTCGTTGCGGGCAACGAGTGCATGGGCGACTTCCCATACCTGAGGAGGAATGGTTTCCATGGCTGCGGAAGAGTAGCAGAGGAGGGCCGCAGAGGCAGCTGTCGTGAAGGGGGTCGTGTTATGCTAGGACCGCCATGGGTTCGAGGCAATGCAACAATTGTATAACTCGGGTGGCGACTGCATACAACGATGTTTCTCAGGAGACGAGCGATGGTATCGGAGTGGTGTTTCAACAGACAAGACGTTAGGCGTTTGTTTAGAAGGAAATGTAGGAGGATAGCCCTGTGTACGCTTACGAGGACGAACAGATCAGATCAAAGGGTGTCCTGTATCTGTACAGGAGAAGCAGAGGATGTGTCTTGGACGAAGGAAGATATGATGAAAGACTGCGCAGAGAAGCAGGAATAGTTGGATGGTACGAGTACTCCGTAGTCGATCGACCATTGACGCAGTTGTGGCTTGTCTAGCGCCGGCTTGTGGTTGATGGCCGCTGAAGTGCCCAGGGAGACTCCATCGTGCCAGGGGAAACTGGCGTCAGATGTGTCTGGGTCAGTTGGCCATTGGTGGGTGATTAGGGCCTACGGGGCACATTGGGGAGCCTACTGGGTCGAGTCCAGGCCCCTGAGCCTCGAAGCTTCGCGGCTGGCCACCTTCTGTACGCTTATGCTGGCCTCTTCCAGGCTTATCCTGCTGGTTGCTGGGCAGTACAGGTCTTATCGATACTCACTGTGGCCACGGACCACCAGCCACCGACGCTGCCCCGCCACGCGCTACTCGCCAACTCACCACTCAGATCTGCCTGCGCAGTGCCTCGTGCTTTGTACGGAGTATGAACATCTCATTCCATCACCACTCATTGCTGAAGAATTGTAACTGTCTACCACGGAAGTCTCGTTTCACACCATGCGATGCGAGCAAACCAACGGAGCCAGCTGCTGCAGTCAGATATCCATGCCCCGTACTGACGACTACTCGTACTCGACGGCGGATGCTGTCGTGTCCTCTGTACCTGCTACGTACTGAAGACTCCTCCGAATCCATGTGGATCGGTCATATCCAAAACATCTCCAGTTGCAAACATGGCCATGAACTGAAGTGGTTGGCTACAATCAGTGTACCCATGTTCAGTGAGTGTGATACCCATGTTCTACCACCTGCGAATGCGAAGGAATTGCACTCGTATTCGCACCCCTTTGGGTTATTCTCCGTCGTCCAGCCTCAAAAATGTTTCACATCCCTTTCCCACCCCCCTGGTTTCACATTCGCTTGCTGCAGGGGTACGAGTACTTGGGCCATTGATTCGATCCCGACATACAGTACTCCGTACGGCCTCTGTACTCCATACGAACTGGCTCACCAGGTTGATCCGCCGAAAAGTCACGCCACACGGAGAGCGGCTTTCTAGAATTTCCCTTCCCCGAACACAGCCATCCTGGATTCATGCGAGCAGTGCTGGCCATGCACAAAGTCCTCGCCAAGGTATGCCCGCGGACTCGACGCCGCTTTCAAGATCACGTGCCCGACATAGTACTCTTGAGACTAAATCCGTCTCTTTTTCGCGGCTAAAGCTTTACCTGAAATCGAGGATGTGTTCTCAACCACGCACCGTACTTCAGGAATATAAAGGGCAGAGGGACCATTGCTAACGCAATAAAGGCCAATACTGCGTTGCCCCAAGCCAGTCCGAGTCTATCATAGAGCGGCCGCCCGGCCAGTGGCAGAAAAGCACCGACTAGCGACCGCACAACAGTATTCGAAGCCGTGACCGATGCCACGTATAGTGGATAGCAATCAATCAAATACATCTGAATCGCAAACTGTTCGTGCAGTTAACGCTAGATGTTCCCGATGCCCTTTAGCAGTCTTGAGAAGTACTCACGAAAACGCCCGTCATTGCGAAGCCTACCCAAGTGGTCCCGAGTATCGGCATGATCCAGTGGATTTTCTTTTCGGCAGACCAGCCGTACCAGAACAGTCCCACGGGAATGCACAAGGCTGCGGGGATAAGTGCTTGTAGATGAAACTCTGGTTCGACTTGCCCTTCTTTTTCTTTCTTCTTCTTCAACCTTTTGTCGCTGGTGGAGCCAAATACAGCCAAACCGAGCACCATTCCCACTCCTAACCCAAGGTAAGACAGGCCTGCAAGGCCAGTGGAAAACCCATAGACGTTTTCATATACTTGGGTGATGGTGGTGAAAAGGAGATACAGGTAGCCGTATATGATTGCCATGTATAACTTGTACTTGATCAGCTTCAGAGGTCAAGCAACATGAGGATAAGAGCAAGGACAAACCACCAACACAAAAACAATAGGCGACAGGAAAAACATCTTGGCTGGTCTCACCAAGGCATTAAGCAGATCCTCGCCGGGCTTGGGACCATTGGCGATGTGCCGCTGAGTACTGGCGTATGCGCCACTCTTTAAAGCCCTTTTCTGCAGGATAACCGGAGCATATGATTCTCTCAGGCAGACAAGACATGCCACGGCCACAACACCGGCCTAGAAATCGATCAGCAAAGAACCATATCTCCTTTCTCAAGTGTGCTGACTGCTATAGAAATGCTCCAAAAAATCCACCGCCAATCCAGATCTTGCGAGATAAAACCGCCAGCAATGGGTCCTATTCCGTGTAGGTCAGTTCCAGTCTTGCAACATACAAGATAGACACATACCCACTACAGGACCCATCATCGGTCCAAGGACAAACGCTGTCATCTTGGAGCCTCGCTTTTCGCGGGGATACATGTCGGCCACGCTTCCAGCACCCAGGACAAGACATGCCGAACCTGCAGAGCCAGCCAGGAAGCGAAAGCCAATCAAGCTATCCAACGAAGGTGCGACTGCACAAGCCACCGTGAAGACCACGTACAGAATGTTGGTAATATGGTAGACAATGAGCCGACCGTAAGTTTCTGATAGCGGCGCAAATAGGAGCGGGCCAAAGAAATAACCGATCAGATATATCGAGACAGAGAACGTGGCGAAGAATTGGGTGGTAGTGCCGAAATCTTTCATGACTTGCTCTATGCTCGGTGCGAACATTGATGAGGCAAGCGGCCTGCAGACTCTGGTCAGAATCCTCGCTCTGGCTTTAAGGACCAGACGCAGCGTACGTGATGAAAGACATGGCTGATATCAAAGAGAGGTTCAGGCCTTTGGTTAACGATGACCAGTTCAACGGATTTGCCGAGTCACCATCACCGTCCCAGTGGACAACAAGGTCCAGCTGCGCAGTGTGCTGCATTGGAGGAACCTCGCCACCCATGGCTGTTCTCAGCCCTTTCAGCGAGTTATACGAAGGAGACTCGAGAAAATGTGTCTGGCACAGTGAGCCATATTGATCATAATGTACGCCGGTCTGGAGGCCGCTGTCAACGACACCCCTAAGGAATTTCGAGGAGCTCTCCCAAGATGCGACATATCCTTCCACTCGCCCGAGCCAAGGTTACTACTAGTAGAACTATACGCTCGACCAAGAGACAACCGGCAAGCATCTTCGCTTCCAGCATAGTCCTGAAGTAAATACGACGTCCGACATCGGACGCTATTCTCTCCTTCCGTCACTCTATACGACCTTTGTTCAAATGGATGCGAGGTCGTCTGCGCATACGCTGCCATGAGAATGTGCTCAAGCCCGGAGAGAAGCCGTTCCTTGGTCTGGTGTGACAAGCATAGCCTGCTGGCTGGAGACTTCGTGCCAGTTACACGTTGCAGGTCATATGCTTTATCTTTTTTTCTCCTGAAAAAGAATAATTAGACGAGACAAAGGGAGATTCCGAATTTCCATCGACCATTTCTCTTCAGACTCACGGTCAGCTAAAAGAAACCTGCATGAACAATCAACATCCTACAATCAAAGCACAATGAGGATCCTTGTTGCAATCGAAGTTCACAGTCCGCCAGCCTTGCCCCACAAAAAGGTGGAAGGCTCCACAACGTTTCTCGGCGCGGTCTTCGAGAAAAGGATAATATAGGTAAGTTCATCGAGCAGTGCAGTGTCGAACGCGTGACTGCCCACCTTCACCAGACTTCACTAGGTAAGATGTGCGCGATTAAGTGGAAGCACTCATCATGTCTCACGTGTTCTTCGTGTTGGCGGCGTGGACACTTTTGCGTCTACCTCGGGAGTCGTGGTGGTGATGGTGACTGGCTACGCAGAAGGAGACGTGCCCGTCTGTACCAAGTCCAATCGTAGCTATAACTCATGCCTCCCCCCGGAAACAAAATCTGCGCCTCCTCGTACCCTGAACAGCTGCTAGGTCTGCACAAGTTTCTGAAGCTGGCTCAGTCACAAATTGTCCTCCCGAATGTCTACCTCAACAAAATATCATCAAGCTTCGAGCGCAGCATTTGAAGTCCATAGTGGGGACATGAACGGCCCTCAGTCCCAGTCTGATCGGCTCGGAGCTCGACCGATGGCTGAGAAGGGATCTGCCAACCACTCATCTCCGACATCCAAACACGATGAATGTGAAGAACCTGACCTAGTATCCCCAGGGGTTGCTCGCATGGCGGCGATTGCAAACGTTCTAACAACCCCCAAACGAGTGTCGCTCTATCTGAGCTTTTTCATAGCCGGTTACGCATTTGGCTTGGATTATCTCGTGCGCAACACCTATTTGGCGTACGCCACGGCTTCCTATCAACAACACTCTTTGCTGGCTACTGTCAATGTCATTCGGGCAGTCGTCGTAGCTGCCCTCCAACCCTCGTTGGCAAAGCTCGCCGACGTCTTTGGCCGACTCGAAGTCTTCATCTTCGGCGTCGTTGTCTACACAGTGGGCAGCATCGTGGAGGCCTGTGCCAACAATGTCGGAAGCTTTGCAGGCGGCGCGATTCTCTACCAGCTAGGCTACACAACCTCGCTCTTGATAATCGAGATCATGCTTGCGGACGTCACGGCAGTCAAGAATCGACTCTTCTTCGCCTTCCTGCCCAACTTCCCTTATATGATCAACTCCTGGGTCAGCGGCAACGTCACCTCGGCAACGCTTTCGAGCACCACTTGGAGATGGGGCATCGGGATGTTCTGCATCATCTACCCACTATGCGTCATGCCTCTAATTATGCTTGTGGTCCTTCTCGGGCTTCAAGCTCGCAAACAAAGCGATCGAGAGAGACGATACCCTCCGTTGTTCTCGTCGCTCAGGACGATCTTCTGGGAGCTTGACATCCCCGGAGTCTTTTTGATGACGGCTTCGCTGGCAATGATCATGATCCCTCTGACCCTGGCGGGCGGAGTTGGCAAAAAATGGACCCAGGCCGGTATACTGACTCCCCTGATCCTCGGATTCGCGTTGATGCCCGGTTTTCTGTACTGGGAACGCAAATCGTCGCACCCCCTGCTGCCGTTCTACCTCTTCAAGGACCGCATGGTGTGGGCGTGCTTGGTGATCGGTTGCTTCTGCGTCGCGGCGTACATGACGCACGCCAGCTACCTGTACACCCTCCTCGTCGTGTCGTACGATTTCAGCGTCGAATCCGCCACTCGCATCGCCTCTGTGTATTCGTTCTGCGCCGTCCTCTCTGCCGCGCTCCTGGGTCTGGTCGTCATGAAGGTGCGCCGGTTGAAGGCGTTTGTCCTGGGCGGAGTCGTCCTCTCGTTCATCGGCGTCGGACTGTTGGTCAAATACCGAGGCGGTCCTAATTCCAAGGCCGGCGTCATCGCCGGCGAAGTCATTGTCGGGATCGCGGGGGGCTTCTTCCCGTACCCGAGTCTGGTTCTCATTCAAACCGTCGCGAAGCACCAGCACGTCGGCATCCTCATAGGTCTCATGTTCACCGTCAACTTTCTGGGGCAAGCCATCGGAGGCTGTGTGTCGGGCGCCATCTGGACGCAGACCCTGTACGACCAACTCAGTAAAAACCTGGCGCCGTTCAACAACGCGACGCTGGCCCCCGCCATCTACGCCGCCCCTTTTTACGTCGTGCCGGAATACCCGACCGGCACTCCGCAGCGGGACGCCATCGTCGCCAGCTACAGTCACATCCAGCGCCTCTTGACGACGACGGCCGTTGGACTCACCGTTCCCGTGCTCATCGGCGCGCTTTTCTTGCGCGATCCGATATTGGCGGACGGGCAATCGCAGCTAGAAGCGGAGGAGCGCGAGGAGACGGTCACGCACCACCCAGAAATGAGGGATCAACAACACTGGGCGCGCAGGCTGTGGCGGGCTTTCTGGTCTTAGAGATCCAGCACGGCCTACGTGGCCAGACATCGAGCTAGCCCATACAGAGGCTAGATTGAGTCTATACGAAAAGGATCGGAGATGGACGTCCGAGAGAGGGTCGAGTACAGAGCGGGTTGACATGTACGTGCCTCGGTGGAAGTTGCCTTCGTTCATACATGGGACCGTATGCCCTGATATGGTGTGGACGATGCTATACACAAAGTAGTAGGACTGCGACGTAGAAGGATACACAGCACCAAATGCTACGTAATGTAAATTACAATCAACGTTGTACATTGACAGGATCATTTCTCCAAAGCCTATATGAGAGATCTCTACCTTCTCTTTCTCTTTCTCTTCCTCTTCAGATTTCTCTCTCAGGCTTCTCGCCTTGTTGTAAACCTCTTTTCTAGATATATATATTACCCTGCCTGACTCACAATACGCAAAGACCCGTCCTTGCGGACCCCTGTCCTTTATGACGGATAATGGGACATTGCTTCCTCACAAGAAGAAAACTGATGGTTGCCTTTTTTCGACCATTCTTTTATCAGGCATCGAATTGGAAATGGTATTGGCACATTCGTCCCGTCCGTGAATGCTAGAATTGCTGTTGGTGAGAGATTTCCTACGCTACTCTCAACTTTCTGCTAAATCTCTGATAGCCACTATTCCTCTACACTACCAAGTGGCCGCCGTAAAGTTACAGGTTGATTCAGCGAACGCAGAGGAGTTTAGCTGGCTTCTTTAGTCTACACCACGGAATTCGTTGAGATGATCAACAAGAATCGACCGCGGAACACAAAAAAGGAGAAGGGCAGCAAGTCGAAGGACTTCTCTACCCCCAGTGGATGCGACGCGTGAACATCTTGTCGAGTGGCTTGACCATCGATCGCTTGGTCAAATCTCTGGAGGCCGAAGGATACACTGCACACTCAAATGATATCAATGAGTGGAGAGCTACAACGGTACTGACATTCGATGGATCGCAGAGAAAATCAGAATGCAGGGCGATGCGTGTAGCTGCCCTCGGGAGATATCTGCACCAAGCTTGCCACAACAGGGTAATCTGGGAAGGCGCAATCAACTTTAGCACCGAAGAGCAGACCATTTGGTCAGCCCGTCATGGTTCATCGACGTATGCTGCAAGACTCGGTCAAGACCATCTGTACCGGAAGAAATCACAAAAAATGTTTGGAGAAATCGTGGAATGGTCTACCGGTGACATGGCCACGAAAATAATGGAGCAGCTGCTCAGAGACGCCGGGTATCCTGACGCACATAATGATCTGGACGATAACGCCACACTAGCCAATGCATCAAAGTTGATGCATCAACGATTGCAAGGCCTTGATGAAGATGCTGGCGCAGCAACTCCTCATTCCAACGCATATGCCGGCGTTTGCAACTGTATTGTGGATCTTGAAGCTCTCTTGGTGCAGGTTCACTGCTCGTCAGTAAATACATAGTCTGTATAGAGAAGAGAGGGAAAAAAGCTCCCACGATATTTGTCGCAGAGGATGTCGCAGACGTCCCGTTCTCATACCTGAGGTACAGAGCCTTTCTGCGGCTGTTTGAATAGGTAGGATATATGACAAAAATCAACATGACTTATTGTTATTATCGTCAGTGTGCTTGACAAAAAGTTCAACATTCTCACGGTGGAGGGTTATGTGGTCAAACGCTCCATGTAGGTTAGAACCCGTCCATGTTGGTGGTACACATGCCTATAGCCTTATCGATCTATCCTCCGTATCCCGTACTCGGAGCGATATCATTTCAGCCTGGTATTGAAGCGCGAATGATGAGGAACGATAAGACCATCAGCGGCATTCCTCCTTTAGTCTGCAATGGCCACATGGGCTGGGCACTCTCCGTGCTCAATCGCTCACAGCGCTTCCGAGCGGCCAAGTCCATTTCTTGCAGGACCTGCGAATCAAATGAGCATCTTCTGGCTCGAGAATCTGCCGATAGAGAAAGAAAAAAAAAGGTTGAAGCACAATCTTCGGCCGATAAGACTTATCGCCAATCATGTATGATGGTGTGCCGACTAGCTCGTCAACTGACGAGATTGATGTGAGGAGGGGTTCGCCTCTCTTCGTCAAAGATATTCATTCTCCTGCTGTTTCGGGATGTGGCTTGTCGGTAGTCCAGATGTTCTTATCTTGCTCACGGTTTATTTTACATTGGTACGGCCACGAGCTTCGGGGTCCTGAACCTGGGAAAACGGTCTTGGACTCGTGCTTGCACCTTTGCTTGCATAGCTCAAATAGTTCCCATACATCGGGCAAGGGAAACGGCAGAGTTAAATATTCTGCGACAAGCCAGATTGTTCGATTCTCAGTCCTCCACCTTGGTACCCATTTCCATCAATTCCACTCTCCCACCGGCAAGCATGACGGCCACAAGATCTGCTTCCATTACCGTTGTCGATGAGGAGAAAGTCGGGGTCACCTCTGTGTTCACCACTCGTGGAGAGCATGCGGTGGTGCAGGAGGGAGCTGACCAAGATGAGATAACTTTGGGAGCCCTTGTAAGTAGCCTGCTCTCTAGGCAACCCCGTCATTTCTTTCCTTCCTCTTCTTCTTCGTCATCGACATCGTGATATTCTATTTTCAACCGCCATTGTTTTCTGACAGCTCATAGGGCTACAAGCAAGAGTTCAAACGGTAGGCGCATCATCCGCAGCTCTCTGACGAACGGGCCGTTGCTTACCTTTTTCGCAGGGACTTCACCATCTGGGAGTCCTTTTCAGTCTCGTTCTCTGTCCTGGGGCTCTTACCGTCTGTAGCCTCCACCATATCATATAGCTTGGGCTATTCGGGAACAGGTGGTGCCGTATGGGGCTGGCTCGTATCGGGTCTCTGTATTCAAGCCACGGCGTTCAGCATGGCAGAGCTGTGCTCCAGCATGCCCACGGCCGGAGGGCTATACTATGCCGCCGCCGTTCTTGCACCCGACGGCTGGGGGCCCCTGGCCTCCTGGTTTGTCGGTTGGTCGAACTTTTGTGGGTTCGTTACAGGACCGTGTTCAGTGAATTACGCATTGGCTTCGATGTTGATTACCTGCGGAATGATTTCGAATCCGGAATACGAACCCAAAACATGGCATATATATTTGGTGCTGCTACTGTTGCTTTTCATCAATGGGATCATCACCATGCAATCGACATGGTTCATTGGATGGGTAAACAAAATTGGCACCGTTTGCAACATTATCATCATCATCATATTCGTCATTTGGTTTCCTGTTGGCTCGATCAACCAGCCCAAAACAAACAACAGCCACGACGTATGGACTCGGTTTGAGAACGGCACCGAATGGCCGATAGCGTGGGCCACAATCATGGGGTTCCTTACCACTATCTGGACGATGTCCGGTTACGACGCGCCCTTTCACTTGTCGGAAGAATGCAGCAATGCCAACATCGCTGGGCCGAGAGCCATTGTCATGACGGCTCAATTGGGCTTATGGATAGGCTGGGCTATAATCATGGTGATCGTCTATACTGTTAAAGATATTCCTGATGTGGTTGCCGGGCAGTATGGTCAGCCCTTTGGAAGTCTGTGCCTTCAAGTGTTGGGCAAGGAGGCTGGCCTGGCCATGTTCTCGTTGAACATCATAGCTCAGTTCTTCGTGGGAATAGGCTGTACGCTCACGGCCAGCAGGGTCGTGTTTGCATATTCCAGGGATTCGGCGATTTTAGGATCTCGATGGTGGAAACAGGTCAACCCCCGGACCAGGACCCCCGTAAATGCGACTTGGGGTGTTCTCTCAATTTCCGCCCTTCTAGGGCTGTTGATGTTCGCGAGCCCCGTCGCAATCGGAGCCGTTTTCAGCCTGGGCGCAATTGCTCAATACACAGCTTTCACTACGCCAACTGCGTTGAAATTGTTCTTTGACAACGGCAGGTTCAAGCCAGGTACGTACCCGCTTTCCCTACCAGCAGGAGGTGGCCTTCATAGCGAAAGGAGCTGACGCGTTCATTGTTGTAAAGGACCTTGGAACCTCGGACGATGGTCTAATCTGTCGGGGGCCATTGCATTCGGCTGGTGGCTTCTGATTCTTCCGGCGCTCTGCTTCCCGGCCGTAAAGGGAAAAGACCTGACGCCCTTGACGATGAATTGGACAAGTCTGATTTATGGGGGATCCATGTTCCTGGCCTTGTCCTACTATGCCATTTGGGCAAGACGCTGGTTCAGAGGTCCACGCGTCAACATTGACCATACACAGGAAAGCACCGAGATCTTGGAGGGTCAGGCACCGACCGACGACGGCATTAAGCAAGAGTAGTGATTGGACCAGAGAGCGTGTATACGTACATATTCTTCTGAACACCAATGGAGATGTCCGGCCACAGCAACCTGAAACGCAAGTTCATGTTTTGGAGTTCGATGTTGCTGGTACTTTTGGGCGAGTTGTGATGACGACGGGGCGACGATGCGCGAGATGTTGCCGTTGGAAAGGGTCGACTAGCGGCTCCAGGTTGGAGAAACTCGGCTCGTACAAGCATGTTAAGGGCCGTGTCACTGACAAGCACTTCGCTGACCGTGACCACGGATGGAGTTGACCGGGGCAGATTTAAACGAGGGTGTTGGTCAAGGTTGTGAGGCAGCCAATGACATTCCGCGATGGCGTTACTTTTTTCCGGTGTCCTCCGAAAATGAGAGTGCACGTGACCAGCCACCATCGATCATGACACGCCCGCATTTCTCTCTTCCTTTCCCTCCTGGTCTTCTCTCGCTACAACTAGTCAATCCAGACTCGAATGCCCTCCCCGTACCATAAGAGACTAGCGACAGAATTCCCTCACCCTCCGTGCACGACGCGAACACACTTCTTGGCAGCAGCATCACCACTATCGCCGTCAACGCAATGGCTTCTTACCCGCGGACGAGGAATCACGGCCTATGATGGCGAACTCGGCGCCATTTGCAAGCCAAGTCAAACATGCCAGTACGAGGACACCCACACCTATTCCCCTTCGACACCTGAAACGGTCAAGCATCTCTCCAATATCCCGATACCTGGCCTCGTCTACCCCGGTCTAGATCAACGTCAACTCATGTGTGCGCGTGCGTATCGATCGGCCGCCTTATTGCTTAGCAGTCTTCTCTCGGCTTCGTACGTCTCCAACTTGCCAAAGCGCTAGCATATAGCAGTAATTGCCATTGTGGTGAAATATTACCAATGTCCAGTTGAGGCAGTTCCCCCAATGCTCAATCTCTCACCACCTCTGGCTTCTCGGGAGTGCCACATCGTATGATTTAGAGGCCGACAGCGATTTGGATTCGCGATATCGATTTTATATGCTTGAACCCATCGCAGGAACAACATGCCCGAACCTCTTCTCTGGATCACCAAGACTCAAGGCTCCACAGTCTTATCGCGAAGTTCAAAGACGGAAACCCGACAGATTCGCAAACATGTCCAAAGTCAAAGGGCACGAGCAGCTCAAAGCGCAGCAAAAGCCTCTGCCGGTCGCAAGGACAAGGACTCGTCGCCAGAGCAAAAACCGACTGAAGCGCCGACGAAGAAAATGCGTGGTCTCCGTCTTGACACCAACGTAGCCCCCGAACAGTCAGAGACTGCCGAACAGCAACAACGTGCTCTTTTGTCCGCCTCACTGTCCCCCACAAGTCATTCTGGTCGAGTACTCCAGGCCATAAGCACATTCCCGGGGCTGGAACCACAGGAGCTCCGGAGCCTGGTTTTCTTCTGCCAGTTCACAGGCCCACAGTGGTCGGGCTGGAGAGATGCCGCCTTCTGGAACAAACTGATCCTCCAGGCCTGTCATCTGGATCGATCCATACTCCACGGGGTAGTTGCCCTGGGCGCGTTACATGAATCCTCCGAACTGGATGGCGAGTCAGACGAAAGATCCAACCTACAGCAATTGGCCCTTCGCCAGAGCAGCAAGGCTTCTCGAATGGCTTTTGAGACGGCCGTCTCCGAAATCGCTACTCTAATCTCATGTATCATCTTCATCTGTCTGCAAAACCTACAAGACAGCCATACTGCCTACCAGTTGCTACGCTCGGGCCACAGTCTCATCACGGATATTGAAGACCGGTTGCTGTCTGGTGAATTGGTCCTTGCCGACAGCGAGAAGACAGTGCTGAATAATTTCCTTCGACCCATCATTGAGCGACTTCGAATGAGGTTCTGCTGTATTGTCGATATGCCCTCGGCGCTCGCTCTCAGTGCCGCACTCAAGCGGAATCAGTCAGAGTCATTCCTACCAACACCTGAAATACCATACCGCTTCAACAGTCTGCTCGAGGCGCGCAACAAGCTCGAGGAGATTGTCGATTGGGCGCAGGAAAACATTGACCCTGCTTTACCAACTTGTAAGAACAAATCACAGACACAATTATTCATATCAGGTTGGATCGCCGCTCTTGACGAAACTGGCATCACTGTGTCGGAACGCTACGACACATTGGCGATATCAAAGAAGCTTCTCAGGGCTTCTGGTCTGGTTGCATCCATCCTCTTCGACACACTTGCGACACAGGAAGAATGTTGCTACGATGCTCATGTGGAAAAGTTCTCGCAAATTATTGACCTTTACAAGGATGCATTGACCGACCCGTCCAAGATTCTCAAAAATGTCTCCTTTGGCATTGACTCTGGTGTGATAGACACTCTATCCTTTGTTGCTGGAAGGTGTCGTGATCCAATCATCCGCAGATCAGCCATCGAACTGTTGACAAGGACGAACAGAACCGAGGGCGACCTACAAGGGAGAACAGGTAGCACCATCCTCCAAACATTGGTTGAGCTTGAAGAAGGAGATCTCCTCGTCACCTCGGCCTCTGATGTTCCCGAGACCCAGCGCTTGCGTATTTGGGAAGACCACCAATATTGGGAGACGGGACAGATTCATATCTACTTTGTGAAATGGCCATATGACCCTGCTGTGGGCGCAGAGATCAAACTTGTGAGGGCCTATCTACCGATGAATTCCCTGAGGACAGCCAAAGAAAAGGCGCTTCCTGGCAGCCCTATTGGCTTGCCCAACGTGAAGTATGGCCGCGGTGTGGGAGCATTCCTGGAGGAGGGATCTCAGACTTACCATCAGATCACGCTTTCGTCCTTTTTCATGCCCATGCCTAGGCTATGAAAGGGTGGCCTTGTCGGAGGTCCTGTTACGCGTCACCATTACCAACACAATAAAACCGCCCAGCATTCAAATACCCTTTGCTGTACACAAAGCTGGCACAAAGGCGGGGGAACAGTCGGGAGCTTAGAAATCATCTCGAACAGCCCAGTTCGGGTTGTGGCAACCGACTTCCTTGACAGGCTTGTGAGGTGTTACCGAGCCGTTTTGGAAAAAGACGACGCGCTGAAATATGACAAGGCTTTTTTGCCCGTCATTGCGGAAGACACCTTGATTGAGGTTCAATACTCGGCGAATAGATGAGCACCTCGGCACACTCGGTCTTAACTCGTGGTCGAGGTTAAAGCCCTCCCGCATCGGATGCATGCGAGAAGTGTTTGGCGAGAGTCTCGAAGTCTGCAGCGAAGCCTGAATGCTGTCCAATGCAACACAGATCTGAGTACTAGCCACCAATGGAAGACGAGCCTGGCCTTCGGAACAATGAAAAATCGGGGTCGGTACCGGGGGTTGACCCCGGTCTGTCGAGGAGAGCCAGCTACCGGATTAGGAATGGACAGCCTCACACTAGGAATCGCCGATTGGCCTCCTCTTCAGATTGAAGCCCCATGATCAGCCAATGAAAACATCAGTCCGTCCCATCCCTCTTTGAACGACATACATGTCAGTAAGTGTAGATCGATATCTATGTGAGCACTTGATACCAGACTTCCGCATCCGGTACATACCATGATCCAGCTCATACCGACACCGATGCATCATGACTGAGCATCTACTTGGAAATTACCATATGCCGTATCACATCTTATTACCTTTCCGCTAATCATCAGAACAAAGAGCGGCACGAAAGCCACTCATACCCCGACATGTCTGAATGTTGCCTTTTCTGGGGTACGGCATCTTGTACAATCATGTTGTTGACTCTCCTACAACAATAGAAGTAGGCCAGGTTTTTTATATAACATCTAGTGTGTTCCCGCGTTCTTTGTCAGGTCTAAATCATATCGTTCAATATTAGCATTCCACTCCAAACCAAGCACTGTACATCATGTTGAGAGCCAGTACCATTCAACTTTCTGACTCTGAGAAGTCGGGAGTTTCAGGTTATCTCCCCCTTCATCGCCGACACACTGCTGCAATTGATTCGACCTTGCCGTGGCCAGAAGCTACCGTTAGCAATGACAACTTTACCAACATCGCCGTGGTAATTATTGGCGGGGGCATATCTGGAATGTGTATTGCCATTGACCTTTTGGTGAAGCGGCAAATCAGAAACTTCATCATAGTGGAAAAGAGTGGAGGCTTTGGTGGCACCTGGTAAGTTGGCTATGACAAAAGCGATTTATGATGACTTGTCGGACACATTGTTGATGAATCTTTCAAGGCGCGACAACAAATTTCCCGGCTGTTGCTGTGATGTCTTTAGTGTTCTCTACTCTTACTCATTCGCACAAAACCCCCAATGGTCACGACGGTATCCTGGTCAAGAAGAGATCTTGGTATGTCGAGCTGGCAAAATATGACTAAAAAGAAGGAGACGATGAGCTGATTTCTATTGAACAGGACTACCTCACTGATGTAGCTCAAAAGTATGGTCTATACAAATATGCTCGATTCCATACCGCCGTCGACGCTGCAAACTGGAACGACACTACGTGCAAATGGGAAGTCACAGTGTCGGTAGGAGGCGGTAAGGAGTCCGAGTTTTCCTCATCATACAAGATCACGAGTGACTTCTTGGTCGGAGCTACGGGACAGCTCAACAAGCCCAAAGGAATCAATGTGCCAGGGTACAACGAGTTTGAAGGCAAGATGATGCATTCGGCTCGATGGGATTGGAGTTACGACATGAGAGGCAAGCGCATTGCCATCATTGGAACAGGTATGAGGCCAAACAGCTTTTCCAAGGGAGGGTCATATCACTAACGCTAGGCGCTACTAGGTGCAACTACAGCTCAAATCGCCCCCGAGGTCGCCAAAGTGGCGGCCCAAGTGACCATATGCCAAAGGACCCCAGCATGGGTCATTCCCCGGCACGACTCAAAGATCTCATCCTCGACCCGTCTATTGTACACCTATTTCCCACCAGCTCGCTGGAGAGGACGAGCCGAGGCCATGGACCTACGTGAAACCTTCCACGCGGCCGTGACCGACGCAGACTCGTCCAATGCCGATCACATGCGTCACCTGAACTACAATTTGATACGAGAGCAATTGGCCGATCGTCCTGACCTGTGGGACAAGGTGACCCCCAAATACCATCCGGGGTGCAAGCGCACCGTCATCAGCGACGACTATTACCTTACGTTGACGCGACCGAACGTACATCTCGAGACTGGCCCGATCGAATGTTTCACTTCATCGGGGATCAAATTTGTCAATCACGACACAGCCAACGAGTTCGATCTCATCGTCCTCGCCACGGGGTTCGACACATTCGGCTTTCTGTCCCCAATCAAAATCACAGGCCGCAACAATCGACCACTGGAAGACGTGTGGTCCAAAGCCTCGCACGCATACAAGGGTGTCACGGTCCCCGACCTCCCCAACTTTGGTCTGCTCTACGGACCCAATACGAATCTCTCGCACAACTCCCTCATTCTTGTCATTGAAGCTCAAACACGCTACCTTTCTGTGCTCATAGACAAAGTTCTTCAAGCACGACGCCGAGGCGAGACTTTGGCCCTCTGCCCCTCGGAAGAGAGGACAGTGTCGTATTGTCACGAACTCCAGCTCGCATTACAGCAGACCTCGTTTGCCGATCCCGCATGCACGTCGTGGTGGCGACGCGAAGACGGGATTATCACGAACAACTGGTCTGGCACGGCCGTCGATTATCAAAAGAACTTGTCATCCATCGACTGGGCAGATTACGACGCCTATGGGTCGGCAGGGTACAACATTGAAGTCCTCAAGAGTACCAACAAGGTCACCAAGATAGGCCGTGTGGTTGAAGAGACCAGGCTGAGCAGGACGGCACTGGGGGTTGTCCTGCTTGGTGCCGTGGGCTTGATGGTTCAGGGTGTCTTGTTGAATATGTGGTCTTGAAAGACAACGCCAGTAACAGCAACGACCTTTTCTTCCCTCCCTCCCAACTACGGCGCTATGTGGTAGATTGCTATAGCAGTCACGCAAATACAGGCATCTGTATGGAAGGCAAATGATCTTTCACTTGAGTACTGTCTCCTCTTATGCAATGTTGGTGACTATTCCTTGTCAAACGCCGGTGACCATGTCTCAAAGGTTTCAAGCACCAGCTTGATGTTGTGAGTCATGATGTTGATTGAGTCTGTTCCACATTCTGCCTCAGGCATCACCTGTGTCTCTTCATCCCTGCAGTCCCACTTTTATGTGCAACTTCACGTACACCCTATTCATCTTTTTCCTTGAATGCCTGTCCGTCGCTCCTTTGCCTGTTCGTCGACGAGTCACTGCCCACTTCCCCTTTCCTTGCTCATTGAACCCTTCATCATCGGAAACTGCTTAAGCTCTTCCACAACTCCACCTTTCTCTCTTTCCAAATTCCTCGTTCCTCCACTCAAACCGTTCATACCAACATATCCATCAAAAGGATCGGTAAAACCACGTATTACTATTCTGGCCATCCCTTTTGGATCTTGAGGGTTTTTGGATCCCGCTCAACCGTCGGGTCGCTTTTGTCTGCCTATTTCCTTTGCACAAGATTCTCTTTCAAGGTCCATCACAGAAAGTCAAACGGCAGCAGACTTTTCAACGACTGGAGAGCGTGAGGACCTGCGAGGACCTACAAGGCCCTATATAAAACCACACGGATGGTGAACATGGATCTTACTTCTCGATCAATGTGATCAAGATCATGCTTTGCGGATTTCGGTTATCCTTTGTGAACAACTCGACAAAGTCATATACATACCTCTGACGCCGACCACTCCTCCTTCGAGAAACTCTACAAGATGTTTGAATCAAGCACCGATGCTGCCGATGAGCGTCGCGAATCCAAACGAGGGACTGTGAGACTCGGTTTGAGCAACTTCAAAACCCCAACGGCCATCCGGAAAATCAGTGCGACTATCGACAAGAACGCAGGGCAGATCGAAGGGCGGCTCAGGGCAATTTCAAAATCATCGGACGAGAATACAGGCGATGATACCTCTCGAGTTTCATCATACATTGAAGAGCGTGCAGCACTGATAGACGAGATGCAGAGTCATCTCAATGACGTCCGAAAAGCGACGATGCAGGCTCAAGAAAAGGCCACAAGAGAAGAAAGAAGTGAGCTCAAAAGAGCACTGAAAGACTTGGACGATAATGACCGTATCATTCTTCGCGAACGTGCAACTCTGGCATCCAGTCGTGTCCGCATAGATTACGGCATGCGTGGGCAGCTCAGCCACGTCAAGTTGGGCGAAGCATACATGATGTCTTTGACTAAGAACTTCCCTGCCCCTGCAGGAAGGTTCTACGACAACAAGTCACAACGGACTGGAAATGAGCAATTGTCATTCCGAACCCGCCTGATAAAGACCTATCAATTCGAAGGCTCCCGGCTCTTGGAGACATGTGATGAAGAGGCCGGCCCGGAGCTATGGTGTCCAGTTAGTGGACGCGCACACCACAAAAGATTAATAAGAACGGCGCATATTGTTCCACCCATGGTCGGCGAAGTCAACGTCAGCTACCTGTTCGGCGTGAAACCCAGCGAAGGATTCGGCATCATATGGTCCGACTGAAATGGCATCATGATGGAAGAGACACTGGAAGAGAAATTTGACGATGGGCGCATGGTGATAATCCCAGACCCAACTGACAACAATGAGTTCATTAGTGTCATTTTGTGTGAACAACTACTGGAAAAAGTGTGCGGAGCAACGGAGACGACATATCGAACCAGCATCCACAATAAGCGCCTCCAATTCCAGACGGCCGCAAGACCATCCAAGCGATATCTTTACATCCACGCACTCTTGACAATGTTTCGACGCCGTCGGTACAACGTTTCTGGGTGGGAGAATGACAGAGACCAAATCTTCTCAGATCGAACCTGGGCCACACCGGGAAAATGGGCAAGGAGGAGCATGGTAGAAGCACTGGCTGTTGAATTTGGAGATACCTGGGAAGAACATACCGCAGCTACAGATGCCCTGGGCAACTACCCTGACATACAGCCGTCAGAAGATGAAAAGAAGATGGCCACCGTTGTGAGATATGCTTTCGAGTCGCGAGGAAAGACTATGGTGGAGGTGGAGGAGGAAGAAGAAGAAGAAGAAGAAGAAGAAGAAGAAGAAGAAGAAGAAGAACAATACGATGATGATGATTATTAGTAACAACAACATCCTTTTATGATTTCATGCAAGAGACTTCAAGAATGACCTCTTTCCATCAAGCCGATAAAGAAGAAAGAAAAAACAGTATGGCAATGTCTTTATCGGTTCTCTCTCTATCAATTCTCTTGGTCCTCCTGGCCTTCCTGGCATTCCTGGAGCTCCTATTCAAGGGGCAACGGTATATATATATATATATATTATCCCTTTTTTCGTCTCACACACACTCTCTATCTCTCTCCAACTCTTTATCCCTACCCAATCAATCGACTCTTTTGAAAGAGAACGACCGACGCATCCTTTTCGGCAATCTAAGATGCGAGAGATATTGAATTGGGATATATACTCTGTTTACCTCTTGGTGAGAGTATCGAGAAAGAGGCCGACAAGGAAACATGCCGGTCAGCAGCATAAAACGACGCTATCGTCAGCGATATACTTCGAAGCATACCAACGCGAAACGACATCGTCCGCAGACTTTTATCAAGCATTTCCTGGTCATGCCTTGACGAAAATGTCTCGTCCGCATACTCTCGCACCCTCAGAGTGAGGTACAGCTGATGTTGAAGCTTACTGCCGATGCTGATCGCGCATGTCAACAGACCCTTTCTTCGCCCTCATCCGTTCAACATGGCGCACAGTCGACCTGGCAAAACCACGTCGTGTTTACGATGTGGATCAACCGACAACCCCTACTCGTCGACACGACCACGATCAATCCATGCAGGCCAGCTCACATGGACTGGGATCGTTGAAGAGCAAGTGACTTCCGAGAGGTGTAAACAGTGCGAGTCCTGGGATAGGATTTGGTTTGCCATTCTCTTGCCTCGAAAAAAAACCCCCCAAGGACATTTCAGACTTTGTGCTTTACGATCCATTGCCTCAAAGGCAGCCGAAGGGGAAGAGAAGGAGGCGTGGCAGGCCGAGGAACTCGGTCCAACCTGATGCTTTTTTTGAGAAGGTGTAAGGTATCCGGAGAAATCAGAACAACCCGGAGTGGCCACGCAGCAAGTCACGGTCGAAGCGAAGTTGGACAACACTCAAAGAATCATGAGGTCCCAACTTCCATGTGCCTGACATGTACATACATCAAATGTTGAGCGACTTTCCTGCCCAAGCAGGGCCCTTCTTCCTCACAAAGATTGGTCGCGGTATGACGGGCAAGTCGTTGCTGGAGCCTACTCTCCAAGCACGACAACCTCAGACATCGCCGGGCCTGAATTTCCGGGGTTCACGACAAAACTCGGTCGACACACGAACGAACTTGTTCTACAGCAATCGTCTGTAATTCTTCCAGCAAACATCGAACCCGCCACGCTTCCGACGGGTGATGATGAGCGAAAAAATCTTCCATTACGATTTCGTAACGAGAGGGGACAGTTTTTCCAACTCAAAGACTGTACCCACTTCATCGACGTGGCAAACTCCTGTCTCGCAAGGTCCGTCACCGACATTTCGATTTTCTCCCGTAAATGTCAGAGAGGCCGTTGCCGTCCAAGCACTTGTGAAGACTTTCCTTCGGCTAGGTGCCCAGAGAAATCAGACTGCCGTCTTGGGCGAGGAATTTTCGAAACCAGACGACATTCTTGAAAGAATCTGGCGGCTCAGAATCAGTGCCCAGGGTCGATTTTACAGACCTGTGGCATAGACCCATCACGAGGTCTGGGAAAGGAAAAGAGTGATTTCAGAGTCTGACAAAACCAAACAGCCGAGGGGACTGGGCTGGCTCTCTCTCCAGCAAGAAAAAACCAGCATTGTACATTCGTGGGCAACTGGGAGAGAGTCATGCACTACCGACAGACCTCCTCGGGCAGCAACTTTCTGAAGGGTCTGTTTAGCAGAATGCAGGAACTGCATAGACCGGGCTGGGTTGTTGATGCCGGCAATGCACCATATGAATATGCCCCTGTGGAAAGGGGTTCTCGGGTGTACCTGTCAGGCTATCAATCAAATCAATACACAGGTGTAACAAACACTGCTCTTGTACTAACTCTTGAAGCGTCTTTGTCTTTGTCTTTGTCTTCGTCTGTGTAGAATTAGAATTGATTTCATAAATTTCCTCTCTCTCTCTCTCCACACCTCGAATCTATTTCGTGGAATAATTCAACACACAGAGACACACACACATGTACGAGGTATTGTCTATCCCGCATGGCTGTTTTAAAACATTGTACCTAGGTGAAATAACTCAAAAAGACATCATCATGCTATGTGTATGACGTTTCTCTCTTTGGGAAAAAAAAGAACCAAAAATTGATGAGCCCCCCTCCCCTTGGGCCGAAGTGAATCGAAGCAACCAACAGAATCAAGCGGCTTCGACATCATCAATGACCCCATCAACCCCTACGGCTCCTTCTTGTTGAGCCATGGCTTGGGCCGACACGATCTCTGCCAGTCGTTTCAGTCGAGGTGTTTGTAGCCCTAATCAAACAAAAGTCAGCATCACATCAACAAAGTCTGAAGGTTGTTCAACTTACATGAAGGAGTATAAGTCTCCAAGGCGGTAATGACTCTCGGTTCGGCAATCTCATATGGTCCACTATCTTCCATGTCGACGGGAGCCAAGAGGAGAACGTCACTCTTCTCTGTGACCCTCGAAGCCACCGCCTTCATGATTTCACCGTTGATGGGTTGTTCATAATCAGCAACAAGGTATTGGTTCAGGAGTTTCTGGATCTGGTTGGGGGAAAGCATCCAGCAAATGTCTTGAATGATCTCAATGTCGTTCAAGGTGGCCTTCTTCAGCTGCAGAAGCTTGGTGGCCTGCATGAGATGCTCGAGTTGCAAGGTTCCTTCGGGCATATCGTGGCTCTTGCACCATTCTTCGATTCGGGTAATGTTGTAATTGATCTGGAGGCCACGCTTCCATGACAAGAAATTCCTACGCATCAAAAGGTCATTGAACGCCGTGACCCCAACCAGTCGAAGAAGTTCGGTAACTGTCTGCGTGATGATGGAGTCTTCGAGGTAGTATGCCTTCATCGCTTTGAAGACGTTGTTCAACAAGCTCAACAAGTTGTCCATACTGTATGCTGGCGTGTTGTTGGATGGGAGCAGCTTGCCGAGGAAACGATTGCTCTCGTTCGTGACGAAACCAGGAAGGGATTGTGATTCGATAATGGCTGGTACGATCATCTTGTGTAACTTCTTCTTCAACACCTTCATCCAAGTATGATAGATGTTGAATTCCAAACTTTCCAAATCATGCTTAACAATCTCAAGTAACCGGTCATATTCGTAATTGTCGGTCTTCTGGGCTTCGTACCAATCTTCGGCCAGGAAGACAAACGAAAGCATTTCATGGACGTTGGACAGCCAGAACGCGCCAGGGTTGATGGCCTCATCCCCGTCGTGTTGCATGACTTCCTGCTGGATAGATTGCATCACATTGGCAAGGAAGCGCTCAGATTCTTTGACGAATCCATTATTCCACATCTCAGAGGTGACCAAGTTGATGAGGTAAGATGGGAACAACACCTCCTTATCTGTAGGGGGGGGATTGGCCCCTGGCTGAGGAATCTTGATGCCACGGATGAGACCCATGGTGACTTCGTCATTAAGTTCCTCTTCTTGAGCAAGCAGATTCTCAAGTTCCATCTCAACACTGTCGAGACCAGGATGGAACGTCGAACCAGACAACGTCTTCGCATGAGTGTCCAAGGCCATCGAGACAGGACGGGCACTGAAGGCACCACTGTAACGATCGGTCTCGACACGTTCGGCGGCACCAGCACTTCGTCTCTTCAAAGGCTTCTTGGAAGAAACGAGGTTGATTAGACCATTCGCAGGTTGAACTCCATTGGCATATTCACCATTCACACCGTTGGTGGCAACTGGTGGTGGTGGAGCCCTTCTTGCAATCTCAAGCTGATCTTGAAGTTCGTTGATTTGCTGGCGCAGAGTGCCTCTCTCACCGTCGTGCGTCGAGACGGCTTGTCGTAGTTTCTCCAGTTCAGCATTCGACGACTGCAGTGACTCTCGAAGTTTACGGTCTTCGTCTTGTAATCTCTTTGCGTTGCCCATCTGTTCATCATGACTGGCCTGCAGTTTCGCGTGCTCCTCCTCAAGGGCGCTCAAGCGCGCAGCAATAATGCCGGCTTGATTGGCCTCGGTCTGTAACTCTCGGGATCGGGTTTCCAACGCATTGTGTCGTGATCTCCAGGACTTCAATTGACCTTCGTAATTCTCCAATTGTGAGACCAATGATTTGTTTTCTCGTTTGATCGCACCAAGGGATTGAGTAAGCTCCACAACTTTGTTCTCGAGCTTGTATGAAATTTGTTTGAGATCTCGCGCTTCCTCACGCATCTTCTTGTAATCGCGCCTCGCAGTCTTACCACGCCACAGATTCTGTACAATGACAACTTTTCTGCGGTGCTGTCTCCAGGCGCGTAATGACCGCCACGATCGGAAAGCTCTTTGGATTTTGATTGCAGCATCGCCGATGCGCTTCTCGAGAATGTTCCTTCTGCAAAGGTAACCTTTTGCCACCGACTCAAACAAGACCAGGTCACTTCGTATTTGATTGAAATTCTTGCGTGCTTTGTGACCACGCCAGATACGTTGAAGATCAGTGGCTGCTTTAGTCTGTCTGGTTTCTTCTGCTCTGCGTCGGGCGAGGAAGGCCCTGGTGGCAGCCTGGAAGTCGAGGATAGATTGCCGTGCATCGAGGTACTTGTGGCGGTAGTACTTTGCACGCAAATTCTTCTGAATCATGATAGCACATTCCTTGAGTCGAGCTGAACGGAGATTTTCCAAGAACGCCAACATGCCCGCACGGAAGAAGATCTTGGTAAGACCGAGCTGGTATTTTTCTCCTCTTTCATGGGCTTTGGCTCCCAGCGCCTTGACTAGAATATTCTGAGCCATCTGGCGGATCTCGGTCGTCCATTCAGAAGACCTGCAAAGCATGTAATATCGCAAGGCGAACTCTTCGTATGTCCATCTGGTAGGATAACCGGCAGTACTGATGCGAACGGTCTCCAACACACCACAAGCTCGGAGCTGCGACAACACCATGGGACCCTCAAATTTCCAAGACTCCTTGGCTTCGTTCGGCTTGATACAACGAATGTAGTGAGCGTCGGTCGAATTGATGGTCTGCATGAGCTCAATGAGCGAGCTCTTGAAGATACCTCCGAGCGTGGGCTTGCGGTTAACAGCAACACCCATCCGGCGGCCACCGCCAGTGGCGACAGTTTTCGAGCTTGTTTGAGCACTGTCTTTATCCCGAACTGCGGCAGCCACGTCCAAAACCTCAACCAAGAAGGCGTTTGAAGACTTCTTAAGCACTTCCATCTGTTCATCTGGAACAGTGTCTCGATTCTTGTCGATGAAGCCATCTGATTCGTACGTGACATCCAGGGCGTAGTGGCAAACTGTAAAGGACGATTTCCCAAATCGAGGCTTCTTGTAGAATTTCTGCTTGTCGGCAGCGAAGTGGTGGTGCAATTTGGTGACAAACTGGTCGTCCGAGCCCATGGGAAGTCTCGATTCTTCATCCAAAAGTGACAAGATTCCAAGTTTGCCTTCGATGAGATCGATGCAGGGCTGGTTATCCGAGAAGTCGATGAACGTCCAGTCAATCTGTTCTCGCATGTACTCTTCCTGCTCCAGCTTGAAGACATGCTGGTTAAATTCTTGCTGTAATTTCTCGTTGGCGTAATTAATGCAGAACTGTTCAAAGGAATTTTTGGCGAAATGCTCGAATCCGTAGATATCGAGCACGCCGATAAAAGTGCTCACTCGCTGCAAAACTTCGTCCGTTGCCAACCCATGGTTAATGGTGTCTACCAACCAGTCGAACAGGCTTGAGTAGATGAATTTGGCCACTGAATCTCGAACCACTGTAGCTTGCTGTTGAGTGAGGTTCGACGTGATCTTTTCTCCTCTCGTAATGAGTTGCTTTTTCACGGTCCATTTGGCGAAATCCCCAGCATCAATTCCGAGGATGCTGCAAGCTTGTGCCAAAGCCGGCTCGGAGGAGGACAGTGAAGAATCTGATCGTGTCGCCGTGATCTTGATGTTACCGATATGCAGCAGAGCAGCAAGAACACGGAAGATTTCTTTTTGGGTCGCTCCGGACACGTTGATGGTGGACAATGACTTCCTCGTGGCTGCAAATTCGGCCGCATCATCGACACCATCAATCAGAGGCTCATTGCCTTGATTCAGATAGTCAAACTCTTCGACAGAAACGAGACCTAGCTCCTGCTTCTCTTCGGGAGTCGATCCAGCGACCAACTGGTAGAAGATGTGGTAGTTTCTCTCCTTGAGCGGTTGGAAAACAAGACGTGACCGTTCAAGAAGATAAGTCCTGATCCTGGCACCAATGATGTCGGTGTTCTTGTCAAACATGATCTCAATGTACTTTCCGAATCGTGAAGAGTTGTCATTCCTCGTGGTTTTGGCATTACCGAAGGCTTCCATTACAGGATTCGTGGCGAGGATTTGTTCTTCGGTCTCGCTGATGGCATCTGCCCGTGATTTGGTGCCCTTGCTGACTTGCCCCGGGGCGCCACGGGTTGCAAAGTACCGCATAATGTACTTTGCGCTGACCGTTTTTCCCGCACCGGACTCGCCAGAGACCACGACGGTCTGGTTTCGATTGTCCCGTAACATGTCGGTGTAAGCCTCTTCGGCGATGGCGAACAGATGGGGCGCCTGCGATGCTCTTTGCTTGCCAGCATAAACCTGCACCATCTGCGGCACGTAGAGGGAGTCGACACGTGCGAAGGGGTTCGTGGCTATCAGCACGATACCACTGTATGTGTAGATTTCTTTCTGCGCATATCGCAGTTTGATGGCCTGTAAGATGGCCGGCTCGTTCAGGTGCGAAAGGTTCGTCAAGTCTTCGGCCGCTTCGAACATGGGAGGGTTCATAAGAGGTGGAAGGGAGGCATGTGTGGTATCCGACAGGGCCTCTTCGGTGGTTTCGAGCGTCTGCTTGGAGTCATCGGACAGGCTGAAGATGAGTGCGATTTTCCCATCTCCCAATGACTTCTTCTCGGCCAATTCACCAGGAACGAAACCCTCGGCCTGGTTGGGGAACCAGGCCCGGGTGCCAACCTCCCAGCTGGCCATGGTGGGCAAACGTTGCTGGTGGTGGTGTACAACACAAGGCAATCTCAACTATTGGGAGCGAGTGCAGCCATCAAGTCGACGGAGACAGGGAGTGGAAGTCTAGAATGAACGTGTCACTCCGGGGGGGAGTGTCTTGTGGGTTTCTGGGTGAGGTAAGGTAGTACAGATGAGGTAAACTGACGATGAAAACGACGGAGGCTGAAGTCGTCGTCAATGAGCACGGCGATGAAATGTTTGATGGACTGGTGTCTTCTGTTGTTGGTTGTTTCGCTGGTGGCCGTGATATTCTTCGGTCAGAAAGTCTTCAGGGACTTTAGGACGCGACTCCAGGCACGACGCTTAGCCACTTCGAAACAACGAGCTAAATAAATAGTTCAGCCCCTAGAAATTTGTCCCGAGCGCCCCTGAGTTTAAGTACCGAGTACGGAGTACACAATGTTATTATGGTTAATATTACTACGGAAGACTAGGTACCAAATAATCTCTGCAAGGTCAAGGATTGTTGTTGCGATGTATGAATGGCCTTGGGTCAATATGAGTTAGTAGGCATATCATCAATTCAAGGCCAGAAGTGCATCTTCTGTAGGGAGATGGTGGTGTCCATTGAGCCTCACGTGGTTATCCAAGATACAAGTACTTTAGGTACCTCCTCAATCTCAGCAGTGACCATTGCCTCGTGCACTACGGAGTACGGAGTAAAGGTAGACTTTATACAGGAGTACAAGTACCTAGGTACTTAACAGTAACAGTACTGGGACCGTGCGGAAGAGGCAGATCTATCAACACGCTGGCCTCAAATCATCGCCCCTCTTTTTGCCATCGAGGAGCCACCGTTGAGTCCTGGCGTTTCTTAGCAACATGCGCCCATGGGCCACTTGTATGGAATTGCAATTTTTGGTACCAAGCACCACCAGCACTACGAGTACACTGTCCTTGTTGCTAAATGACTGATTTATTAGGTACTCTACTCTGTGAGAAGTAACAAAAAGCTGCCAATACTCGTAGGGATTGCGGCGGCGTGTGTGTGATATTGCTTGAACGCCATATAAATTGACTAACTGAAAGCACCGCCCGTGGCCTGGGAATCCAGCCATTTCTCTCTTCCATGATTATGGGATCACTCATCCCCAGCATGTCAAACGCCCAGTATGCTCGAAGCGGGCCAGTAGAGGGTCTGTGTCTGCAAAATGAAAAAAACAATCATGTCTTGCCCCAAGTGCTACTGCTTTCCCACGCAACCCGACAAGGGATCAACGAGTTGAATCCATGACTTATTCCCGTATTACTCCCTTCTACTGATTCTTGCACTCTGAGGCTTGTTGAGATCGGGGTTTTCCGCCCTCCTCTTCATCTTCCTCATCAGACTCGGCTTCTTCCTCGTCTTCATCATCTTCGTCATCCTCGTCGTCGAACTCGGCATCCTCGGCATCGTCAAACTCTTCGAATGCCAGTGCCTCGCCAGTGAACCAGTCGATCGCCCGGGGAATGAGCTTCTCTTTGATGTCCTCACCGAGCTGGTAGTCAAGCTCAAGTCTCTCTTCAATGTCGGATGCGACCTCGTCTTCATCGGAGGGGGCTGCAGGAGGGGCAAAGAAGTTGAAAAAGGACTCGGTAGGCACGGTCTTCTTGATGACTCGAGTCTGCTTGGTGTCTAGTACACAGGTCAGTATGTATAGGTGGAAGCCATTGAGGGGCGCACATACTCTTGTTTCTCTGCTTCTTGCTCTCAACACGGACGGTAAGGTCCTTACCAGCCTTCCAGTCGATGTTGTCGCCTTCGGCGTGATCGTAGATGAAGTCACCTCCGTAGCCACTCTCCTCTCGGTAGAAGTACGTCTTGGTGATGGTCTTGTTCGTGAAGAAGTCATTGGGAGCAAATTCGAAGATCAGGCGGAATCCGGGTCGGTCGAGATATTCCATCCGGATGTCTGTCAATGATCGAAGAGCTTCCTCGTCACGATCGGTGATGAGCTCGGCAAGAGAAATCTGGTTCTTCATCGCTGAGAGCCAGAATTCTGGGATACCCTTCATGGCTTCAGCGGGAGCCGCGGGTTGTTCCTTTTCCTCTTCTTGCTCGGCCTCTTCTTCCTCGTCCTCCTCCGACTTGCCGGCGGTCACCTCATCCTCGGTAGGCTCGGTCTCTCCATTGACGATGGCTGCTCGCTTCTCGTACAATGGTGTGAATTTGGCAAAATACTTCTTCTCGAGCTGTAGGACTTCTTCTTGGAACTCGGCCTCCAACTTCGCGTGGTCTTTCTGGATGCCTTTCAGGCCGGTGACTCGGCGGCGAACTACGGGGGGTAAGGACTCGATGTATCCAGACGAACGGCCGACAAGCGTGGAGAGCTTATTCTGCATGAGGGAGACGAGTGCAGGGTTCGAAGCAAATATGCTTGCGGCAGTGCGGTCAAGATCCTCTGAGAGCGGTCAACTTAAAACCCACCCAAGGCCTCGACTTTCAAGAAATGTGCCCACCTTCAGGGATGTCACCTATCGTTGGTGCTTGAGCGTGGGAAGAGATGGGCGCATTTGACGCGGGTGCTAGAAAATTGTGAGCGGTGGTGGACGCGCAACACCGGGTAGAAGGACATACTGTTTTGGGGGGTTCTGAGTCCCGAAGTTCATATTAGTATATGATGATAATACACACAAACGAGAGATCGAGGCCTGATAAAAAGGGTCACTTACGGAGCGGTGACATTGCGTCCCTTGGGAATGTCGGCCATGGTGCTTGTGACTTCGGTCAGGATTTGTGCTGTGATGATAGAATTAAGAGGAAGAGGCGAAGAGTTGGGATTCTGGTGGGATGAAGAAAATGGCTCTGCACACGAAATTTCGATTGGACGCAACGAGCAAGCGCAGCCAGAACATCATTCGCCCGCCGCCCTAAGAACAGCGAGACACGCGCTAGTCCGTTTTGATCTCCCAACCCCAGCACTGCCATCTTCATCTTTGACACGTACTTAGTGAATTCAACAAATTACGTTTGACGATATTCTTTTACGCCTCGAAGCCCAGGCAGGATGAATCCTTTGAACAATTGCATCTGCCACCGTGGCTACTTCTACAGTCGGCCGTTCCCTTGAGCAAGATTGTTGAGGGTGCGGATCACAAAATCGACTGTGACGTAAGGCGTGTTTCGTATCGAGGCCCGTAAATATAAATACTCATTTTTCAACTACGGAGTATTCCATGTGTATTTGGTGGCCTAGCTATCGATCGATCCAGCCGAGAACACTCACATCCCATCATGGCCCTTACTCGTACACATGTGGATCTCAATGAATATCTGGCAGATTAGGTATATTGCCATGCCGCAAAGATTTGAGAACTGTCGATAGCAATGGCGTCAAATCCCAGACATTGAGATACGTTTCCCCTAGGCACTGTCGCATTCGCCATGTTCGCAAACACCTGCCATGAGTCCGATGCATCGGTTGGACATCCCATGAAGCCGTCCGACCCAAAAGCATCGATGGTGAGCCTTCCAAAAGGAGCTTGTGGGTTCTTTTGGTACCTGAATGGACAGAGAACGGACCCTGCTGGTCTGAACGCAGAGTGTGCTTCGGTGTAGCCAATTTCTCCATTTCGGGTCAGGTAAATTTGTTGACCACCTGGAACAACGACTGCCTGTTTTTTGCCAGTCAACCGCTGTAGCCTGCTATACCTGTCTCAATCGACTATGACTTACCATGCTACAAAGAGAAAAGACGGTTTCGTTTCCGGGCGGACATCCTCCGATCTCGTCTACCTCCTCCGGACAGTATGCCAGTGTGTCGACTCCAAGCCAGAAGCGCAAGCCGGCAGCATTCATGCGAAGATAATCGACCGGGGATTCGTCACGAACAGCGACAACGGTGATGGGCATGGTGGGTGTGGTGATCGGCGAGACACGTGTCGATGTAGCAGCAATTGTACTGGACTTTGCGGTACTGGTTGAGACGGCTGTTTTGTGTGTCGAGGAAGTGGTGCTGTTGGCGTACCCGCATTCTCCATAGCCGGACGGTGCCCTGGTGCAGAGTGAAGTGGTCTCTTGTAGATGTGGTGAGGCGAACGCGATGCCCAAGAACAGTGAGCTGATCGTCAAGACGAGGAACTGCATTTTTGCAAGCGTATGCGAGATGAGGATGGGAATGGCTCAGGAGCAAGAAGAAATCATTGAGCGAAAACCCCCAAGAGAAAGGTTTTTGTTGGAAAAAGAACGAGAAGGTGATTTGGAAAGGTTTTGTAGAAAAATTCCAATATCAGAGAGGAAGGTGTAGATGTGTCATGCCATCAACACGTTTCTCAACGGCTCCTCGCAGCTTCCAGGTGAATCTTGTGTAACGCGGTAGACTGGGAGAACGAGGACTTCGATTTCGATTTCAACTTCACCTAGTATATTCCGTCCCTGTCAGATTCCTCCCTCCCACACACCAGACTTGATTAACAAAGAATGTTGCGTTGCTGGTGCACCATTTGTTCCCGACGTCGCCGTATCGTTCCCGAAGAGCCGTAGAAGGATCCGGTTCGATATGTTACTTGTTCTTACAAGCCACGCGTCCATGGCTTTGTTTCCCTCTTGACCGTGCAATGCGTTGTTTCGTCACGTCAGAGTGTTAGCCCATACTGTTATCATAGAGGCCACCCTGACTTCATGTACTCTACAGCATCTGCTCCCAAAGAGTCCAGACATTGTCTGTTGTTCTGCCAATGAATCCAAGCCAGACCCTGAAGAAAAGAGTCCGCCAGATCATCCAGTTTCGAGATCTTCTCTTTGGACGTCTGTCCCTTCTTCGCTCGTGCTACCTCCGTCTTTTTCCATACAGACACAAATTGTTCGGCAAAAGGTCTTAAATTTGTACCCACATTCACCACTTGTGAGGTCGATGGTGATGATTGATCAAGATTCTCCAAAATCCTGCCTACCAAGTCAATTTTGGCACTCTTGACTTCTCGCCCTGTCGGTCTTTTCTTCTTCTTCGTCACAGACTGTATAGCCCTACTATCAGGTCCTCCTTGTCCTCCCTCGAGCCAATATCGATTGACACGAGTAGGTAACATTGGTTCAACGTCCATCTTGAGTTTTTGACTCTCGATCAAGGTCCTCAGAACTGCATAGAGCATACCCTCAAACACACCCACCCGGATAGTCCACTCGGGTACTGCAGCTCGACCGCCAGATCGGAACCGTTGCCTTTCAATCAATATCACATCCGGCTTGTACGTCTGTAGCATGTGCTTGATCAAACTGTAGGCGTGTCTCGCGTATTCGTCCGGTTCAAAAGACTCCTTCTGGTCCGTTGTGCTGCGACCCTCCTCCTCCTCCTCATCATCCCGGGGTGCCCTCGCTTGTGCGTTCCCTCTGCGTCCACCGTCGGACTGAAGAGACCCGCCACCTACGCATTCTTCTTCGGCTGGTCGTTTATCAGACACAGACAATCGACTCCACGCTTGCAAAGTTGGCGTCGTGTATGGAGCCGTGGTGGTCGTCTCTGATGGGGCCACCCTTTTCGCGGTGAAATGAGCGTACGCGAGGTTCCTAATCCCCATGTCAATGCTCAAGAGGCTAATAAGTCGTCGACCTTCTTCATTGTATCGCTTCTCCTTCTTGTTGTTGTCCGTGATTGCATTCCCGATGCCCTGCAATCGTACCGCTTTCGTCCCTGAACATGGGGAGCCAACGGTGACCGCCACCCGATGTAGCTTGTCCAAAGTCAGAGCTTCTAGCCAGGGTTTTGTGGCCGTCATCCCCTCGTTTCGTGTTTCTGAGCTGTGCCTAGCACGAAATCCAATCGGAGCACTTCAATATGCTCTCATCGTGCTGTCATCTATCAACACAGAAATATTGGATACTCTATTGGTTGGAGTCTTGTCGAAAGAAAACGCGTCGTCGTAGCGTAATCACGTGCCCCTCGTTCTACAGAGCCTCGTTCCTTCAGCCTACACGATGCGAAGCAGCACTGACCTTGTAACTCTTCTCCAAAAATAGAATGCCAACTCAAGAGAATATCACTTCGTGACTGTGTGTTATTAAAGATGGCAAGGTAGTAATGTCGAAAGTCAAAGCCAATGCCAGAAATGTAATGTTACAAGACGCCCGAGCTCCAGTTAATACCTGTGATATCCCAATGAACGCCCTTTTTTCCTTGTCCAGTTAGGCAGCAAAAAGGGGTATAATATCTTTCTTCGTCACCAGAGAATTCCATCATGTGCCAAACCAAAAAGTTTTCTTCGTTTCGTCAATTCTTTCCCGTCGCTGAAAATGCTGTGTCAAACTTCTTCTTCATCAAATGCATCATCGCCTTCCCGCTCCAAATAAACCAATTCCGTCCACACTCGAAAGTTTACGACGGCCATATGCGCCAGCATCCTAGCAATGCTCTCAATTTGGAACGGGATTCGTCCTCCCTGTGAATTCTGTTGTTGGATCTGTTGCCATTGTTTTTGAGCTTCGGAGATGGCGAGAGTCGTCATGCCCTGGAACTCAGAGGCAGTATTAAGAGCGCTCTTCTCAATGTCAAATCCGATGGCCTCGGCGCGAACGTGCTCTCGCTGCTCCGAGTCGAACATGTCTCTCAAGTGATCCGTGGCCTTGGCGACATCTGCCTCCGTTATCTGCGTCGCCCGTCCGCAAGCATGGCTGGCGGCACGAGTGAGTTCGAGGCCAATGGCACTCGCGTGACGGTCCCATACATCAGAGATGGATGTACCGGGCTCTACATAACCTTCCGTCAGATCCATGAGGCGATTGTGCAAGCGAGCGCGTGTTTCTGTTGCCCGATTCTGCCAACGCCTTCTTGTCAGCGGATCCTTGTTGTCAGCGTCACGTAGGTGGCACAGAATTTCGTCAAAGACCTCGAGAGACATTTCGAGATGGAGAAAATCTTGAATCTCCTCGCGCATGGTCCTGAGGCGACACCTGTCGTGCTTCAGGGTTTCCGGGATGACTGGGTTCGGCGAGACACAAATCTTGGCCATCCCGTGAACCAAGGGCTCGAGTGCAAATGTTCTATGCGTCGGGGGCGCAGTCAAGCAGAGCCTGTGCTCTTGTGCTGCTGAGAGGTACCACTGTTGTGAAGGACCCACATCAAGTCTCTCGCTCAAGATGCGCAGGCGAAAGTACTCTTGTTGAAAGGGGACCGTATCATCGATGAGGTGATATCGGAAGCTTCGGATTTGATGATTCGCAACATCTAGCTTCATGGCTTCCAGAAAGGAGAACAACTTCTCGATCCCAGCAACTAGAGCATGCAGATCGCCTTTTTCTGCCCCCTGCCGTACCTGGTCAGCCATCTCTTGCGCAGACTCATCCCTCATGGGCGCGCAGTGCGTCGTCAGAAGCACGCAGAGCCACCGAGCGAGTTGAACAACGTCTAGCAAGCCGTGGGACACTTCTTGAAGAAGCAGCGTGATATCGAGATACTGAACTATTTGGTCTTGGTCGCGGTCGGGTACCAAGATGCTCAGCAGCTCCTTGAGCGTCAAAAACATCTGGCGGAGTCTCGGTTTGAAATATCGGCCCTTCGATGGGGCGGAACGACGTGCTTCTTGACATCTCGAGCATGGCCCTAGATGGTCATGCTGATAAACTATCCTCAACTCCGCCTCCAAACTCAGCCAATATTTCCTAGCCTCTTTCCTCTTCTGTTCCCCTTTATAGCCAGAGACGGGTGTGAAGTGGAGGTCGTGGTCATAATTGATGTCCACCCTCAGGTTGATATTTGACTGAATCCACATAAGGTCCAGCTCTTCCAAGGACTCTCGCGTCACCGGTGGTAGATGGGTTGCGTGAAGGAGGGCCTCGACATCCTCTTCCGCTGTGCATGCAGGTATCTTGACGCGTTCGCGAACGTCGCCTTCCTGCTTTGACCTCACTTCAAGCGCCTGTAAACAAGGGTCGGTGTCCGAAGCCTTCCCGTCTGCCTCGGATGCTTCTGAAGGGCACGAATGCCCGTCCAAAAGGGAGGCTGGCCCATGAGGGTAGTCGACATTGATATCGGGTTGACTATCCCCTTTGGGAGGGATGTCTAACTCGGTACACATGGACGATTTCATGGTCGCTGAACTTGACGACGAAGAGGCCTCGGACAATGGGCATCTTGTAGGTGCAGGACTGCGCCTGCCTGTTATAGGATCTCTTTTAGACCTTGGTGTATGGCCGGACCCGCCTTGATGGTCCTTGCCGCTGTCTTCAACGTTGTTTTGGTCACATTCTCCTGATTTCCTCATAGAAAGCTCCCACGAGAGAAAAAGGTCATGTCATTTCATTGGCGCATCATTTTCACATGGTGGGATCCGTATGGGCGTTCTGATAGTTCAAGAGAGGGTCTTGTCAGACGTCGACGTAGGCGCAAGTGGGAGCTTGTTTTCTTCGTTTTTGCGTACCAAAGGATTGAGGAGGGGCGTGGCCGACCAACGGCTCACAGCATCCGTTTGCCCCAGCCAGCACAGAATCGGTTTGATGCAAAGCTTGCTGAACAAGAGCGGGCTGGCAGATGCAGTCTAACCATGCACGCCGGGATCACGGATTTCAGCTGGAGACGCTGGGAGGGGATGTAACAATTGAGCGGTAAGAGGGCTAGCGGCAGCAGAGCCACACGCGTGTGGTCCCCGTGCAGGTCCAAGAGATGCGTGTGTGTGCAGGTAAGATGCGACAGAGTGAAGCGAGTGACAGGCGAGAGACACCCAAAAGGACAGAACTCCTCCCAAGCTCCTGAGGTTGATTGATTGCGAGGGTAACGAGTGGCAAAAGAGTGTAGAGATGGTTGATTCTAGGTAGCCTCATTTTTTGGTCTGAACGAAGATCCTTGGGTCTCATTTTACTCCGTATTTGTTTCTTATTTCGTTACTGGGTGTCCGAGTCCGAGCCCTGGCAAGGGGGATGAAGAGGGTCAGTGTCCGGAAATTACGGATACCGAGTGGCTTTCCGAGGACCTGCCACACCGATCACAAGAGAGAGAGGCATTGTCTTGTAAGAGCATACGAGTACAATATCGACTTCAAAGGAGTCCGGGGCGTCGAATTGGATACCTGTAGTTGACTGTGGCAGTGGGTATTGGTAGAAATGGTAGTGCTTGCAGTAGTAGAGACTCAATCCACCATCGTTCAGTTCAACTCCAACTTCAACTGTGAAATCATGCAAGTCGATCAAAAGCGCCGGTCTCTACTCTATTGCAGGCCAATGACGATCCTCAGTCACCCCGGTACACACAAAGCGTCCAACTAGGTTGGGATAAACTGCAGGGCACAAATCAGAGGCTGTTATGCGCGCCAACTACGAGTACGAAGATGCGCCGGCGTCAACACCCTAGCATCACCCTTAGCATGAGACAGCCTTGCTCTGGAAGCTCTGAAAGACATGGCCAAAGTCTTTTCGCCACCAACCTTCCTCTGTACAGGGTTCTGAGCCTCCTCAGTGAAAATGAGGCACGGCTCGTCCCAACTCTATGTATATAAAACACGTCCGTCCTTCATCCAAGATGGCAAAAGATCAACTGGTCGTGCCCACTTGTTGTCTCTTCCAGAAATGATGTGACACGAGAAGGTGCTGAGGCCGCCGTGTTACAAGGGAGCGGGACCCTTGTCTTACCTTGTACCAAAGCAGCATCCTCGACGAGCGCGCATCCGTATGTTGCTTCCGCCCAGGTGTACTCGGAGTAGGGGACATGACCAGCGGAGTACATGTTACTAATTCGATTGGGCAAAGGGAAAATATGCAGGCTTCACAAGCACATCGTGGACAGCATCAACGTCCCGAAAGCGGTCACCGTAACGCTGTGGTCGCCGAGCGAAGGCCATGACCGCATATGCGCGTGCCTTATGAAAAAGACCCAAAGCCGCTCTCGACCGGCTTGGCTGCTTTGCCGTTGCACCAGGCTCGTTGTTGCCGATGCAAAAAGAAAGCAGCAATACCGTGGGGTTCGCCAATGACCAAGGCCAACGCAGCGCCGTGTCGCATGCGAGATCCACGAGGTACGGGAGATATGGCATTCCCTGAGGGACAATTGCAAATTCTGGTGACTACAACTTTGGGCTTCGGTTGTCTGGGGCCTTTCAGTACTCGTTACCATGATGGAAGCGCTTCGACTGGAGACCAACAGAAGTACTAGACACGGGCCTCGAACATCTACGTGTCTGGTTTCCACAATTTGTTAGCTACTGAGCCTACCAACTCTGCCGCATCCTGAGAAAGCGTGTCTCTGCACGAATCTCTTTTCAAGTATAGTGTCGACACTAAACGCCTCACTTCTACAACGCCACCGAATGGCGGTGAGAGCTTCAAAGTAATTTGGGCCTGCAATGAGGACATCTGTCTCCAGCAAGCCAGACCGGAGAAAGTCCAGAACCCAAGATAATACATTCTGTGTCTTGTTGTATCAAGAAAAGCCAGCTCATGCTTGTCTGCGTGAGATCGGATCCCCATCTAGGGTCTTCGTCTCGACTATGCATCACTCCACAAGCCAACACCATCCTCTCAACTTCCGCGTCTGGTTATCGGCTGATCTCTGTCTGATTCACATGATGAAGTAATTATCCAGGAAGCTCTCTTATTGAGGACATGCCAAATACATGCTGGCGCTGTGTGACGGCGTTGGCAGTGTGCATGAAGGCCAACCGACCAGCCCCGACTGGGATGTTCTGGGACTTTGGCATCTACAATCCAAGGTACTTGGAGCACCACCGTATAACCAGGAATTCAGCATAATGGTATACGATGAGCTAGTTATGGATCCTGGACCTTGACCACCACTTTTCGTGACCCAGCTGCACCGGACTTCTGGTGCTTGTAAGCATTCACAGCGTCCTCGAACCCGCCTTCTCCCACCAATACATGTTCCAGAGGATGTAATTTGCCAGCTTCGACCAGGCCTACAATCACTGGTTTATACTGTTCAATCATTGCATTCAAGCCTTCCGCTTCAGGGCGTCCAATCCCCCCGAGTTTCAGCAAGTGTGTCTTGCCACCTTCAAAATCACCGATACCTGTCCAATCGTTCGTCGTCGAAAAATATTTCTCGGCCTTATTCGTTGCTTTGAACAGTTCCTTGGCTAACAACGGGTCATCTGCCGCAGCTGCGTCGAAGATTCTTGACACTTTGCCCGAGGTGATGTCCAAGGCCGCCTTGACTTGTTCCTCCAGGGGGACCTTGTAGTCGAACGGGATTGCACCAAGTTCCTTGACTCCGGCAGCAGACTTGGTTGAACATGATGCCGCGACCTTGTAGCCACACACCTTGGCTAACTGAATTGCGCATTTTCCAACACTGCTCGCACCACCAAGTACGATGACCCATTCGTCATGAATGGAAGGGAGGTTCTGCGGATCCGGCAGCGGGATTTTGAGACCATCAATCAGACCCAGGAACGCTGTTTCGACAGCTACTCCCAGCGTAGCAGCCTGCACTAGCGAGATGTTCTTCGGTTTGGGCATAGTGACTCGAGCGTCCATGAGAAAATACTCCTGACCAGCAGCATAGTTCGTCGACCCGAGCCGAGTGCAACCAAAGATCTCATCACCAGCCTTGAAGCCATACTTGGTTTGAGCTTCCTCCCCAGCCTCGATGACAATTCCACCCGTGTCGACGCCCAGTACCAGTGGCCAGTTGACAACGAGGAGTCCATAGTCGCTCATGAAAGAGTCGCTGCGTCTAGGTCAGAGGTCGCCAGAAGAGAAACACCAGTGAACTGTTAAGGCAGGCGCATAAAACATCATTGGACTCTTTGGAAGAAGCACAGCTGCGACGACTCACACTGGATTAATGGCCACATAAATTGACTTCACAAGGAGTTGGTCCGGTCCTGGTGTCGGTCTTTCAAGGGTCTCAACCACTTTGGGTTCAGCACCCTGGTCAGCAAAGGTAACTCCTTTCATGGTTCTGGCGTGGCAAGATCAGGTCGATATCAACACAAGCAGACGTAGGCACACATCAGAAGGTCAGTATCGAGGACAGTCAACGAGCGGGACAATAGCCTTGATATACTGCCGCATTTGCCTCTCTGCGGCATCAGGCATCAAACCCGCAAACGTGGCCCCTCATCGTATTCCATACAAGGGCTATACCGACTTGAGAAAATGGGACTTTCGTCGTTGCAGGCATTGAAAGTGTGGACTCCGGATCTCAAGCCAATAATTAACCCATGCCCAGAACTATATCAATGTATCCTGCTGTGCTATAGGTCAACCACGTGAAGAAGGAAGATAGCCTGGGAACCAGCAAAGACTATAGAAGAGTTTCTTGAGGGTCCAGAGCCGGTCGCCCTCAATAACTTGCAGACATAGGTCAGCATGGGAAGGTTTCGACATGGATGTTGGGCCTGGAATACGTCGAATACGAGGAGGGGTTGCCGTGATAAATGTTTTGGTACACCTATCAACTAGAATGAGTACATATACACCATAAGATGCTCCGACTGGGGCTGATTCTGATTCAGTGAAGCAAGTTGCTCTCCTCCTGCGGCATTCACAAACCATGGCATAGGAGATTGCGAAGAGGGATGGCAATAATAGCTGTACACATCGCCGGCCTTGGATTCAACGCTTGCCAGAAGTATATCTTGTCTGACAACACGATTCACGTCTTTGAAGTGCAGTAGTTCCGCCTGATAGATCAAACAACCGCCATGTCAGTCAAGAGATTTAATTTGTTGGAGCTTCGGAGTTCAAAGGCACATGAATTATTAGCTCCATGTCTCTCAACTTTCTCAACAAGACCTTTTGGATGCTCCCCCCAAACAATTGCCCGGCCCTCTGCCTCCCTCCCACCCTCGTCATTGCTCAGAGACGGTTTTCGCTTTCTCCTCTGTGTCTGTCGAGCAACACTTGACTTGCTCTAGTCGATTGCTGTACATCTACACAATCTCTCTACCGCCGCCATGGCGGGCAGACAGTCTGTAAGGCTGCTCGCACGGCAGCTTGCGACACAGCAGCGCTCACACGCCGCCCAACAACCTCAAATCCGCCGACGACCTTTCTCTAATACCTCTCGCTACCTTGAAGCGCACAATTTCACGATGCCGGCCATGTCCCCTACCATGACAGAGGGCAATATCTCTAGCTGGAAGGTCAAGGAAGGAGACTCCTTTTCCGCGGGTGACATTCTGCTGGAGATCGAGACGGACAAGGCCACCATGGACGTCGAGGCGCAGGAGGACGGAGTGATGGCCAAGATCTTCGCCGATGAAGGCGCGAAAGCAGTCAAGGTCGGCACGAGGATAGCGGTCTTGGGTGACGCCGGCGACGACGTCTCGAGCCTCGAAATCCCCGCCGACGACTCCAAAACGGTCGAGTCACCGGCGGACAATGTCCAGGGCAGCAACAAGGACAACGGCGGGAACAAGTACGAGTCTTCTGGCGTCGAGAAGGAAATCCCAGGCACACCCGAGAATAAGAGACCGGCAAAGGACAAGCCCAAGACGAGTCCGACAGGGTCCGGCCAGAACCCCAAATACCCTCTCTACCCGTCCGTCATTGCTCTCATTCACGAGAAGCACATCCCAGACGAGGACGTCACCAAGATCACGGCCACCGGCCCGAACGGTCGTCTTCTCAAAGGCGACGTCCTGGCCTACCTGGGCACGATCGACTCCGATTACCCCTCGACACAATCCAAGCGCATCGAACATCTCGAGCATCTTGACCTGAGCAACATCAAACTCCTCCCTACTACACAAGCGAAACCCGCAGGCACAACAGCTGCCGCACCCGCACCAGAGGCAGTCGCGGCGCCCAAGGTGACCAGCATCGCCATCACCATCTCCCTGGCCGAAGTGCTCAAGGTACAAAAGCGGATCAAAGACACCCTCGGTGCGACCGTGCCTCTGTCGACGTTCCTCGCAAGAGCCGTCGACTTGGCCAACGACGACCTGCCCCAACCCAAGGGCACAAAACCCTCTGCGGACGACCTGTTCAACGCGGTGTTGGGACTGGACACCATCCCAACGACGTCGCGTGGCATGTACCTCCCCCAGATCGACGCCTTTTCTCTTTCGTCGTCGTCGTCGTCGTCCTCTGCGTCTCTACTGGGACGCCACCAAGCCCGACCCAGCAAACAACCTGACATCATCGACATCCTCTCGGGCAAGGCCATTCCGAAACGCGCAGCACCGCGGTCCTCAATCTCAACGGCAGCGTCGGCAGCAGGAAGAAGTCTCTCCACGGCCGACGGAGCCCTCAACACTTTCAGCCTCACCGTACCCGCGGGCGAGGAAAAGAGAGCAAAGACATTCCTGGAGCGAGTCAAGACCGTTTTGCAAGTCGAGCCTGGGAAGCTGATTCTCTAGGGTTTCATGGCGGTGGTGGTACTGGCGCGATGGGCGAGGAGAAAAATGGTACCATCGTACGGAGCATGGATTTCGCAAAGCGGTACTTACCCAGGTGTATAATGTGCGCGTTACTCGGACTCGGGCTCGTACGAGTACAGGCCGATCCATCTCTCAGCCTGACCTCGTTTTTTTTGTTGTAGAATAAGGAACAAAATTCGATTCAAGCGAACCAACACAAGCTAAAGGATTCTACTCGCTACTCGCTACGGAGTACTCATTCGACTTCGGACTTCAATCTTCGATCTCGTTCCTTCTTTCATGTTTTCCGTTTTCATTCATTGCGAGCGCTAATACTCTGGGGTCTGTCTGTATGGGAAACTCTGAAGGTACAGGGTACCAGTAATTGATACCTCTCCGTGACACGAGGACTCGGCACCCCTGACTAGGAACCGAGCAACTCATACTCCGTCTACGCCAACGCTTTTCGACGGCACCCACCAAGCTGTGCACCCCCCATCATGCAAATCGCATCTTGCTCAACCCCCAACTGTACGAGTAACCATGTGAATATACACGTAGGGATAAGGAGGACGAATGAACAATATCAAGATAACCACAGAGTCCCCGACGGCTTCGCCAAGCCCCTGAATGAAATGCAATCCATAGTATGCTAGGTATCCATACTCCCCTCCCAATAAAAAGTTCGCTTCATCTTCCCCATTCCGTCATAAAAAATCAATCGTTATCGCTGGTGAGTTCTGGTCATGAGGGTATGTTGAGGTATTGTCCCCCCTTAATTCCGGATTCGCAAGATCGTGCATTCATCTCAGGCAAAAAGGTAACATCATCATCATCTAGCATTCAACGCTCTTTTGTGAGATGTGTATAAAGATGACTGGTTTCTTGTTTGTTGCTGTATTTTTTTCATGGTGGCAATATCGTCCGAAGGTCGAGTGATATGGTGTCAAAAGTGGTGAGTATGGGCTTTTGTCGTTGCTTTCATCTTGAAAGGCAAAAACCACAAAAAATGTCGTCAACGGATCGCGCCCCAGTCACCAAGTTTACCGGAGATCCCATCACTATTGCGACCCTCGTTGCCTTTCTTGCCAAATACCCGCCAGAACCGTAATGTTTCGTCTCCGGCACCTGTTACCACGGTCGTACCATCGGGACTTGTGCTGAGATAAAGGACACGGAATGTATGTCCAGTCAGACTGACCACCTGCTCCATTTTCGGGTATTTCCAGACCACAATTTGGTTTTGGCTGTATCCATGCGTGCTCACAATCTCGTCGCTATTTTTGCTCCAGGCCAAATTGCAGACCTGACTTCCAGTGTCCACCTCCTTGATAAGAGACCCATTGGAGGTGTTCCAAAACTTGATCGATCGATCCGCTGTTCCACCACCTGATGCCAAAAGGTGATGTTGATGAGGGCTCCAAGCGATGGCCTTGACAGCCGCGACGTGGTTCGAAAATCTGTACAGTGGAGTTTCGGAGAGCTTGTCCCAGACACACAATTTGTTGTCATTTCCTCCTGAAGCGAGTTGGCCATCTTCTGTGTTCCAACGCAGACCGCACACTTCTTGCTTGTGACCAGCCAAACGTCTCAAATACTGATCCGGGCTTCTCACGTCGCGGTGGTATATCAGCCGATCTCTCGAACCAGATGTCAAAATGTGATCGTTCCAAGCTAAAGCTCCTACTCGAGCCGAGTGGCCCGTCATCGTCCGTAGTCTTCGAGATTTTTCAGCATCATAGATCTGAACGAATCCTTTGTGAGTTCCAATAGCAAGATGCGACCCTCGTTGTATCCATGCCACAGATGTCACCACATCATTGTCTGGCAGCTTGCATAGTTGTGTGACTTTGCCTGTCGTGCTGTTCCACATGTAGACACATGATCCCAACCCTACTCCGAGAATATTTGCAGAACCCCAATCGACCAGATTGAGATAGAAGTCATCTGCCAGCTCTGGAGCGTCCAACACTTTATAAGGTACTTTCGCAATGGGTCGGGGTTGTTTTCGGGGAGTTTGAAGAATGGATTGTGAGGAGTAGTTGATGGGCGATATGGAATAGAGATCTGATCTTGCGTTGAGGTTTATCAGTCCCGGGTGTTTCCCTGTTCTTGATGAAGGTGTCGGATGACCGGATCCTATCACTTTCTGAGGAGATTTGTACGAGAACATATTCTTATGAGGAGTTGTGGGGGTAATGGAGGCAGGAGGCATGGCGGACATCGAGGGCTGACCGGGAGGAGTTTGTCTTCGTCCGAAGAGGTCATCTGGAGATATTGATCTGAAGTCTTGAGGTACTGAATCGCCCATCAGTTCGTTTCGGAGGACCGTTGAATATGTTCTGTTTGCTTCTTCTGTCCGCTGGAAATGAAGTTCGCCGTGAGGGGTCTTCTTTTTTGATCGGGAGGGTGTAGCAGGAGAACCTTCGTCGTGGAGGAGACTATAGCTGGCCTGTAGGTCTTGTCCGTCTCTATTTGGTATGAACCTGGCAGTCCGTGTCAATGAACGATTCCCTCGCAATGCGGCATTTCCTAACTTACCGATCACCATACACTCGCTGTCTCTTGCGGCTAGGGCTTCTCCCAGGCGTTCTGTCTCTTGGTCTTCCTGAACTCTCCACGTCCTTTAGTCTCCGGTTCAACGCATCTGCTTCCATCGCCTCAGTTGCTCGTCGGACTGCAGACATATTGCTGTCTTGTAATGAGAAACGTTTGCTGGCAATCGTTGGAGGTGTTTTTGAGCCAACTGGAGTTGGAAGAGACGGTGTATGAGGACGATCAACGGGTGCAAGTGTTGCAGGTGTCACGGTGTCGTCGGCCATGATGTTTGTGTATTGGTAGTGTTGTGTTGTGTAGTGGCGGAGAATGCGTGGTCGACGAGGGCAACGTCAAAGTGCAGCGAAGTGAAGTTCAGATGAGCGTCAAGTGAGAGAACTGAGTCTGGCGTTGCTTGTCACAACTGCGTGCATGAAAGATCCGATCGAGGTTTGTTGCTGGCCTCCGCAGCCGCGACCGTTCGAACGAGGGTGAGTGGGTGGATTGATATAAAGAAGGACTATGCGCGCTGAAAGAGAAAAGACATGATGCAGAAATATTGACAGGCAGCAAAGAGCGAAATGATGTGGCTCAAAAATGGCGATTGATAAAGCTTCAGGATAGTGAAGATGAGGGTGATGTTGATGAATGTCTGTCTCTTCGGATTTGAGAGTGTGTTTGCCGCACGGAGTTGAATTGTATGGGGGAGATTCACACCAAGTTCACTGGGCCCAAGCGCATCTAAGCCTATTGTCTCGGTACCAGCCTAATCGTCCACCATTGACCCGCTAACCACAGTGAGAGCTTTAGGTGCATTATTAGGTACCTCAGTTAACACGTCTAGTTACAGAAGGCCTACAGTCTGTCCCTGCACCACCAGCGTCAACCACCTGAACCTTTCATCTACAGTCATGTTCATTCACTGCTAGGTTCCTTCGACAGTGTTTGCTCTTCAAGGTGATGCACAAAAGGATTCGAAAAAGACAGGTCGCTACCCATGAACAGTGAAGCTTAGCTCCTTCGCGCACCTAGAAGAGCTCACTGCCTACCTAGGTACAGAACGTAGCATCACAACAAAGCACTTTACGCGGCCGGGAAAGTGACCATGTAAGCTTCAAAACATCGCGTCTCTTTGTTTTGGGCGGCAAAGGGAAGCTTCAATGATGTTAAGTCGCTTGTTTCAGCATCTTTCTCGGATAGTCCCTATGCTGGACTTGAGGGTGCTGTTTGAGAGATGCTTGCGGGGAGGAGAATGATTCGATGAGAGGCGCGGTTCGGATCTTCAAGCCCTGGCAAGCTCCCCTGGTATCACTTAAAGCCTGACGAGGACTCCGTAATGCCCTGGCGTCCGATCCTCCGAGGTGATAAGCGGCTGCAAGGCTGAGTGAGGGTCATTCTACCAGTGACCAGTGGCATCACGAGTGCATCTCTACATTTATTGCAACCGAGTCCAAGTCCTCCTACCTTTCTTTTCCGACCCTACCTACCATAGTGCATGAGATAGTGTATCTATTGATTGTCTATCTAGTTCCAGAGTCTACCTGGGACTTTGTGCAATTTACCTTACACCATTACATGTTCTTGCGCCTATTCCTCAGAGGCCCTTCCACCATCAAATCCTACTCAACCATGACTCGCGCTCATATCAAAGTCGCTGCCAACGACTTTCTCGACTTCGTCAATGCATCTCCGACACCTTTCCATGCAGTCAAATCTGTCAAAGAACGGTTAAGCAAGGTCGGGTTCAAGGAAATCAAGGTATGACCACTGTCGCAACAGCATGTTCATTTCGTTACTGACTGGCCTTGCACAGGAAAAGGAGTCCTGGTCGTCAACATGCCAGCCCGGCGGTAAATACTTCCTCACTCGAAACGGTTCTACGGTCGTTGCATTTGCGATTGGCAAGAAATGGAAACCGGGCAACCCGATCTCGATGATTGGAGCACACACCGACTCTCCCTGCCTGCGGATCAAGCCTGTCAGTAAGAAACAAGGGGACGGCTTCATCCAGGTCGGCGTGGAGACATACGGAGGTGGGCTCTGGCACACTTGGTTCGATCGTGACCTGGGCATCGCTGGTCGCGCCATGGTACGGGGCCGAGATGGGAATGTAGTTCAAAAGCTGGTCCGCGTAGACAGGCCGATTCTACGTGTCCCTACCCTCGCTGTACATTTGGATCGACAAGAAACCTTCAATTTCAACAAAGAAACCCAGCTATTCCCTATCGCTGGTCTCGTTGCTGCCGAACTCAAACGGCAGGATGACAAGAAGGGTCAGGGTAAAGTCGAGAATAATGATCAGGAGGAATACGGGCAGAGCAAGCCCTTTACGCCACTGAAAGCCATCACGACCAGACACCATTCCCACATTGTCGAGCTGATTGCCGCGGACGCTGGAGTGTCACCTGAAGATGTGGTCGATTTCGAGGTCGTGCTCTACGATACGCAAAAGGCGTGCTTGGGTGGACTCAGCGAGGAATTCATCTTTTCAGCCAGACTGGATAATCTGAACCAGACGTACTGTGCGACCATGGGCCTGATCAACTCCGTAGAGTCGGCATCCGCGCTGGACGACGAGTCGTCGATCCGTCTCATCGCCTGTTTTGACCACGAGGAGATTGGTAGTATGACGGCTCAAGGGGCATTCTCGACCATGCTCCCTGCCATCATCCGCCGGATTTCAGTCCTACCGTCTTCGTCGTTCGTCGACGGCTCCGAACAATCATACGACCACGCCGTCGATCCGGACGTCTCCACGGCGTACGAACAGACTCTGTCGAGCTCGTTCCTGCTGTCGGCCGACATGGCCCATTCGGTCAACCCCAACTACGGGGCCAAGTATGAACCGGACCACAAGCCAGAGATGAACCAGGGTCCCGTGATCAAGATCAACGCGAACGCGAGATACGCCACAAACTCGCCAGGCATCGTCCTGCTGCAAGAAGTGGCACGAAAGGCGCCCAAGATCATCGACTCGGACGCCGAAGGTGTGCCTTTGCAACTCTTCGTGGTGCGAAACGATTCGAGCTGCGGAAGTACCATTGGTCCCATGTTGTCTGCCCACCTGGGTACCCGAACCCTTGACCTTGGAAACCCTCAACTCTCGATGCACAGTTGTCGTGAAACGGGCGGTGCGGACGATGTCCATCATGCCATCAGACTGTTTAGCAGTTTCTTCCAGCACTACTCATCTCTGGAAAAGTCCATTCTGGTAGACTAGAGCATGTCCATACGTGAGCTTGGAGCCTGAGATTTCGAATTTGGTTGTGATGGACTTTGTATACCGAAGCTGATGCCATACACAACGCAATGCCACAGAGAGAAAACCAAGTCTTTTGTGTCTATACATGTATGCCTGTGTCTATCCATCCTCTCCCTTTTGTATAAGGATATCTATCGTCGCAAACAAGGACACCAAAAAAGCACCCGAACCCGACTCTAGCCCGCGACGCCGTCGCTTAACGATTTCTCCCACCTTTTATTTTATTGTTCTTGTATGCCCTCGAGTAGATCTGACAGCTTGTCGACGTAAAAGTGTGGACGGGTGTCTCCCTCCAGAAACTCCTCCTTGGTTGCGACGCCGGTGAGCACCCCCAAGGTGCCCCCGAGGTTCCCCTCGAGGCCGAACCGGATGTCCGTGTTGGCCCGGTCGCCCACCATGCAAGCCCTGGACCTGTCGAACCTGAACTTGCCCTCTATGGCGTCCATCATGGCCTGGCTCGGTTTCCCAAAGGCCACCGGTTCCTGATCACCCAACATCTTGACCAGGGGGGCCGATATGGACCCGGCTCCCGGGAAAAGGGCGCCCGCCGAGGGAAGGGTCGAGTCGGTGTTCGTGGCGAGGAACAGAGCCCCCCGTCTGATGTAATGGTAGGCATAACACATCTTGAGGTAGTTGAAGTGGAAATCCAGGCCCATGAGCACGACCCCGACGTCAGGGTCCAACACCGAAGGGTCGCCCGCGGCGAGTAGCTTGTAATCCTCCGGGGTGACTTCCCGCCTGTATTTCGGGTCGGTGCCTCCTATGTGAGGTACCCCCTCTGCGTCCAATTCCGTCTCGATCCCGGCCTCACCCACCACGAACACCTTTTTCTTTTGCTGGAGATCCGGGTGCTGCTTTGGGAGGATCCTCGAAATGTAAACGGCCGCCGAGTAAGAAGAGCCAAAGACTTCCTCCGCCGTCGCCGGGATACCCATCCCTTCCAATTTCTTTTTGTAGTCTTGTCTCGACTTTGTGGAATTGTTGGTCACAAACACAACTTGTTTGTCATGCTTGCGCAAGAGGTCGAGCGTGGAAGGTACCCCGGGGAAGAGGTGGTCACCGGACCATAAAACTCCGTCGCAGTCGAATAGAAAGACCTATTGCAACACGAAAAAGAAAAGAATCAGTACGAGGACGGGCCAGAAGTATGAACGGTCGCTATTGCATCAGTTGAACTTGGTCTTAGGAGGTGAAGACCAACCCCGCCCCCCGGAAAAGAAGAATCCTCGACAATAATACAACAGTGGGAAGCGCGAACGCGGGGGGGGGAGGATGTGTGTGTTTGGAGGGGGGAAGACAAACATCAAATTTGTCCAGGAAATTCCTTATGGCCTCCTTGTTGCCTGTGAGGTATTCAGGCGTTGACATGGTTCTAAGTAGAGGAGTCTTCAATCACAGGGAGAGCGAGAAAAAAGAATGGATTCGATTGAAAGAAAGAAAAAAATTAATTTGGTTCTTGGAGAGAATCGGTTCTCTTGTTCAATAACGCTTCAGATCTTTGTACCGTACCTCGGAGTAGCGCCGAAGGTATAATCGCAAACTCATCGCCGGATCTCTCGGGGGAAGGACGAAGCAACGATGCCCACGAATACTTGTCCTCTTATATCATCAATGGTGAACACTCTGTATGACGCACATGTCCCAAGGTGTCTTACAGTACAGGAGTACAGAGTATGAGTGCCGGATGAACAAACAACCAGGAAACGAGAAGATGAATTGCATGCCCCCGGGTAAACGGTAAACTCGCCGGTCTTCCCAGAGTTCAATACGGAGGACTCGGTACGCGAATGCAATTCTTCACCCGACCAAAAGGTGGAGGGGGGGTTATCAACACAGACGACACACCCAGAGATCCACCTTGCAGTACTGACAGATCCCTTGGTAATCTCCCCGGACGCCCTTATGGAGGATGAAGGGTCATTTGAGGCGCACATGGTCTGGGCGTACTATCCCTTTGAATTGAGATGAGGGTCCAGGCTTCGTTATATCTCTTCGGCGAAATCTCGAAGTAATAATGCCACGAATGATAGACTGGCACTGATGAGGATACAGAGTTTGGCCCCCCTCCACCACCAAGATAGGCGGACTCCCCTTCGACTGTTCATCCATCACCGGGGGGGGACCACAGTGGCATGATGATTTTCGATGCCCGTACGGAGTACATACTACAGTATTGTGTGGTAAGTTGAAAGCCCCTGTCTTCTACAGACTACACAAAAGAGGAGGAAGAGGGAAAAAGAAATACAAAATTGTATAGACACTATCTTAAGAAACTGCCTGCCTCGGGTACTCATTCTGTACTCTTGTTCAAAACAATCCCATCCAACGATCGACATTTTTCAATCCTGGTGTTACATGTCGTAAAATCATCACATCGTGTACACATACTCCGGGTCCGTATATAATCTTTGCTTTGTCCTGACCTAGTCCTTTTGTCTTGACTTTTCCTTTTCGGTTCGCATGACCTGGCCTGGCCAGAGAGTGGTAAAAAGTGGAGGAGGAGAGTGGGAAGAGACCATCGCTACTACAGCTCACAGTAATGTCTCCCGACCCTACTCAACCTCCGCGCGCCCGGTGCCGTGTCTTCCTCGTCGACTGCCGCCGCCGCTGTGAAATTACTCCCTCGTCCCACCCAAGACCCGACGTCCTTGTGCTGTCCGTGTCCGAAGTAGGCGTACCTCTCGATCCATTCGCACCGGTCCAACCAAGGCAGGGCCTCGTCCATGAAGGCGACCACCTCGTCCCGGCTCGCCTCGCCGTCACCCATGGTCGAACACGCGAATTCATTCACCCACACCGGCAGGTCGAAGGTGGAATGCATGTGTTCCAGGAACGTCCGGAAATCCTCGAACCGGGGCCCGTACCAGTGCACCACCAGGAAATCGATCCCGTCCTCGCCGCCCAGTCGCGACAAGAACTGCGTGAGCCAGGGGACGCTCCTCGACACGTCGCTGCTCATGCCGGGGCTGCCCAGTCTCAAGCCGAACTTGCTCTTGGCCGCGAGGAGGTGCCGCCACAGGTCCACGGCGGTGTCGACGCCGAGGTTGGCCTGGTCGTGGATCTCGGGTTCGTTGAAGCCGAGGAGCGCTTCCGTCTTGATCCCCCGTCCGAGGATGATGTCGCTGAGGTAGGCGTCGATGTCCTTGACGTTGGCCGCCGTCCGGACACAGGGGATCCATTCGACCTGCAGTGGGATGGATTCCGGCACCCACAGCTCCCAGTTGAACACCCAGCTGACCTTGCCGGTCGAGTAGTATGGCGTGTATAGTTTGAATTGGGAAGCCGGAGAATCCCACGGCCATCCGAGACCTCGTTTACTTCTCGAGGAAGACTGAGGGTTCGTTGGTTGGCCCGTCGTTAGTGACTTTGGTTTAGGCGGCGGCGGCGGTGGCGGTGCTTTGGCCTTGTCGTGTGATGACGACTGAACATCATCATGATCCGACGGCATCGCTGCAATCCCAAAAATGAAGGAAAAAGAGTCGATCGAAGGGTTTTCGTGAGAGAGAGTCGGCCTGCGGATGAGGCTCCAAGAACAGGGAGGGAGAATGGGCGATGATAAAAAAGGCCCAAGTACATTTACAGTTGATCCGTAAATAAGATTCGATTGTTGTATTGTATTTCACTGTAATCCGTACGGAGCATCTGAATGGGAATTTTGATTGTTACCCGGTAGGTATATGATTTGGGCCCTGTCAGAGTTGTTAGATAAAAGTCAAGATGCGTTTCAGGTTTTGGGTCCGTTTAGGCGATTGATCTATAATTATCCAAAGTGTCTCAGCGATCGCCCAGCCACATTTTGGTGCGTGAACGGTCGATTCCCCTTTGGACCCTTTGGTTGCTACAAGGTTACGACTACACAAGGCGACGCAGTATGACGGGATGGTGGTACGGGGCACGAGTAGTGAGTTCGCCTTGCCCGTTGCAGATCGAAAGGGAAAGAAAAGAAAAACAATGGAGTATCAGGGACTTTCTCGTCTCCATAATCTCTGGGTATCTACGGAGTACGATGCTGTCCTCGTAAATAACTGGTCTCGACGGCCCTGTCCCTGGTGGATGTTTTTGATTGATAGGCCCCCTCTCGTTCGTTCTACTCGTCCTTGATCTCGTCAAGCATCTTTCTCTCTCTCTCTCTCTCTCTCCATCGCTACGGAGTACTCGTCCTTCATCCCCCCTTGTAACTCGTACTCCATCACTCCGTCCCATGACTTCATTGTACATCTGGCACGTGGAAACTTCCAACCAGCCGCAAGAATCCCTCGGCCGAAACTACAACACTTCACGCTACACTTGTGATCCACACATCTCTCGCAGCCATAGTCTGTGCGCTCGTAATGCATTATATCTGGGCAAAGGATTGGGTGGTACGAGTAGTAGAAAAGAGGAATTTGGCCGAAAGATCCCCCCCCCGATCTACTGTCACGACCAAGACTGCGCACCTTTCGTAAAAGACATTAGAATCCTCAAGTCTATACCCTCACCTCTCCATCCTCCCCAGGAAGAATCTTCCACAATCTTTCAACTACTGATACCATAATCTCACCCTTCTCCCACATCTCGTCATGTCCACCCGGCACCGATATCTCAGAATACCTCCAGTTACCGTGCGACGTCACAGGGCTCCTCAATTCGAGTCCTTCACCAATCCCTAGCAGAGTCGCTCTCATGGTCATCCGCTGCTCTGGCTCAACAAGTTCATCTCCGTCGGCGACCACGAGAAGAACAGTACAAGGAGAGCTCAGACTGATGTGACTCCCAAAATGGGACGGAGATGCCTCAATGCGCACCTTCTCATCGTCGCCGAAAGCCCCTCTGATGAAAGATTCATACACATCTGCATATGGCCCGGTACTGTGATTCCTCACCAGCGCCTTGATGTCGTAGATACCCGCCAGTCCAATCAGTGCCCTGGGCGCCGGCAGCCCTGCGTCGACATGTCGCTTCACCGCCTGAAAAGCCAGGGTGGCTCCGCATGAGTGACCCATCAAAACATAATTGTCGCTGTTGCTGAGACCATATACCCGACGAAGCACGTCAATGCCCGCACAGACGTCATCGAGGTGGTCCGGGTGTTTGGCATCTCGCGGACTGGCATCCGGATCTTGTGGGCACGAAGGATGCGGTGAAAGTCGGTAAGATAATGAGGCAATCGCGAGGGTTTTGTTTTTGCCTGGGGGTGTCACATCGCGTGTAGGATTCGACAGTAGTTTCGATACCACAGGATCCGCAAAGTTGCAAGCCGTGATCATGGGATCTCTCCACGCTCCTCCATGGATGAAGCTAAAGATAAGATTGTCAGTTGCCTCTTGAAAGTTATCTTCGACTTGTAGAGCCGTCTTGGATTCTATACTGCTCGACAATCCTCTAAAGGTCAAACTTACACGATCCAGAACAAAGATTCAGGTGAACGTTCTGGCGGGACCCAAACCAGGACTTTCTGAAGGTCATTGTCGCCGAACTTGTGAATCGTCGGCTCCATCATTGTGACTCGGATCTTTTCGAGAACAAGTTGAAGGTCGATTCTATTTAGGAAGAAAAAGGAGAGTAAGTGACGACGCCCGGCTTGATTAGGGCGAGGAAATCTTTAGATGACTATGCCGTGCATTAGAGCTTGTCTCTTCAAGACTTGTCAGTAGTTATCATTTTCAAAGGATTCCATAAAATCATCGAATCAGAATATGATCGCAATGACATCTACCAGACGTGCTGCAGAATCTCGTATCTTCGCGGAGTAAAGACGGAATGAACGATCAAGATGACTTCAAGCACTCCGTACTTCGTACGAGTATCGGGGTTGCAAGGCTGAAGTTTACCGTCACGTGTCAGGCTGGGTATGTTCATCACCTCAGCACGAGAGTTTTGTTCAGTCTTCCAATATCAAAGCCATCTAATGTCGATGGGCCTGACTTCGTGTTTTTTACTCGTATTGTCTCTAGAAAGACAACATAACATCAAGTCTAGTAATAACAACATCAGAATGAACGGTACGCTACGATCGAAATGAACCCCCTCAACCTGTCTTGAAGAGTAAGTCCTACGAATGTACGACAAACTCAAGCTCTTTCCCATTGGACACAAATGGCGACAAAGAAATCCCAGGACATTGAAGTGTTGGGCTACACAACCTTAAGACCTGCAAAAAGGAGAAAACTATCACCTCCCTCTGCGCCGTCCGAAGGACGCAAACGCTCCCAAGACAAGAAGCCGAGCAAGACGATCAAACCCGTGAAATCGACATCGAAGAATGATCTCAGCCCACGACCTCCACGCCAAAGACGATCTGTCCTCCAATCCAGATCCAGAACATCGCTTCGTTCCGCCGAAACACCCAACCTGAGCCCTTCACGAACCGCGAGTAAAGCTACGTCGAAATCAAATTCCGGTCTATCGACGCCATCGTCCGACACCAATAACCACAACAAAATCATCTTTACGAAGTCATTACTGGACCAAATCTGGACTCGTAACAAGAACCAACATCGAACCCAACCGTGGTGGAAATGTCTTGGAATGTTGAGGAAGGCCCTCACCAAGTTGGCTCTGTTGGACGACAAGGAAATTCGGTTTCGTCCGACGACGACAAGCGACGGCAAAAATGACAGCACTGCTACTTCTGTCGACGCAAAAGCGGTCCGATTACGATTCGAACAAGAAGCCTTGGTCAAAAAAGAACGAGACGTTTGGGTCGAATGGATCCGCGAAACTCTCTTGCCACGCTCTTACGTCGCCTTCACCTCTTTGGTGTCCGACACACAATTTGCAAACCTAGGAATGGTTTTGGTCGGGGTCCTTGCGGATGTTACGGGAGTGGTTGGTGAGCCTACTAGTACCACCATCCCTACGGCTGTAGTACCCGGCTTTTCAACTCTGGCGACCGAACCCGTGACTTCCCAGTGCCCTCGAAAACCAAACGGTCTGTCGGCCACGAGTTTACGGGTCACCGGATCACGGACGGGCGAACGGGTGGACAGGTATCATGATGGTGATGACATGGGTGAGGTGGTGGAGAGAAAACCAACACTCAGCGGGAACGGAAAGACGAGCCGTTCACAGAAAGAGAAAGATACAGGGTCAGATGCGATCGTCAAGACCCAAGGTGTCCGATCCACAGAGGCAGCACCCCTGGTGCTGCACGACGACGATGAGGAGGAGGACGACGACGACGGCGCGGAAGAAAAATCGTCCGTCGTTCATAACAGACGACAATCTCTACAAAGGCGTGCGACGCAATCATTGGACGACACGTCCCCCTCGATGGGCAATCTACCTAAACCCATATCTCAAACAAAACCTCTTCCTCCTTCTTCGACGACCTCCGAATCCGGTCGACCGGACCTCAACGGCAAGAAAACAACGCCAACGCGCAAAGATGAGAAAAGGAAAAAGAAAAAAACAAAGGGAGGCGCCATTGATGACTTGTTTGCTGGACTGATATGACTCCGTGACCGGCAAGAGAGACAAGACTTGGAAAAGAGAATAGTTTTTGAATTTTCAACTTTTGTATTTTGGCATTCTTAAGAGTACTCGTCAAAAAGTACCACCTATAACATAAAGCATACGCACAAGATGAGCCACCAGTTGTATACCATGTTTTCGTAAAGATTTCAACATGTTTTGCCCTTCTTACTAAGAAAAGATAAAAACGCCACGGCACACCCCCACGATAAGGAAAAGGTATCGTCCGCGCCACCCCCATCGCTATGCATAGAAAGAAGCACATTCAATACAATATAGGGAGCAAAAAGGAAAAAGGCAGTTCGCGGCCGACTCAGGTTGTGCCAGAAGATGAAGGGAATATGACTATCACGCCCACGACCACTTGATGAAGCAAGTCGAAATATTGAGACACATCATCATCGACGATAGGGATCTTGCATACCATACCCTCGGTCGCGATCTCGATCTCGATCTCGATACTCGCGCTCTCTTTCCCACTCTCGGTCTCTATCCCTCCTATCTCGATGTTGATTTGCATGTGGATCTCTGTCCCAATCCCTCATCGGAATTGGACTTCTACTCCGCGGTCTTCGATCTCGGTCTCTGTCGTAAGGTCCACCTTCAGGCGGCATCGGCATGCTATCCATATCTCGTAACCGTCCCCTGTCACGATCCGGGCCTGGCCCACCACCACTATCATCATATCGAAGAGGAGGTTCGCCATAGTCTGGTGGTCCGTGAGGATAGTGATGGCCCTCTCTAAAGGGTGGGCGGTCACCTCTTCTGCGAGATTTCATATGTGGTGGCGGCGGCCGGTGCTGAGAATCTCCACTGGAGTATGGCGGGACATATGTGTCGCGATCGTGAGGGGGGCGTCGATTGTCTACCGGAGGCGCACTGCCTGGAGGTCCTGGTACTCTAGACCGAGGCGGTGGGGGGCCACGACCGTCATCTCGGTAAGGTGGCATATCTGGGTCGGGGTACCGGTAAGGGTCGTTTTCATGAATTGGTTGGCGGGGTGGCATGCCATGCTCCATTGGAGGTCGTCGAGAATATCCCTCGTCGTATGGGAGACGGTGTGGTTGATCATGCGGTGGCATATCTCGAGGAGGTGGCACACGACGGTCGTTACCCCCATAGCCTCCATTCTGTCCAGGCGGTGGAGGTCTACGACCATGCCCTTGTTGCCCGTAGCCGTTAGCATGGGGTCGACCTCCAGGAGCTCGCGAGCCAGGGAACCCTCGACCTTCGTGAGGAGGAAGAGGACGCCCGTTAAGACCCCATTCACCCTGCGAGGCGATACCCACCGATCCACCGGCTGGCGCAGGTGGAGGCTTCTGTTTCTGATCTCGGAACTTCTTACGATCCAATTCATGAGAGTCCTCAAAGGTTGGTAAGTCGCCAGGTCTGGCAGGCAGCGGTTCTGTGTGGAAATAAGGATGTTGTAATGCATCGATTGCATTTATTCGTGTCCGCCAATCAAGCTTCAAGAATTCACCCAACAACGAGAGCGCAAGGGGAGGCAGTTCGCGAAATACCCGGCTGAGCGTAGGCTGTTTGGGTTCGAATTCTTTAATACCATCGCAACCCGGAAGGTCTCGCCAACCTGGCATTGTCTCGTCCGTGGGAGAACCAACGAGGTCGAAGATGATCTGGGCCTGATTGAGATCTGTATTGCCAGTCAAAATAGGCTTCTTCTTGAAGATCTCGCCAAAAACACAACCAACACCCCACAAGTCGATTGCGGTTGTATATTTGCGCAGTTGCAAAAGGAGTTCTGGCGGTCGATACCAACGGGTGACGACCAAGGTGGTGTACTCTCGTGTAGCCTCGCCGCCTCCATGACCAGGCCGCGGTGGGTCGTCATGGTATGGGCGCGCCAGGCCAAAATCGGCAATCTGTAGAATGCCTCTGTTGTTGATAAGGAGATTTGCAGCCTTCATGTCTCGATGTAGAATCTTGTTCTCGTGGAGGTAGGCACAGCCTTCGAGAAGTTGTTTCATGTAACACTTGATCTGTGCCTCTGAAAAATTCACGTCGGGATTCTCGAGCAGACCAGACAAGTCGTGGTCCATGTACGGCATGACCATGAACATGCTCGGTTTCTTGCTTGCATTCTTCGGTCGCTCGACGGCCATCTCCTCCAATTTCAAGATGTTGATGTGATCAAGCTGTTTCAAAAGTTTGATCTCCCGCAAGGCGGTGATGGGAAATCCATCCTTCTCATTGTGCATCAAAATCTTTTTCAGTGCGACCAATTGTCCGGTCTTTTTTGATCTGGCCTTCGATACTTCTCCAAAAGTACCCTCTCCTAGTTTGCCCAGATATTCGTAGTCTTGGATTCTCGAGCAGCCATGAAATCGAGGACTGCCATCGGCAAGCCGCTCAAGTGTTTTGTGCGGGCGATGCAATTCGCTTGACATTGTGTCCTTTAAACCAAGTGTTGTCGGACAACAAGTAGACAGAGTTGAAATTTCAGGTTGCCTCCTCTTGGGTGAGGAAATGCCTCCGGAGAGAGCGCTCCAATGCCTTATTTTAAGACGACGTGGTGATCGATCGCAAGTCGGTTGTTATAAGAGTTGATCTTATTGAAGGGGCCGAGGCCGAATGTGATAGCCTGGACTCGTCATCTAGTCGCCAGAAAGTATCACTGTCTGGCGCAAGAGGGTAGATTCAAAAAGGGTGAACAATAGGCGGACAATAGGGTTGGTATTGTTATTTGCGCCGCAGGTGAACGCGATTCGAAACTGACGTCGTTGTAAGTGAACTGACCATGAGAGTTTCTCGAAGAACGCACACTTAGTTCATCAGTACCGTACCTGAACCCTGAGCAATTTTCAGGGTCAAGGTGGCTGCGCGACCGACATCGTTGATCGAGAAATGCGATAAAAGTGACATGACCAGTGCATGTTGAATTCGATCCCCGTCTGTTGCCCTGCGCTGCCCTGCGCTGCTCATCGGCGCTAGCGGATTAACTGATTTTCCGATGCCACTGAGCCCGTTTCAATCCGCCAATCACATTCTGTTCATCTGAGGATGAACTAAGCACATTTTAAGCCTAGCGCATTTTGGTCCCTCAACTCACAGTCGCAGTTGTCACGAAGCACTCAGCATTCCACAGCTTCACAACCTCCAAACGATCGAACCTGCCAACTTGTAACAGGTATATACCCAAGCTTCTCTTATGTGCGGCCTCGTGAGAGAGTAAAATTGACACTCGGACAGATCAGATTGTCAAGATGGCTGGCCCAACAGGTGGAAGGCCAGTGTGGAAGGGCAATCACCCCGTTGGACAAATCAATGCGCCACGACCTCTGTACAAATTTGCCGCTACTGGACTGGGAGCAGCTATGTGGTTCTTTGTGAGATTTTCTGAACCTCCAGATAAGACCAGTACATGCTGACATGGCCTTAGTTATTCTACAGGATGAAGCAGGACGGTCCTGCGCTGTTGGGATGGGAGCATCCATGGGACCACGGATCCCATTCGCATTCCAAAGAGGGCGACAGCCATTGATCTTGCGGTACTCTCTAAAACGACTGCACATGATTCATTGTACATACATTTGCACAGTCACAAATCGGCGTTTGGATGAAAAGATTTATGTTCTGAAAAAGAGATGGCCTCGAAATTCCAGAGGATTCCCGGCTGAGGAAAGGCGATATCTCGCCTTCTGCGGCATCATGACAACTACCTTCAAGATGGAATACAAAGATCTTTAAAGCCCGTGATGTCAATGCTCCAGATACTCGCCCTGCTTCCCATCACCAATCTTCTCGAACAAGTAATGGCTTACTCCCCAAACGTCACCACCGTCCCACGCGAAAAGCTCTGCGCACGCCATATAGAATATTTGCCAGCGGTAGAACCACATGGCCGCATTTTGTTTGCCATATGTCTCCCTCAGGCCCGGCCAAATATCATTTCTGCTGGCATTCATCTTGCTCAGCCAATCCTCACAAGTCTTTGCATAGTGTTTCCCACTGACCCACCACTGTTTCCTCAGCGTGAGATCGTCCTGAAAGAAATGCAACAGATCGGCCGAAGGCATCGTACCTCCCGTGAAGAAATGGGTACTCATCCAGCCATCCTCGAAATCATACGGCGAGTCCTTGTGACTGAAGATGTGCACGAACAGCTTCCCACCGTGTCTCAGTGCACGCGCGATTTTCTTCATGAGCAAGCTATAGTTCTTCATGTGCTCAAACAGCTCGATCGAGACTACCCTGTCGAAGGAGTCTGGCGCGAACTCGTACGTCACCACGTCGCCCGTGACGACTTTCAGGTTCGTCAAGCCTTTTGTTCTGGCTTGCTCATCGATATACAGCTTTTGCGTGCGTGAGTTTGAAAACGCCGTGATGTTGGCGTTGGGGAACAATTCGGCCAGGTACAGCGAGGTACTACCCCATCCGCAGCCCAGGTCGAGGATGTCCTGGCCGTCTTTGAGGTCCGCCTTTTGGACGTAGGTCTCGAGCATGGCGACCTCGGCTTGGGCCAGGGTCTCGTCGCCGGTCGGATACAGACAGCTCGAGTACTTCATGAGGGGACCGAGACAGGCCTGGAGCACCGACGTGCCGACCTCATAGTGCTGGGTGTTTGCCTTGTCAACCTCAACAGCTATGGGCCGTTGGCGTAAAGTCGCCACGTAAGACATCTTCCGGTCGTACGCCTCGGACATTGATTCCGCCTTGATCATCCTCACGCGCTGCGCCAGCTGTCTCCTGATGCCGATGCGGATCACGGGCAACGGCAGCCAGCCGTTGTCAAGGAGGTACTCTAGAGGGACTGTGTCAGTATCGAGGACTGTATTGCTCCGGATTACACTAGTAGGTAGGGAGGTACGAGAGGCTGAGGTTCACCAACCTGTAGGATCCATATTGTCCGTCACCAGTAGATACAATACGACCCCACCGACCAGCAACGAAGAGTTATAATGTCCCGTTTCTTTCAGGTATCAACAGCCTGGCATGTTCAACAATAGCAACAATCACCATCATAGCATCAAATATTCCTCAAGATGTGGGAAGTTCTGGCCTTTGACTCTTCGTCGTTGCATAAACTCAAAAAACCGTGACCCATAAAAGTGGTGACGTCGATGAAATATAAAAATAAAAGTCATGAGCCACGATTTTTTGGGCCAATATCAACAGCGACGACGAAAACCAAAGGGAAACAGGTAACTTGAATCTGGTGTCTCGTTTTCATCAATAGTAATAACAATAGTCTTAGTTGTATTGTACAGGGTCTATTTACTCTTTTGTATATCCTCATAGATAACCTTGTACTTCTTTCTGATCTTGGGATGCTTGGGTCGGAGCTTCAACTTCAACCGACCAAGGTATTTCGCCATGATCGGGAAAATGTTTCTCTCGGCGAGGTAAGCCAGGGCGAATCCAGCTGCAGCCAACGCCAGCAGAAACAGCTCGTAACCAAGAGACATTTCGGTGAGATCCATGAAATTCGACAGCCATATCGCTGGATCGAGAAGCATGTAGAGGGAAATCAACGAAGCCACCGCAAGGGTAACGCAGAAAGGTACATTCTTCGTCATGGATTGTCGAAAGGGAGGGCCGACACTCAGGACAACGCCTGAGAAGGTATACTGGAAGCACGAAACCAGAAACAGAGCAGTATTCTGAGAATTGTCGACATTGGATTTCTGCTTGTTGAGTCGTGGCGGAATGTACCATGGTTGCTGCTGTACCGTTTCGAATGCAACCAACTGGACAAGTATAGAGAGCACAATCTGTCCAAGAAGGGGGGTCAGTACTTTTCTCGAGACGAGGTTTGCTGTCGGACGCTTCTTGCTCAGGTTAGGATACGCTCCGGTCCAACCCATGAAGATTGCTATCGGCAAGATCAACGCCAAGTCGATGAAGAGGAACTGGAAATCGCCCAGGTTCGACGCCGAAGCATAGAGGAAGCTGACTGAGGTGAACTGAATGGCCGAGTACAAGCTCATGTACTTGAAGCAGCAGAAGCTTGTCACGAGGGCTGCTCGACCCTCCTTTATCAAGGTCGGAACACATGAAATGTCGAAGATATGGCTGGTAAATGGGGCCGCAACAGAAGCCTCGGCCTCAGAGAGCGATACGCCAACGTCCGCGGCCTTTAGTGCACCACAGTCGTTGGCGCCGTCACCACAGAAGCCACAGCAATAGTCAATGCTTTGTAACTTCTCCACCAACTCGTGTTTCTCATCAGGTGACATTCTGGCGAATACGGCACCTTTCACAAGCATCCTTTGCAGAACTTCTGTTGAAGCAAAGTCGACTATCCACCGGAAAGCGTCACCGGTTACGGCCAAAGTATAGTCGCCCATAGCCAAGGCATCGTATGGAGCGCTAGTGTTCTGTTCAGCGGGCAATTCCAATGGGAGGAGCGTATTCTCGTCCAGCTGGTAGATCTGATTATCCACACTTTCCCAAATCAATCGAGCTTTTGGGTCCATTTTGTCGCTGTCGATGAAGTGAGGGACAAAACAATGCTCATCACGGTTGATGAGTCCGCACTCGCGGGCCACACTGATGGCGGTTAAGATGTTGTCACCGGTGCACATGACATTCCGAATACGGGCCTCATTCAGCTCCTCGATGATTTCGGTGGTAATTTCTTTGAGTTTGTTTTCGAACACAATGAAGCCGATCAGCTGGAGTCGCGACTCTGCCTCAGAACGCTCCATAGTCTGTATCTCATCCCAGTTGACTCGGGATATATATTTCGATGCGCAGGCAATGACACGGAAACCCTTGTGAGTGTAATAGCTGAGAAGGTCGTCAAAATCATCAGGTATGCTTGAGGGAGTACAAATATCCTTCATCACCTCCGGAGCACCCTTGACGTAAACGCTTGCCCCAGGGTCGCCAAATTGTCGGACAATGACACTAGCGCGTCGAAGGTGTGAGACAAAGTCGAATGAACGTAGAACTCCTAGTTCAACTCTGACCGGATGGGAGTTGTCTTCTGAGTCTTCAAGATCATACTCGAACCCATGTGGAGGCCGAGCTACACTGGGAGCGGTTTGATGAGTTCCGGGCTCGATGAAGTGGTTTGTAAGACGAGAGCCTTCTTCGAAAGACCAGCCGGTGAATTGAAACATCTTCAAATCGAGCGGGTCTCCAATTAGCTCATCATCTACTAAGCGGAGCGAATGACAGGTGGCCATTGCATAAAGCATGTTTTTGTTGACGCGATAGTCGACAGTAGGATCCCGATCATAGGACGCCGGTGGCAATATCGCATGGGCTTCTTCCAGAATATCGCCGAATCGAATTTCAGGATGCTGCACCAGTCTCACTCCGAGTACGTCGAGCCCATCTTCAGTCAGAGTACCAGTTTTGTCGAAACAGACGACATCCAATTTACCAGCCACGTTCACTCTTTGTGGGCTGATGCAGAATATCTGCTGTTTCCTCAGTCGAGAGAGTGCAAAATTCGTACCAATGGTGAGCGTTGCAGGTAACGCCGGCGGGACCACGATGGTGATGAGGTCCAGCGCTCTCACAACAATGAGATGCCATGCTAAGCCCAGCTTGACGAAATTGATGAATGATGCGACGAAGCCGACTGCAGCGATAAGACCCATGACGGAAATATAGCGGAATGAGTCTCGGTAGAACTTGAATCCAGAGGGTTTTGGGAAGAGCATAGACCGTACCAGAGCCCCTTTTGTAGTGTTGAACCCTGTACGAACCACCATTGCCAACGCCACTGCTTCGTCATCTTCGGTGTCTTGAGGTCGTCTCGCCCGGATGATTTTTGTACCACAAAAGAGGAAAAAGCGAGCTACGCTTGGATGAATGGAAGTCGCACCGAGATCGACATATGGGAGAGCTTCGTCTGTGATAGGGACTTTCGAGACGGGTATTGACTCGCCTAGACAAGTCAGTATCACGGGGGAAACCAGGGGGCCCAGACGTACCTGTGAGCATGCTCTCATTGATGATACAGTCACCAGCCAGGAGCAAGCTGTCGCAAGGGATTTGCGAAAGTGAGGGATCGGAAACTTCGTACACATCCCCGGGCACAAGATCGCCAGATTGAGCCGAACGCCCTAACACTGTCAGCATGAGGTCCAATAGACTGCTAGTCAGACACATACAAAAGCCATTGCGGAGCACACGGACGTCGCACTCGAAACGTGAAATCTCCCTCAGACGTCGCATTGTCTGGTAAAATATAAGCAGCGGACTGATTAAAAGGATTGAGGGGACATACCGAGCGAGTTTCGACGACGGTGCTTGTGATTGAGAACACAGATATCAAGAAAATGGCAGCAGCATAGTAATAGTATTCGTCCATTGACCATAAGAGAAGACTTGCGACTTGAAAGATGTAGAAAGGATGAAAAGCCTATGGCTGTCAGTTGAATCACATACTGGAAGCTGAAATGACTGACCTCGTCGAGAAGCAACTCTGGGATAGTCTTCTCTTGAATTTCAATCATATTCCTGCCGAAGACCTGCTCTCGTGGGTCTCTTTCATCGGTGTCAAGACCCTCTCGGAGCGCTTTGACAGATTCCCATTGGGGATCCCACCAGTCGTTGTTAAGGACAAATTTGTCCTCGAGAGGATGATAAATAAGCCTCATGTATCTATAATCAAGGTATCTTAGGACTGGAAGTTCGTGATCTCCGTCATATCGATAGCCGTTGAGCTTCTCTCTTCCAGACTGGGTGAAGACGCTGGACAGTGGGTAGCCATATTCCTCGGAGGACACATAGTGAACAGTAAACTCGCCCCATTGATTCTGAAAATTCTTAGCCTTTTTTCTGGGACGTCTACGTTCGGGTCCAAAGCTCACCTCAACCACAACCCAAGTACATTTTTTGAGAGGCGTAGGGGAGCCGACCAGGGATATGCGCCATCGTGGAACCCAACGCATAACAAGATAGCCAATGCCAGCAGTCAAGACACAAATCGCAAGATACAATAGCAATCCGAGACTGGAGGTACTGAAACCAGCAATAACCATTGTCAGATCTTCACTCTCAAGGAAAACCTGTTGAGAAAAGGTGCCGCCGTCATCGTGCTCTTGAATGTCGCTTCGTGCAGATGCGTGCCGCCGGAGAAGTGGCTGTTCCGCAGAAGCTCCATATCTACTGGAAGACTTGCGTCGAAGCGAGCTGGTATCCCCAGATTCCAAGTCGCGTTCTTCATCGGGATGGTGTCCCCCCTCGTCATCACTAAGTACCAGGGCCTCCTCATCCTCATCGGAGTAGCGAGGCGACTCGTCGGGCTCTTGGAAGTATGTGAAGGATGCGATTGAGCCAGCTCGTTGTCGAGGTCTTGCATAGGCAAACCCCGTCGCCGAGGAGGGTACAGATTCTGATATTGGACCTGAAAATGGCTACGAAGTGTCAATTCCCACCAATGCTTGCCCACGGAGCTCGAAACACACGAACCTCATCATTGGCCATCTCTACATCGGAGACATAGCTCTGAAAGCTCATATTTGAGCCACGACGCGTCATGCGTTGGACAGAACTGCTCCTCCCGGCGACGCCGCCGCCACCAGGACCTGTTCGATCTGGATCCATGTTGAGAGCAGTCTCTGTTCAGGCCAATACTGGGAACCAATCAGAGTATCATCTTGACACGGAATAATGGCCAGACCCGACTCGTGAGGCCTGGATATGTCGAGTAATTGTGCGACAGCCTAAGAAAACCCTGGAGATCTAGGACCGACATTTGCACCAGAAAATCCACAGCGCAGTCAATGACGTTCGAGGGGCGCATCTGGCGAGCATCAATATGCCAAGGCGCTAGTCTAGTTTCGGTGCTGGCTTCTATCTGCACGTGCGACGAGGAGATAGGAAGTACTTGATGAAGACATTGAAAGGAACGACGTGAGTATAGTAGACACCTATAGGAGTACCCGATTGACTTCTAACGTTGTCGCACCTTGGTCGCCGAAGCCTCGTCAATTAATGTTGACAATCGCTGCATGTTTCCATACGCAGTGCTTCCGGGGAAAAATGCGAGGCCTGCGAGCTTTGGAACAGTGCAGACATCAGAGTGACTTCTCAAGATGATGATTGTCAGTTGTATCGCCAAATATTTGCCAACGCTTGGTTCATCTACAGTTTGGTCCATGAATGCTAGGTATGGATTGCCTGACCATCGCCCAGCCAGAACGATGCGCTTTCCGTCCGGAGTTCCCCGAAGAGCAACAACCCACTGGTATGAGAAGAGGCCATGACTTGGGGACTTCATCCTTGTGGCTCGACATTCCATTACACTGAATATTGCAAACTGCAACGATCGCACATTACTGACGAGAACGCCATTGGTGGAAAGATCTTGATAGTTGCTCAACTTTCCCTTCAGTTTTGAAGGTTGCTGCGGGCTCGCTATATATACCCAATCCACAATAGCATCGATCGCCAGGACGAGCACTGAATGGCGCCTGCTCTTGGTCATTATCAAAGACTGCTGCTATTCAAGTGGCTGGTCTCAGGCAAGACAGTACGCCGATAGGCTGGATGGCTGGCTATGTCCCGGTAATGAGTTTCGCCGTCAATTACAGCCTCCGTAAGATTCGAAGGACAAGGCACCGAGATGAACAGATGTTACTTGATCGGAACCGAGAGGATCTCCATGCATACCCGTACGAGTATATGGGATCCGGAAGATGCTACACATCATCGAATACTCTTTTCGCCTTACGCCAAAGAAGATGGAAAAGCGTCTAGACTTTTCATGTTATGAGTGATCCGTTGCCGGACAAGGCCGGGATGATTCGGAATGTGACAATCTGTCCACGATGCCTCGGCAATGACCAGTCATGATGCCAACTAGAGTAATTCTCCGCAAAACACTAGCCATCCTCCTCTCCGGCCATCTCGACTCCATTTCCTGGCTCCAGGCTCTGTGATTGGATCCATCGCCCCTGGACCTGAGAAGGCCGCCGGTCTTGAGACCGCGGTTGAGGGCGACATGTGCTGCATGTTCTGACGTCTCTTGCCATATTATATCATACCTCCTCTTCTCCGAGCCTCCTCGCTGCTGTTCTACATTTCAGTCCTTTCTCATTTTCTGGATATCCCTCCACGATTCCTGATCTCTAGAAATCTTCATTCCCATCCTATACCCATCAAAAGTCGAAAATATGGCTTCCATCGAAACCATCAACGATGGCGTTGCCATCAACGCACCCATCAAAGACTCCTACCGGAAGATCCTTACCCCCGAAGCAACCGCTTTCCTCGCCCTTCTCCATCGCACATTCAATTCGACGAGAAAAGAGTTGCTCAAGAGAAGAGAGGTCCGTCAGCAGGAACTCGACCGTGGAGTACTGCCAGATTTCCTCCCAGAAACCAAGCATATCAGAGATTCGGACAGCTGGAAGGGAGCACCTCCCGCTCCCGGCTTGGTTGACCGAAGACTCGAAATTACAGTAGGTTGCACCGATATCCCACAGCTGGGTCCTGCCGTGTCTTTCAATCTGCGGAGATGCTAAAGATCTGTAACAGGGCCCAACAGACCGTAAGATGGTTGTCAATGCGCTGAACAGTAACGTTTGGTATGTTTGCGTTCTTTGAATGTTCCGGGATGTCTCTGACCTCCACCAAGGACGTATATGGCCGATTTCGAGGACGCCCAAGCGCCTACCTGGGACAACCAAGTATCCGGTCAAGTGAACCTATACGAGTAAGTCTGAGCGTTGCCCTCCTACTTTAGCATGTACTGACACCATTGCAGCGCCATCCGGAAACAAGTAGATTTCAAGCAAGGAGAAAAGGAGTACAAGCTCCGCACTGACCGAGTACTACCTACCTTGATTGCCCGACCTCGAGGATGGCATCTCGAAGAAAAGCACTTCACCGTCGACGGCGAACCCATGTCTGGGTCTCTCTTCGACTTTGGTCTGTACTTCTTCCACAACGCCTTTGAGCTTGTCAACAGAGGCACTGGTCCTTATTTCTATTTGCCCAAGATGGAGTCGCACCTCGAAGCCAGGCTCTGGAACGATGTCTTCAACCTGTCGCAAGACTATATTGGCATGAGACGAGGCACCATCCGTGGTACCGTCCTCATCGAGACCATTTTGGCCGCATTTGAGATGGATGAAATCATCTATGAGCTCCGTGACCATTCGGCCGGTCTCAACTGTGGCCGTTGGGATTACATCTTTTCCTTCATCAAGAAGTTCCGCCAAAACCCTCAGTTTGTGCTGCCGAACCGAGACGATGTCACCATGACCGTACCCTTCATGGACTCGTACGTTCGACTTCTGATCAAGACCTGCCACCGTCGTGGCGTCCATGCCATGGGTGGCATGGCAGCTCAAATCCCCATCAAGGACAACCCGGAGGCCAACGACAAGGCCATGGATAAGGTCAGACAAGACAAACTCCGCGAGGTCCGCGCTGGCCACGACGGCACCTGGGTGGCACATCCAGCGCTTGCGGCCATCGCCGCTGAAGTCTTCAACAAGCACATGCCAACCCCCAACCAAATGTTCAAACGCCGCGAGGACGTGTACGTCACCAAGAACGATCTGCTCAACACCAACATGCCCGGCTCTGTGACCGAGGACGGCATCCGAAAGAATCTCAACATCGGCTTGGGCTACATGGAAGGCTGGCTCCGTGGCGTCGGCTGTGTGCCCATCAACTACCTCATGGAAGATGCTGCGACTGCCGAAGTGTCGCGATCGCAACTGTGGCAATGGGTCAAGCACGGCGTCAAGACCGCCGATGGCAAGACTGTCGACAAGGCTTATGCGCTCCAATTGCTCAAGGAACAGGCCAACGAGTTGGCATCCAAGGCACCAAAGGGTAACAAGTTCCAACTTGCCGCCCGGTATTTCGAAGGCCAGGTGACTGGTGAGGATTATGCAGATTTCTTGACAAGGTATGCTCCCGTTCCTAGCTTCTCAAGTGTTGTCGCTATTTGCTAACATGTTTTTTTTCAGCCTGCTCTACAATGAGATCACCACCGTGGGCTCATCACAACCCGTTGCGAAGTTGTAAGCCAGTGAGTGTTATGTAGCAAGGGCGAAATCGGAGCGAGTGGGGGGGAATCCAGGCGTGTGCATGAAGTAATGATATCAAAAAAAAAGCTTGGAGACGAATGCCCGTGTATGCTTTTGAGTAGTATGCAAAATGTACTCCGTATTATCTTACAGTAGGTCCAACAAACTATCCCTCAACAATGTGAATAATGCGGTTCAGTTTTTGGCTACCTCGAGTGGGTTGTTGTTGGCGTGGGACTTGGGTCCTTGTCAGAGTGTTTCTCATCTCCCTATGTACTCGTACTCGTACCCCGTTCTATGCCCATTTCCACTAGCCCAGGGTGGCCCTTGGACAAATATCGACTTGTTGAACTGAACCTCCCTAACTACTCCGTACCCAGTTACTGTACTCCCCGTCGGTAAGATACAGTAAAAGTCCCTTGTGCAATTGGGCGGCGCTAGAATTAGTTTGTTGCTTGTTGCATGCGTGGCGCAATCACTCGTGTTTTGCTCGTAACGAGGAGGCTTAAAGCGAGTATCAGGACCCATGCTTCGACATCCCATCCGTTCTCCGTTGCCGAGTACCATTCACACAAAAGTCAACTGCCGTGGGTGTTACGGAGTATGTACTCGGTAGAAAAGATTGCCAATTCCTACGCTGAAAGGGCTTAGAAGCAAGCATCGTCTGTTTCAGAATTGATCCTTCCAAGGAACCAAGCCGGGTGTTGGAGTGAGCAATTAATAAAAGGTGAGAGTTTAGGAGCTCCCCGCCCCCTAGGCGAGTGATCAGCACTTTGGATGAAGAGGTTGATGATCCTTTTATCTTGGGTACTCCGTAACTCGTCAGTTGTGGGTGTCTTCCAACGATCTCTTTCGGGCGCGGAGCTGGGCGTATAATGGGTACTCTATAGGGGGCCCAAGGCTTACTTTCCAGGGTTCATCAGGCTGGCTGACTAGGGCCTCACCCAACAACCAGCCAACCCTGGTACAGTGCGAGCACTTGTTCGTAGTGAACGGTTATATTTTAGCTGCCGTCGTTTCTTCGTGAGGGCCCGTTCCCGCAATGCCCGAATTGCGCCTAGTTTCAACGATCTTTACTGGGGTCATAAGGTGATTAACCCTGGACCAAAAAGTCTTCTAGTCACTGGTGAGGACGATGAACTGAACTGTAAACCCTGTCTGAAGGAGATCCGCAAAGCCGTTATCACACACATCCCACCCCCCTTCACTTTCGATGTCGATGGCTCGATCTCCCCTGTTCGTCGTAGAACAAATGGAGTTGGAAGAAGGGAATGGGAATCTTCTTCCCAACCCTCCCCGGTTTAGCCCAGTGGACGAACACAAGGGTACGACAAGTTACCAGGATCGCCATGCCCACGCAATGCATTGTAGTGTACACCGTTCCGATAACTCGTTCGAGCACGTTTTTTCCGGGACCGTGGGTGGCCAATTCCAACCTCTTACTCGGATTGTACAAAAAAGGTGGGCTACCTGTACAACAAAAATGCCGGAAGGGCCTGGGACATATCCGTACTGTTCGGTGTAGCTGTCTATATGCACCTCAACTACGGAGTACCAACCAGAACAAGGAGAAGGCCACCCTCACAGAAGATGACAGGATTCTTACAGCTTCGCAGGGCCTTTCTCTTATGAAGTTTACGGTGTGACAGGAGGTTGTGGGAGTTCAAGGCATACAGTACGGAGTATTCATACGAGTACCTCCTTAGACACACACGCACGCACGCGACACATAGAGGCCTCTACGATCACTTTCCAACCTCCTCCCTTTCATCAAAGTCGGGACGATCTGTAGATCAGGGCAGAGCTTTACTAGATGAGTTACTGTATAGACACACTAACTACTGTAAAATGTCTCGATGACCAGCTCTCTAGCCCCCCCCCTCTCTCTCTCTCACACACACACACACACACACGTTTCCCCGCGACCCTAGCTTAGCTTCGTCAATTCAACCAGTCATGATTTTGCCGGTGTGTGTCGATGCCCTGCAGGTCCCAGGAACAACAGCGACTTTTACGGAGTACGGAGTAACAAATTTCTGCAATCCATGGAATGGATCCTCTCGTGGCTGCGCGTCTTCTCTCTCCGAGTAGTTAGTGGGAGTCTTTTGCTTATGGTGGACCATGAAGCCCCTGAACCCTCAAAGCCGGGAAAATAGAACCACTCAACATCAACAACACACCAAACCAAAGGCTCCGCTCCCTTCAAGTCACCTCATAGTGTACTTGTCTAACTAGGTAGCAAAAACGGGCGGTCGGCATCATTTTCTCTTCAGAAGGATCGCCTTATTGCAGGAGACAAGGGCAATTCGTGTAGTCCTAGATGGACGGTTCCTGGACATGGTCATCTCTCTCAACCCACCCTTGCCTTTTGCTTTTGCTTGCTTTGAGGCTTCCCATGGTCTGATTTCAAGTCTAGAAAGATATCTTCGAAGCCAGCCCCGTCGTCGTCGTCGTGGCGTTCGCCCCCATTATTCTCCCTCTCTCTGTGACTGGTCTCTTTACTATACCTCTTCTCTCTCTATGTCCGTACTGTACACGAACTTTATCAAAGCTTGTTATACTCCGCGTACACGAACTTGAACTTTGGGGGCTACTACAATACAAGCCTTTTTTTTGGTTGTTTGCTCCACGGCGCGCTCGGCATGCCAGTAGGACTATGAAGCAGTGAACACAGCGCTGTCGGCTCAAGCAACCATACGCGGCGCATGTTTCCTTCGTTCAACTATGCAATTTTGAGAAGTACATGCACATGGTTTTTTTCGAGGGCTGGCACCTCGTCACGAGACACATTTGATCATATCTGCGCGGCCACAACTTATACATATATACACGAACCAAGATGGTCGATACTTTACATCGTGAGTGCCACCTAATCTACGGGGTACACCTGAAATCATTCTTCTTCCTCATCACTGTTCTATATACTGACTGGTCTTTCAGCCCCTCCGTCGGTCATTGCGACATGGCCCAAACCGAACTATGTTGATCCCGCCACCAGGGGGCCTGCTCTGGAATACATATGCATCATATTCTCCGTCATCGGTCTCGTCATTGTCGCGGCACGAGTCTACTCTCGACTCTTCATCACAAAAGCACCGGGCCTGGACGACCTCCTCGTGGTTTTGGCCCTGTGTGTCATCATCACACTGTGCGTCTTGGTCATCGTCAGCAACAAAGTCTACCACACCGGTCGACACGTCTGGGACATCGAGGTCGACACCTTTGTCGGGTCGCGACTCAACATCTGGATCAGCCTGTGGTGCTACATCGTGGCCATCAGCCTGATCAAGGTCAGCGTCCTCTTGTTCTACCGCCGACTCAGCGTCAAGTTCAGCAAGGCCTTCCTGATCGCGACCTGGATCGGCATCGTCTACAACATCCTGTACTTTTTGGCCTTTGGCCTCGCCCTCCTCCTGCTCTGCCACCCTCTCCACGCGTACTGGAAGAGCTTCAACCCCGTGTGGGCCGCGACGCACAAATACCACTGCGTCTCCGAGGGCAGCACGCTGCCGGCATCTTCTGCGTTGAGTGTGCTCGGGGACCTCTACAGCACCTTACTTCCCATGGTGTTGGTGTACAATCTCGACCTTCCTTCGAGACAGAAGATTGCATTGTACGTCTTGTTCGCGTTCGGGTTCATGGCCGTCGCCGCAGGGACCATCCGGACGGTGCTTCTGTACAACCTGCTCAACGTGGACTATGACTTCACGTGGGAGCTGTACGTGACCTGGATCTGGGGTGTGATCGAACTCTACCTGGCCCTTTTCGCGGCGAGTGCCCCCGGCCTCAAGCCCTTTTTCCGCCGGTTCTTCATGGACTCCATCAACAGCATCGCGCGGAACTCTCGTAAACGAATGGATTACTACGGCCGAAGCAACAAGGGAACCTGGGCCTCGGAGACAAAAGGTCAAATCAGCGTGGACGTCGCCGTCGATGTGGAGAGGATCGGTGTTGCCTATGGAGGAGGAGGGGAAGAAGAAGTAGACACTCCCGCGAGAGAAAGAGGGTTCTTGCACGACATTGAACATGAAGACACGAAACATTTTGAGTTGAGAGCCAGCCGTGACGGCAAAAAGATGATCCCCATGCAGGTCTATAAACGCAGCGAAGGAGGAGGAGGAGGGGGAGGCTCAGGGTCCAACACGCCGATGAACCCGTTCGTATCGGACCGTGATCGAAGTCTTTCCTCCAACTCTCCGGGGCCCAATGTGAACTGGCCCATGGAATCATTCGGACGCGGCGAAAACAACTACAACAACAGTCGCACTGCTTTGCCGAACCCTGGAATGTCCAGAACAGCAGAAGGATACCGGTCACCGCCTCCTCATCATGTCGGACTGGTCGTGCATCCTCCGTCGTCAGGCGATGAAGAACAAGACAGAAGGATGGCACGGGGTGGCAGTGTCAAGGCTGCTAGGATGAGGGCTCAGCAACAGGCCGCCGCCGCCGCCTCCGCCAGTATAAGCCCCGTCGGTCGAAAACGGACGTCGATCATCAACCCTCGACAATTTGAAGACGAACATGATGGTCTAGGGACGGGGTCATCGTTGGAATCTCCCGCTGGATCCGACGCCGAGTCGATTTATGGAGAGGAGGAGGAAGAGGGCAGGCGGCCTTGGAATACCATCATGACGAACAGCAGCAGGAGTGTCCACACGGGAGGAGGACACAGCAGTAGTAGTGACGATACGCTACAACTACCCAGGATGGGGGGAAACAGTGCGAGCCGACCTGCCCGTATACCTGGTCAAGGCAGTGGGATCGGGTATGGATCGTGACACGACTCTTGGATGAAGTGGAAGATCGCTTTGGGTACGCAGTTAATGTTGGATGGATGGTATGTATGGTACGTATGTATGCGTATGGGAAGTAAGTGTGGTCACGAGAGACCCTGAAAGGCCCCAAAAAGAAGGAATAAAACTTATACCCCAGCATCGTATTGAGGTTCTAGAACGAGGATATATACCAAGGTGCAGGCGTTCTTTTTGCATATACGGAATGGAAAGAGTTTTGAAATGTTTGTCGCACTGGTGACGGTTTACAAAGTACAGTAATTGCCTCAGGTACAGCACAGCACAGTCATTATACGGAGAAGGATGAGTGAAGATATTCAATGTTTTGCACACTCCACGACGCGACTTGTTCAATGTTCGCCAACCTACTGTACAGTAGTAACCCTCCTTTACCCGAGTTAAGGTGACCTACCTCAGTACTCCATAAAGTAATTCAATAGCCGACGTGCGGAGTAACCACCGATGTCTTCCGATGCCATTTTCAATTCTCCAAGTGGAGGGACGCCAACATCTCGACTGAGGGGAGTTTGTACTTCGTATTTGAACTTTACAAGAACTATGAATTGGTTGAGACGGTAGGAAATCCGGTAGAACTTGGAACGAAGCCTTTAAAATAAAAAAGAAACAACATACTAAACCTCCATTTACTCGACCTGCTCATCACACATTACACACACACACACACACACACACACACACACACACACACATACACATCCCGCAATCACACACCTACATTCCCAAAATGAAGATTCTCATCACCGGCGCCGGAGGGTTTTTGGGACAATTCCTGGCGCGAGAACTTTTGTCCAACCCTGACCACAAGGTCGTCCTGACCGACATCGTCGACGTCCCCGTCCCGAAAGGATCCAAAAACCCTCGAAACGCCACGTGCGTCAAGGCGGACCTGTTGAAGGACCGCGGGGCCAGCGTCATCACCCCCGACCTCGACGCCGTCTACATCTTCCACGGGATCATGTCCTCGGGGAGCGAGGCGAACTACGACCTCGGGATGAATGTCAACCTGGAAAGCACGAGGTTGTTGCTCGAGACGATCCGTCACGTCCGGCCGGGGTTGAGGGTCATCTACGCGTCGAGCCAGGCGGTCTACGGTCGACCTTTGCCGGACGTCATCACCGAGTCGGTCCTGCCGACCCCGGAAGGGTCGTACGGAGCGGCCAAGCTCATGTGCGAGACCTTGATCAACGACATGAACCGCAAGGGGTTCATCGACGCCGTCACGCTGCGATTCCCCACCATCTCGGTGAGGCCGGGGAAACCCGCACCGGCGGCGAGCGCCTTCATCTCGGGCATCATCCGGGAACCCCTGGCCGGGAAGGAATGTGTCGTGCCGGTCGAGGACAGGAACTTCCCCAGCAACGTCTGTTCACCAAACACCCTCATCTCCAACCTGGTCCACGCCTTGACCCTCGACGGCGGCGCGCTCCCCAGACACAAGCGCGTCGTCAACGCGCCGGGCATCTGCGTGACGATCCAACAAATGTTGGACGCCCTGGCCAAGGTCGCCGGCAAGGACAAACTGCGGTACGTCCGTGAAGAACACGACGAGTTTCAGGCTCGAATCCTGTACTCTTGGGCCTACAACTACGACAACACCCTGGCCCTGAGTCTCGGGTTCAGACAACCCACCGGTTTCGAGGATGCGGTCAAGGAGTACATGAATTTCATGGCCGAACAGGAAAAGTGGGAATCAGAATGAAGATGAAGATGAAGATGAAGATGAGAAGAGTGAGAGCCGAAGTTGCCGAGGATGACGGTTGGGTCACTTTGCATATGCATCTTACACAACTAATTAAAAAAAAACAAAGAAAAAGCCAGTTCACCTTGTGCATGACTGGCCAGTCTTACTGTCATCTGTATCCAAGGCAATATTCAGATTCCATTCATCTCTTCTACTGAACCGTCCTCTTGTACTAATACTTGCTAGGTATCTAGTTTCATTTCATGTTCTTTTCTACTACCGTAGAGCCCGGCAAAATGACCGATGTCATTCATTATTTACACAAAAAAAGCCCCCCACGTTTTCGATTTTCCCCCCTCACACGGCGAACAAGCCGATCAAGAAAGTCACTCACAACTGTTTACAGGTATCCATTAAGGACCCCTAACCTTACCTATACTGGTAGATACCTAGGTACGTACGGAGCATGTAACAAGTTAAACAATATTAAATAGCCCCGTCCAAGTCATGCATATCGACATACTCGGTTCACTGGAAAGACGAGGCTTGTAATCCAATGTCAAGCCTTATCTGAGGTGCTCTGCACAAGCTACATTTCGTTGGAATCATTACAACGAGTTGATCCACCGCTATAATCCAGTAGAGAACAATCTTTGCAATCTTTGCATGACTCAATAACTGATCGATTGACCCGATGCCTCCCCTTGGATTTGTATCTCACTTACTTTCACCGCCTATACTCTCCTTCATAGCCTCATCGGTAGCTTTCTTGACTTGCTCATCCTCGCCCTTGGCATCATCCTTGGGGGCTTCATCGTCTTTCAACGTGATTGGTTTCGCATCCTTCTCCTCGTCACTATCCCCCAGACTAAATGGATCATTGTCAGCCACAGGGCTGGGATCTATACTAGTCAAAGGTTGCCATTTGCTACTCTTGCCTCCTGATCCTGGAGCGGTAGTTGTGCTGGTCGTGTTGCCTGGTTTGGGAGAAGCAGAGTACATGTCTCTAATCTCCTCAGGTGGCCCATCTTGAAATGATACCTTGCGCGTCGATCCTGGCGATGGACGTCTTTCGCTGGATTTAAATAGGTTCGGGTTGGCTAACGGTCGGCTTGACGTGCGAGGTGGTGCTTCACCATCTCGAAGCTCCAATTTTGAAAAATCGTCGCCAATGGGCTGCATGTCTGCATCATACCGCTGCAAGTCGGCACTTCGACGCATATCTCCACTGCGCCGTGGGGGCATTGGCGGAGGTTGTTCTGATTGTCCAGCAAATGTGGCATCGTCATCTTCTCCATCCAATTTCTTCTTGAACGCCGTCAACCATTTGTTGACCGTGGTCTGAGTCTCAATAAATCCTTTTTTGATATTGTCGCGGATTTCAGGTAGGTCATCTGATCGAGATATGCGTCAGCTTTTGGAAACATGATAAGTCACCGGCAGCGACAGCTTACCATCAATAAAACTCCGCCATGGAACATCATCCGAGTTCGGACTTGCACCTGGACGTCCAACCCGTGAGCCTTGCAGGTGCTCATTGTATCGTCCTCCAGATTCACGACGTCCTCTCTGCTGTCTATCTGCACCTTCATAATGCTCTGCTAATTGTCGTGCATAAAGTTCATCTGCCTCCATTTGAGTCATCTGCGTGGAAGAAAGTGGCTGGACAGTGGGTCGAGGAGGTCGGGCAGGTGGTTCAGGTTCTCGTTGTGATTCTGGGTCTGACATGCCCAGGAGGGCATTGAAAGCGGGCTCTATGTTTCCTCCGCTTGCCGAAAGAACGGCACGCACCACATTGGCATCAATGGATGGAAAGGCTTCTTTCAAGGTGGTTTCCGCTTGTTCTCTGGGACTCACTGGTCGGGGAGGCTTCGCGGGTGGTGCTGGGTCATCTTTGGGAGGTAGAGTAGGGAGAGTTTCTGGCTTGGACGTCTTCGTGGGAGTTGATATGGTGCCTGTCTCTTGATCGCTGTCAAAGTCCAGGGGACGGGCTGTTGTAGGAGACTCAGGAGGTCCATCATTAGCTTTCAATGGAGATACTGGCGAACCCTGAGGATAACCTTAGCGTTGAGCGTGCCCTGGGGGAGCTCAAGAACTTACAGTTTCGTTGTTGGCCATTATGGCTAGGGAGCTAGTATATCCAATCAGTTGAATTTGACTGTGCTGTAGATAAAAAGTCCTTTTGTCAACCTGCGTTGTGTGCTGCAATATTGTTGACTGTTGTCAGGCAACGGAGTTCTTGAAACGGGGCATATGATTGCGCTCGGGTCCCTGTTCGCCAGACCTTCTTGTTTAATGTTCTTGGCATGGTGACGTTGTTGTGGCGGAAGAGACTGTGGCGCAGTAATGAGGATGGCTGTGCTAATTCAGGTTTGCGATTCGTGATTTGCGATTTGTTTGACAGCCTCATCTACCAGACCCTCGATCATGATATTGCAAGCAGGGCACCAGATATGACAGACTTTGACTTGTCTTTCATCCCGGCGCTTTACAAACCATCGGCTCTATTGCCTATTGCGAGACATAAAGCCAGCCTACTCTACACGGTCGAGACCCACCAAGTTACTGTGATCATCGGACAGACAGGTAGTGGAAAGACTACTCAGTTGCCTCAGTTTCTCGAGCAGTCAGGATGGTGCGCCGACGGGAAATGTATTGCAGTCACTCAGGTGGGTAAGTTGATCAATTTAACGAGCGGAGTGTGTTTGACAGGTTTTTGTAGCCCCGTAGAGTTGCCGTTACCACCGTAGCGACTCGAGTTGCAGAGGAGATGAGATGCCAGGTCGGCGAGGAAGTCGGGTATTCTATACGTTTCGAGGATGTCACCTCGTCACGGACGAAGATCAAATTCCTCACCGACGGCATGCTACTCAGAGAAGCTCTCGTCGATCCTCTGTTGACAAGGTATTCTGTCATCATGGTAGACGAAGCCCATGAAAGATCTTTGAGCTCGGATATTCTACTCGGGTTGTTGAAGAAGATCAAGAAGCGACGGCCAGAACTACGAATCATCGTCAGCAGTGCCACGCTCGAAGCCGAACGGTTTTTTGAGTTCTTCAAGCATGAAGGCGAATCCGACAACCAAGGTCGAATCGTCAGCATTGAAGGTCGTACGTACCCGGTCGACATTCTCTATCTAGACCAACCGACGGATGACTATGTGGAGAAGGCGGTCCAAACAGCCTTCACAATACATCAGCAAGAAGGTCCTGGCGACATCCTCGTCTTCCTTACCGGCAGAGAAGAAATTGAAACTGCCATGCAGAAATTATCTGAACTTGCAGCGACCCTGCATCCTAAAGCACAAGCTCTCCAGCCATTACCGTTATATGCCGGCCTCAGCACAGATGATCAGATGTACGTTTTCTCGGAGGCAGCGGAAAATACCCGCAAAGTCATCCTCAGCACCAACATCGCAGAAGCCTCTGTGACCGTCTCTGGCGTAGTGTACGTTGTGGACTGTGGCTTCGTCAAACTCCGATCCTTCAACCCTACCACGAATATTGACACTCTGACACCATTCTCATTATCAAAAGCTTCGGCCATCCAACGGGCGGGACGTGCAGGAAGAACTCAACCCGGAAAATGCTTTCGACTGTACACCCAACAGTCTTACGAGGCGCTTCCCGCCACAACCCCTCCGGAAATCCAGCGTTCGAATCTCGCCCCGATGGTGCTACAGCTCAAGGCTCTGGGCATTGACAACATAGTCCGGTTCGATTTTATATCTCCACCGCCGTCACAACTTCTGGTTCGCGCGTTCGATCTGCTCTACTCCCTCGGCGCGGTCGACGACTACGCCAAGCTCACTTCACCCCTGGGCACGCGCATGGCGGAACTGGCCATCCCGCCCATGATGGCCAAGTCACTTCTCGCGTCCTCCGACTTTCGGTTCAACTGCCAGAGCGAAATGCTGACGATAGCAGCCATGACTTCCCTGCAGGGAAACGTGTGGTTCCACCACAGCGGCGAAAAGAAAGCCATGGACCTCTCGCGCCGCAAATTCGCGGCCGAAGAAGGGGACCACCTCACGCTGTTGAACGTCTACCAGGCCTTCGTCACCAAGGGAAAGAAAGAAGCTCGTTGGTGTCACGACCACCACGTCAATTTCAAATCCATGCAGCGCGCCGTGAGCATCCGGAACCAGCTGAGACGTTATCTGGAGCGCCTGGGCGTGAAACTTCAGGAGAGCTCTTCTACGACCGCCGCCAGCCAGCCTCACCTATCAACTACCGCCGCCCAGCCAAGCCGACAAGCCGACAAGCCAACGGCAATCGTCAAGTGTTTGGTGGCAGGGTTCTTCGCCAACGCCGCAAAGATGCAGCCGGACGGCAGTTTCAGGTCCGTCTCGGGCAATGTCACCATGCACGCACACCCGACGAGTCTGATGTTCAATCGAAAGGCGGAATACGTCATCTTTCATGACCTCCTCGAGACCGGCGACAAGGTATACATTAAGGACATAAGCAAAGTAGAGAAACAGTGGTTGGTTGACTATTCGGGAGGATACTATAATATCAAGTAGGTGTGGTCGACCTTAAGAATCTGTACAAATGCAAACTGGTGTACAACATCCACATTGCTCAGGACGCACTTTTCCACTCTACCGTTTCTTTGCTTTTCTAAGGGGATGATGTGCTATTCCTATTCTCTGTATTGTGTGGTTCTCCATGGGCCGGGGTATCAAATGCAATGCAATCCTTTCTTCCTTTTACTTTTTCTCTCTTCGTAATGTTCGTTACTCGTACTCGTAATCCTGCACCCCTTGCCTCTGAGTGAATTCAAAGGCCTCGTGTTCGGTCGCCAGCCCCTTTTCCTTTCGCCTCTTCAGCTTCGTCGGACCTTCCTTGCACACGTCACAGGCCCATCGGCACTCTGCTGACGATCCCGCGCCACCATCGCCACCAAAATACCTCGACAACAAATCGTGCCTGCAGACCGAAGTGTTTTCACAAAACGTGATCACGCTCTGCAGGGACCGCAACCTGGATTCGGCCTTGGCTTTACTCTTTTCTCTGTTCGCGTCACTCCTCGCTCGAAACTCGCTGCGCTCCTTCTCTTCTCGCGTGTACAAGATGACGCTTGACGCTGCCTTGTTGTCTCGTCCTGCGCGGCCCGACTCTTGAGAAAAGGACTCCATGCCTCGAGGTAGGCCATAGTGGATGACAAACCGGATCGTGGGGATATCGATGCCCATGCCGAACGCGGTGGTGGCGCACATGATGTTGAAGGAGGAAGACATCATGTCGTTGCCACCTTCTCCCGGTCTAGACTGCTGTTGGGATAACAATCGAGGGTCTTCTGTGGCGAACCTTAAAAAAGACGTCTGTACTTTTTGCCGTTGAATGTCCTCTAACCCGGCGTGGTACGATTGAGCCCGGACCCCGGCATCGGAAAGCTTTGAAGCTAAGCTGTCTGCTGTGGCGCGGTAGGAGACGTAGATGATGCCTGTTATAGGAGCCATGACCGCCTTGGGGTCTTGTTCCCGTAGACACTGCAGTCTCAACACGCGTCTTCGGTGCATGAAATTGAGCCTGGAAAGAAGGTACGGAAAGACATCGTCGTCGCCATTTTCCGGATTCGACTCGGAAAAGTACTGCACTTCATAATGGATGTTTGGCCGTGCAGTAGACGTCGAGAAGGTCTTGGTCTTGGTCTTAACAAGGCCGAGAAACTTGAAAATGTCTTCGCGGACCTGTGGAGTTGCCGTGGCGGTCACCGCCATGACGGGCACCGTCGGACAGTTGAGGCTCGCCTTCAGCCATATCAGATCTTTGTACGCGGGACGGAAATCGTGGCCCCATTCACTGATACAGTGTGCCTCGTCAATAGCGATACGCACGAGCTGTCCTTGTCGGTGGATTTTCGTGATAAGATCGCGGAAATGGTTGGTGGCGCAAAGCTCCGGAGTGACATAGAGCAGCTTGGTGGACGGATGGCCGCAGAGCAAGTCGGTCTCGATGCGCACCCTTTCCTGGTACGGAGTTCTCCCGTTGATGCATTCGACCTTGATCCCCAAACCTCTAGCCGCTTGAACTTGGTTGGTCATCAGAGCAAGAAGAGGTGAAATCACCACGGTCACACCAAGAGACACCACGGCAGGGAGTTGGTAGCAGAGTGATTTGCCGAACGAAGTTGCGGCGCAAAGAAAGACATCGTTGCCTTCGAGCACGGCGGCGATGACCTCTTCTTGCAGCGGCCGGAATGACTCTTTCCCAAAGACTCGTCGTAGAGTGAAGCGAAGATCTGTGATGCTGGCGGACCGCCGTAAAGGCCCACGAGGCATGCCGATAATGACCTTGTTTCTTGCTCCGATATTGGCGACGCCTTTTTGGGTGGTGACGCGATAATGTGCAAACGCGGTTGACGCGACTTGGATGGCACTTTGCGGGGGTTAAATCCACCGTACCGGTCAAAGGGAATTGGTACGGCGCAGCAAATGATCCAACGAGAACATTGGAATAGTTGCTCGCTTCGAGCGTCAAGATCATGATCAATATGTGTCAGGTGAGCTAAAGAAGGCGTAAGAGCGTAGCAGTGTGGTCAGATGGAGCAAAGATGCCGGCGTTCATGCTCATGTTGACCACATTTTGTTGCCACTTGTGAGAGCATCAAGGAATCACCTCGCACGGAACCGGATTGGCGGCTGCGTTGTCGTCACGTCGCTATCAAGTCAGATTCATGTTAGTATCTTCTTCACCTTGTCTGGATTGAGATTGCAAGATGTTTGAGACGTACGGAATCGGCGAGGTGCTTATGGTTGTGTAAGACATCATCGGTGGCCCGAATGGAGCAGCCCCCATCGAGGTATCGCCCGAGATCCCTCTCGCACCGACAACAATTGCAACCACAATAACAACGGTGCAGATTATAGTCAGCAGCAGAAACCATTGCCAATGCCTTTGCAACAGATTTGGGTGCGGCCCTTCCTCGACATTGGCTTTCTTCAGACCATTTTCGTCAAATTCCTGCCTTGGTTCCGGGATGGTTTGCTTTTCAATGTTGTTGTGACTCTGGGGCTTTTTTGGTGATAACACATGTCGAATAGCGCTCACTGCTTTGATAGATATCTTCCCGTCTTGTGCCATGGTGAAATCAGAGAAAAAGGATTGCTCAGTCCACCAGCGTCAAGTTGAGGTGAAATCCTGGCTTTATTTGGAGAAGTCGATATCCGACGAGTCAGACCAGCAGACTTTCGGTGTTTCTAGAATTTATCATGAAGGTGGGATGGATGGACTGCGAAGTGGTTTAATGAAGAAAGATACGAATTCGAGGCACAAGAGGAGGCTGTGGGGATTCAGGTCGAGTTTCGCATAGGCATGGAATGCATTACCACGAACGACTCCTGTATCAACAATGACGTAGAGAGTGGACAAGGAAATAATAGCTTGAGCTGAATAAGTACAGTAGATCCTTTCGAGGTCCAATGTGATCTGATAACTGTTGATTCGATGGGTCCTTAGACCAATCCGCCCAGCCTTCCGCTGTTCCATGGCAGCTTCAAGGGACTGTAGCATAACCGCCAAGAAGCCAGTGGCTGTGAAATATGCTTCAACCCACCCTCATGTTGCATGTGGTGCTCGACTGTCGTATTCACATGGCGCGAGTCTGGTCGTGGCCGACTGGACATGATAGCAGTTGATACTCAATGGATGATGATGATGATGCGAATCAGCTTGGGTTTGGCTTGGTCTCATTAGTGCGACTTTCAGTGTAAAGCAATGACATAGCGACTTTTATTGGTGGATGGTTTGTTCCAAGAGCAAAGAGTTTGGCAACCCTTGACCTTGAAACCCGGATACGGAGTAAGTTAAGAGTGATAGATTGAAAGGTGAAACTATTTACGCTTCGAAGCGGAACGACAAATCAGTTGCGCTTTAATTGTTTTATGCTTGACTGTACCACTACTGCGGAACATGACTACATTAGTTCTTCCGCCAATCATGGGCCGTTCGCACAATGAGCCTATCTAGGCATAGCGTTCGGCCACATTGACATCGTGGAGAACAGTCGCTGAATTCATTCACGTCTGCCTTGTCTGGGTGGAAAAGAGCAATACAGATAGGGAGCGTGTGTGTCCACAAGACGAGATGGAAATTTGAGTCAGAGGACAGGATGTCCCCAGCGTATTCGAATGCCCCTTCTCGCAGAATGGACTGCTTCCTCACAAGTTCTTTCTAAATTCCTCGCGCAAAACGCCTCGTCTACCACGTTCACAGGGTCAACGACGAGCCTACATTGTGTGCAGAGTTCCATATCGTCACTGCTCAATGGTCGGGATCGCTAGATCCCGAGGATGTGCTACCTGTCGCAAACGAAAGATTGCGGTAAGGCTTCGGATATTTTTGACCGGACTAATTGCACCGCTGACGGGAGTTGCTAACAGTGTGGGCTACAACAACCCTCTTGTGCTCAATGCATTAGATCCAAGAGAACATGCACTGGCTATCTTCGACACCCGATCATCATTCAGCACAAAGTCCCACGCCACAATACCCATGCTAGATCCAAGAAAGCAGAACAGCCTATCAAGCATCAAATTCAAAAAGTCCAACTAGAGCCCAAAGAGCCTTGTTATGCGCAAGTCTCGTTGGGCGCTCAGGGCGATGCCAGTCCTTCTTATGAGAAGCCTTCAATGATATCTCCCGCTGATTTGCAGATAAATTCAACCCCTGCCATCAGACAGCAGCTACTGCAAGAGTATCTGCACTATCATCTTCCGAAACCCGAGATCGGCATGCCGCCACGCAGAATGTGGCTGCTCCGGCTTCCTGAGCTAACTTACATGACCCCTGCATTGGAGTACGCTTCCATGGCCGTTTGTCTGGCCAAGTTAGGTAATGTCTTCAACGACCAGGCATGTATCAAAGAGAGTTTCAAGCTGTACAATCGTGGACTATGGCATCTTCAGCAAGCCTTATGGGACCCGGAACTCATGCTACACGATCACACCCTCACTGCATGCATCTCTTTGGCTAGCTACGAATTGTCTGAGTGTCCTAATTCCTCGAAGGATGCTTATATCAACCACACCAAGGGTTGCCAGGCCCTTGTCAAGCTGAGGGGCCCAGAGGCACATGCACATGGTTTGGCACATCAGGTGTTTGTGCATTTCCGAGTCCAAGGGGTACGGACATTTGCCTAGTGACCCTAGTTTGACCGATCATTGACGTTGCCAGATTCTTTACGCCTTAGACCAGCAACGGCCTACCTTCTTGTCAGAGCCAGCTTGGCGCGAAATACCATGGCAAAATGAGGCCAAGACAGCGTTCGACAAAGCCTACGACCTTCTAGCACTCGCTCCAGAGTTTCTAGGCAAAGCACGGATGTTCGGGCATCTAGATCTCGCTGGTCAACTGAACCTCGCACTGAGCATGATACCACAATGCTGGGTCATCGACAGAGAAGTCTCGGCTCTATGGGACAGCATGGAGAAGAGTCAGCCAAGCCCTTTATTTTGGCCTCGTTTGGCCCAAAGTGAATTTGGCCAAGATGATGCCGACGAGGCGAGGTTATTTCCGGTGGCTTTTCATTTCCCTAATCTTGGGGTTGCGCATTGCCTTCTGATCTGCTGGACCGTGCAAACCATACTGTGGCACGGAATGAAGGAGCTATACAGATTGATGGGCGAGCTGGAGATGGCAGCAGCTACTTTTGGTCGAGTCGAGGAGAGCATCGATCCAGATTCGGAGTCTGGGAGATTGCGAACAGCACTGGCATGCTCCGGGAACGTGTTCGATCTTCCGCCTCTGGAACATCGGGCAGAGTTCGTCGCCCCTGCTCGCAACATTTTCCAGTCTGTGGAATTTTGCATGATGGAAGATACGGTGGATCAGGGTCCGAAAAGTCTTGCTGCGCCACTGAGAGTCGCAACGGAGATCTTGAGACCGTATCCTGACCTCAAGAGGGAAGTGGAATTCGGAGACAAAGCCATGGCAAAAATTCAATTGCGCTCGTTGAAATTGTTGCAGTATTACACCGGGATTGAGATATGATATGGGGGTTTCTGGTTGTACATTTTGGCGCGATCAATCAATTCATAACCCCATGGTAATGTGATCCACTTGTAGAGCATTAACGCATGCATTCCAATCTGATGTAGAGTTGAACAGATTTAATATGGTGTTGCTACCGTCCTGAATGATACCAGGTATTGGGTTTTTGTGGCCAGCCAATCACAGCTGCCAAGGACAGCCTGGCCTCTCAGCCTTGCACCTCCGTTTCTTCCACTTCGATATTATTCCCTTCAATTAAATCTCGACTCTCGCTCTTTCTCTTTCTTGGTGCATGCCAATCTCAGACGGTCACCAACTATGCTCGAATCGCGGTCTGATCAACCTTGTTCGACTTGATTTCCTATCTTTGGTTTTTCAAGATGGCTTCAACACCAGGCCCAGTGATGGAGCTGTTAGGACGCGTCGCCTACGAGATCGAGGTGATGCGGCCAATGTTCCCAACATATCTACACCTTCTAGTCTCTGCAGTCTTCCCCATCTACACGGCTGCACACGCTGCATTATCGCGACCGTCGTCGGCAAGCCCACGTAAACGCAAAGCAGGGTCGGCTGACGATGACAATCACGAAGATGGCGAATCACAGAAGATTGAAAGCCTGACACCTTCAGACGCGATACTCTTTCCTCTTCTCGCAGGTACGACATTAGCCAGCCTGTATTTCATCCTTAAATGGCTTCAAGATCCAGCCTGGTTAAATTGGGCGTTGGGCATCTACTTCTCGCAAATTGGCCTCTTCTTTGCTGTGAAGTTCATCAAGGACATGTTGTCTATCGCAAGGTCCTTTCTCCTTCCAGATCAGTATTCCCGTGGAGGCAAGGTCTGGAAAGCCAATCAACCAGACCATTGCTTCAAGACCGAAACCGGTGACACCTCTTCTTCGCCATTTCCGTGGCTACTGTGGCCTCTGCCCGTCCCATCCTCGGTCTCAAAACTAATTTGGCAATTTCGAGGCGTGGTATACACGAAAGCCCGGCTAGACTTCCATATCCACCGTTTGATAACAGTCAAATGCCCGATCGACATTCTAGACTTGATAAGTCTCTTGCTGTCCACCGCCATAGTGTCCTATCACGCCTTCCTCGCTAAACCCTGGTTCCTGACGAATTTTCTTGGCTTTTCGTTCTGCTACGGCTCATTGCAGTTCATGACTCCCACTACCGCCTGGACTGGGACCCTTGTTCTGTGTGCACTTTTCTTCTACGACATCTACTTCGTTTTCTTCACACCCATGATGGTCACGGTAGCAACAAAGCTGGACGTACCCATCAAATTACTTTTTCCGCGGCCTGATGGTTGTGTGTTCCCCGTCGGGGCAGCCGAGGGATCAGCGGCGATGGAAGAGTATCTGCAATGTCTGGCTAAGAAAAGGACCATGGCGATGCTGGGGCTGGGGGATATTGTCGTACCAGGAATGATGCTTGCTTTTGCATTGAGGTTCGACTTGTTCTTGTTTTACCTACGACAAAGTCGCAAGGGAGAGAAGGGTAGTGAAGAGACCGAGAAACCGGTGTATGCTAGTGCAAAGGGTGGTTGGGGAGAACGATTCTGGACGAGGTCGAAATTATGGTCCGACGACATCAAAGCCAAGAACTTCCCGAAGCCATACTTCTACGCCACGATTGTCGGCTATGTTCTCGGCATGATTACTACGGTGGTCATCATGCAAGTTGCGGAGCATGCACAACCAGCGTTATTGTATTTGGTGCCTGGTGTGTTGCTCTCTTTGTGGGGTACAGCCCTTGTGAAGGGTGATTTGAAGGCTCTGTGGCACTATACTGAAGCATCCGACGAGGAGAAGAAAGATGACAAGAAGGAAGACGAGAAGGAAGACGAGAAGAGTCAGAAACGAGACGACGTCAAGGCCGAGACAGTACGTGGGAAGGAATCTGAAAAGGAGACCCCAGAAGAACAAGCTGAAAAGGAATGTCGACGTTTGCTCTCTTTCTCGATCACGTTGCCCGAGGCACTCCACAAAACAGACCGTGAGACCACCGAACAAAAGCCAGTGTCGACCGAATCTTCCTCTCGACCGAAGACTACTACCGACAACAGAGATGGTCGTGACATAAGTGGACGACGCTCACTCGACGAGGGCCAGGCACGCAATGGAGACGGTGAACCTCCAGAAAAAAGAGCTAGACGAGTGTGAACTTCTATGAGACACATCCCTAGAAGAGATGTTCATATGGAGGCCATAGGAATGCGGCAGAGGTATGAGATAAAGAATCTTGATCGAATTAATATTCTACAAAATAAGCCGGAAGAGGACTGTCCTAGACCATAGTAATTGTACTTCAACATGGTATGACCACATCTCATGAGGTCTTTGGGTCGCCCGCGGTCTTCCAACGCTTTCTTTAGACCTTCTCACCGGCGATTTCCCTGACAATTCTTCCGAGCTCTTCCGGTCGACTGACAAAAGGACTATGGCTTGCATCCATCGAGACCTCGCGCATCTTCCCACCACTTGCCTCGTTGACGTGTGCTATCATGGCGCGCTGAGCCTGGGGCGGGATCGCCGCGTCCCTCTCGCACACCACGTACGTGCTCGCCACGTCCTTCCAAGCGGCGTACGTGCTCTTGCTCCAAAAGGCACCGTAGGCGTGCGGCCTGAGACTGTCGACCAGTCCATCCAGAACGGCCCGGTCGTGAATGTCGTTGTAGAATGTCTCCACCGGGGTTTTGGCCACCAAGGTCTTCTCGTCTTCGGCGATCCCGAACCACGGCAACGGCCGGCCTCCGAGGCCGTCCATGAGACACACCCCTTCGTCGAGCGCGAACGCACAGCAGTATACCAGATGGACGATCCCGCCCTTTTCGCCCGCGGCCCGACGGTCGGACCTCGAGAGACCCTTGCACGCAGAGGCCCCGGGGACTCCGCCGTAGGAGTGGAAGAGGAGTATCACCTCGGCCCCTTGGTCGGCGTGTTTGCCGACGGTGGAAGCGACCACGTTCACGTCGGCGTCAAAGTTGGGCGGCGGTGGAGTCGAGCCGACCGAGGGGAGTGATATCCCGTCGACCGTATAGCCATGTCCTTCCAAGTACTTGGTGAGAGGGGAGAAGCACGAAGGAGGATGCCAGGCACCCGGGACGAGAACAATGACGGGCTTAGCCATCATTACCAAAAAAAAGGATGTGTCTCGCTCGTGCGACTTTTTGCGTTTGATGAGATGACGATGGCCCTTGTCGTGATGTGATGGTTCTTTGGTGAGATGTGTAGTTTCGGAAAAGGGTTCTGTTTGTTCAAAGGGAAAAGTTCTGATAAATCGGTAAAGGATCTTTAGATGTGCTTTGGATAATAATATTATATATACATTGTACACAGTGATGTTCTCCAAACAACTATTGTCGGCCCCGACCCTCTTGGATCGTTTGGATGTTTTTTGATTACCTCGAACAATCAACCCCTCTCTTCGGATTTCGGGAAGCTTGTTTTCATCGGAACTGAGTCCCTTGCACCATCCGACGGCGATAGACATTAAGGTTTAGGAATGGTGTGTCAGCGCGCGATGCAAAACGTTCTGGGGGGAGTGGGGAGTGGGAGATTCCGCCCCCGGTCCACTGACTCGAACGTCCCACCGATATCGACGCTGATTAAAGACAATTGACAATCTGGGGGGGAAGAGAGAGAGAGAGAGAGAGAGTACTCGGGCACGTCCCCGGTGCTCCGTACGGTGCACGTCGCTTTCCTCTCATATCTCGAGCATGGACCCTTATGTATTTGCGAAGCCACTGGTCGTTCTGATGTGCGAAAAAACTTATGACCGGGTCGAGGCGAGGACGGTCGATCATTCTCGAGTCTCCCGCACCGAGGCGAAATTGTGGCGCGGGCGACCAAAAAAGGAGGGCGCCGCGTCGTTTCCGGTCAAGGCCACATCATTGAACTGTACGAAGTGACAATCACAACTGGGCGAGTAATGCTCATGATCAATTGGATTCCAAACGGACAAGTCGTACACGTCCGAACCTCGGTGAGTAGGTCGGAAAGCGAGTCCTCTTCTTCCACGCGGCTCAAGGCTTTTGTCAAAAGTCACGACTGGAACTTGACGCAGATTGATCTCCGAAATCCCCCTTAGGGCCCTTTCACTGACTTGTGTTATTCAAATCGACGACGAAGTGTCCGGGAATTGTGAAAGTCAGCCAACGAAACTCATCAAAGAATACCTAACCCTATTCAATAGCCTATATCCATATTCAAACAGCCACACTCATTTACGTCCTGTGTGTCAGAGTGGTATCTACAATCGTTCGAGGTGCAGAAAGGTCGTTTTCTGAGAAACATATTACCTGGTAATAGGTTTATCAAATACTCTCTCTCTCTCTCTCTATATATATATACCCCAGCTGCACCCCTCTCTCTCTCTCTCTCGCGACTCGATCGTCCCCATCGTCTTAAAAAGAAGACACTATTCCCCAGATCATATAACAGAACCCCGAGGTGATTTGCCACTGATGGCACTGACAAAAGAGGAATACGGAAAGTATTTGAATCACACAATCGACACAGTCAATCTGAACCCAAGGGGGAAAAAAACGAAACTGAAGGCCAAGTACCCAGACGCATTTCGGGCAGTCCACAGTCCCAACACTGGCGTCATTCGAGCACCAAACGAACAGGATTGGAACAAAGTCTCGCCGTCTGATATGCAATACCGCTATAGACAATTTTGAGATGACTGGGCAACCGTGGAATCCAAGACTGATTCCTGGACGAAGCCCCGGTGGTGTCTAAGCCTGACCAAACCAGACATCGGGGCCTCGAGGCTATTTCCCGCAAAAGGTGATCCATCCGCATGACGGGCACACCTTAATTACACAATGACAAACGGTTCGCCCCCCCTCCCCCCCCCCTTCTGGTGGCTTTGGGTATGCGTTCTTACAGGGACACCTCTTCAAAGACGACCGGCGATTCCATTTTCCAACATTCGGCGGCGCGAGACGCCAAGAAGAAGAGCCTTGAATTCGGAAATGGAAACAAACCGCAACCACTTTTTGGGGCGACAGGAGAAGTACGGTTTCTTGAATTTTGGGAAAATCCTCCCCCGACCGGTGAGTTGTGTCATTTTGGATCCCTGACTCACGACCCACATGGGTTTACAGTGCAATCTTTTTCCATTTCAACTCGGCACGAGCCATTCTACCGTCCTGTTTTTGTGTGTCGCTTCGTTTCAGTTCAAAAGTTCCGATTTACTCGACTCGAGTGCAAACACACGACGAAAAACCAACGGACAAACAGGGGAGAGAGAGGGTAGTGAGGTTGGAGGGATGATGTGTGTTTATGTGTGTTTGTGGGGGGGAGGGAGTGGCTCAGGAGCCCATTGCCTCTCTCATCGGAACTTGGTTCGACTTTTTGCAAAGGTTGGGAACAAAACTTACGGGTAAAGGATAATCCTTGACGGGATTCAAAGTCATGAACTTTTCTCCGTCGTCGGTTTCAAAATATTCGACCCTCCGGGTTTGATCTTTACCTATCCAGTTCGGATTCGCAGAAACCTCGACCTTTGTGTGCCAGACGAACTTTTGCGGTTGGTCGGTCTCGTGCAGAGTCATGAACCCGCTGTAGGCGCTCAGAGGTCTGGCGATGCGGGCGAGTTCTTCATCCGTGGCCCCCATCAAGGTGTCGCTGGACTTTAGAGGGACCAAGACGCTCGGTGGGATCAGGATGGCCGACAGGTAACCGGAACCAGAAATCACCACTTTCCCCAGAGGTTCATCCCCGTGTGGTTTGTACAAGAGTTTTTTTCCCGGACCGTCGGAATCCCACATTTCGTAGGTCAACAGGCTCCAAACCCCGGCAAAGGTGTCCTTGTACTTTTCAAAGACGTTTGTTTGTGACATGGTGGAAAAGAGGTCCGGGTTTTTCATCGAGGTGATTTCAAACAAGGTCAAAAAAAAAAAAAAAAAAAGGGAAAGGCGTTGCCACTCACAGACAGACAATTTATTATATGGTTTCCTTTCTTTTTTAGATACTCTGGGATATAATAAATATATCTTGACTAGACGCGAGTTCCTTTCCTTGCAAACCATAGATAAGCCCGCGAGAGAAGCCTACATACCTAGTACCTCGTACGGAGACGAAAAGCGGGACATTTCTGCCGTGGAGAAAACAAAAAAGGTCGTGGAGGAAGGAGAGCAATGACGGATGCGGGGGAGTTGACGAGTTGTACTCCCGAGGTGTTTTTGGTTGTATGGAGTACGGATATAGAATGCCTGTGGAGGTAGAGAGATGTGTTAACGCAGAAAGTGATATTACGAAAAGTTGGAGAGACGATAGGTTGATTTTTTCCTTTGAACAGAAGGGTCACAATTGTACTCTTGCTCAGAGTACTCCCGTACTGACACATCACAATTGTCGCAGAAAGCGCTTCTCAAGCGTTAACACCATACTACTCTTCTTCATCTTCTCCCACCCGAGGGTAGCCATAAAAAAAAGCCGCGACGGGCATACTCCTTCCTCGTATAGATGGTGACAATTTTTTGTATTCGCCGAGTAACATACAAACAAATATCAAAGATCCACCACGTACAAATACAAATACACAGTAGTACTCGTACAAAAAGAATGCCAAAACATGACCAGCATCAATGGCTCGAACACGATCTCAATACTCCTTCAAACGCTGCATTCGTATTATCGATGTTGATTGTGCCAAAGTAGACTCTTGTCGGCATCACTTCTTCTCCGGAGCTCCTTTCTTGGACTTGTTCTTATTGTCCCCGGTATCTTCATAATCTCCTCCTTGTGCCTCGTATCGACGAGCGAGTTCGCCGGCCTTCCAAGCAGACCAAGATCCTTTACCGCCTCCTTGAGTAAACGAGTATCAGTGACATGTCGGGGCGAAAAAAACAACAACACTTTAGGTCATGACACACCTTTCTCCTCATTCTTGACTTCCTCTTTGATCTTTTCCCGGAGTTCGGGGTCGGTAGGTTTGCCTTTGGAGCTCGGCATTTTTGATGACAAGTAGAGTCGCGGGTTTACTGAGAGGATGTAATGGAATTGTGGACAGAAGTAACCAGTACAAACGCGAAAGAATGCTGGTGAGGATAACAAGAGCAGACGCGAGTGTGTCGAGTTGGGTCACCGAGGGGAGGAAAAGAATCCAACTGATTGTGTTGAAGAGGTCGAGGATTGACTACTTCTGGCTGTCGAAGACCGAGAAGAACTGATGGAACTCGTCCTGCGTGCTGCGTCTTCTGCGGCGGTGGAAGAGTAGTCTGCGTCGGATGCCTTACGCAAGATTTCTC